TCTAATTTTTTCAAAATTTATTTTGGATTGCTTTAAACTTTACCTTTAAATATATATTTCGATAACCTACATCCCTTAATAAAAATATTGAAAAAACTTTCTACAAGGATTGTTTTTGTGCCCACACTGATGTTCCAATGTTGTCTTGATGTCGTCGCTGTTTATCTATTTGAAGTATTTGAAAAAGCAAGCTTCCTTTAGCTTTGTGGTTGGATTTTAATATTGGCACTAAGTAGCTATCAGAACGTCGCCGGACCATTCAAAATGAAGTGGCTAACTTGTTTATTATTGTTATTATGACTCTACTTCTCTATGGCTCTTTATCTCCATTGGGTTTTTCTTTTCGCAAGTTTTGTGCTTGCATCTGCAAATAGTTGAGTTTTTCGAGTGTCTGCTTTTCGACAATGTTGAATGGTATTTTCTTTTAATTAAAAAGCAAATTCCGACCGTCTCTGTCATTAGGCTGATTGAAAACTAGAGATATACTCCATGAAAGTAGATGGCTTTCAGGCAGCTGGACGAGGACCTAGACTCCAAGTAAGCAATTTCCCCAAAACAGTAAATAACAAATAACTGCATACCGTGTCGATTTTTAAGTGCTTCGCCCGAAATGGTCGAGTTGGCGCAGAAAAAAAGGGGCAAAAAGTGGGAATAAACTCAAAAGTTGAACTGCTAGTTGGAGGCACCTTCGCCCTCTCAACCTTCGACCTCTGCAATGTGTCCAAATAAGCACTTGGGCCATGAAATGTGGAAAAAGCCAGCCGCATAATGACCACGGTCGGGGTCTCATTTTGGTTTGCATGTGGAGGGCATGAACTATTCTAAGCCTTCGTGTCGATATGTTCACATTGCCTAATGACTTTCAAACCGACATGTGCCATGCACTTTGTGCGTAATACTTCCAGGGAAATAATAGACCTGGCCCACCTATGCGTGTTGGCAAGAAGGCAACAGCTAATTGAAACCACCATTAGAACCTAGTCAAAATTTACAAAAAAAAAATGAATAAATAAATAATTTCTCTCGATTTTCCATGCTCTAAAAACAAATATTTTTCAATAAATAGTTTTTAGTATATAAAAAGATATTTATGTTTAAATAAAATAGATTTTTCACGTGCAGGCATTTGATGCTCTAATTATAAATATCTCAACCAATTTGATTAACCCCTCGGCTAAAATTTTTCACATTCCACTAAATTAAATTATAAAATTTCTCTGTTGATTTACTGACAACTGAGAGAATTCTTTTTTGTATTATCTTTTGAAATAACAATACCTCTATAATTGATATACAATGGCGACGCCAACTAAGCATATGGTATGGCATTATTATTTCGAATCCCAATCGATTGGATTTTCTGTGTGGAATTTTGATGATCTTTGAAATTCGAATAGAATGAAAATTGAGAAGTGGAACAGCGGAAAATCGGCAATTCGGCCAACGAAAACAAAAACTAGCGCCGCAATTAATTTTTCGCGCAAGCCGTGCAAATAATCAAAAATGGTATTGAAATGGGGTAGTCCCGGCATGCCGCTGCTGATATGGTTGTTGCTTTTAATGCGGCTGCAAAAAATATAGAAAAAAAAATACAAAACCCCACCTCTTTCATCGAGTTTCACCGCTGAGATGATTCGAAAATTGTTATCCCGTGATTGCGGCGAGTTTTGGGCGGTTTTGCTTAGAGACCACTGTCCACTGGGTGCCCACTTCACGTTGGCCGCTACGCAGTTGGCAGTCATGAAACAATAATGTCCGCAAATTGACGCCACAAGCTGTTGGTTCAATGAGAAAGTCCACCCACCCACGCACATACCACCCACGACCCCTCCACGCTAACTCACACCAGTTACCAGTAGGATGCACATGCAACTGCGTCTGCGGCACTTCCTCTGCGACGCCATATTGAATTTGAGCCTCTGACGGAGCCTACGAGGGTTCGTTGCTCCTCTGTCTTCCCTTCATGAACCCGAACCCGTGCCTGGGCCGGTCCCAAGCCTCATCCTGTCGTACTCCGCCCAGCTTCGGGCTATGGGGCGCTCCCCTGCCTGTTTTCCTCTTTGTTTTGGTTCTGTTTTTATTTGCCAGCTTGCTTTCTGCTGGTTAGCTGGCCGAATTTCCCGAAATTTGCAGCTTCCAGGCAAACTCTACACTGGGAAAAAAATTAAAAGCATTATATATGCATAAAATCCTGAAGAAAACGAACTTTTCAAGGTGGCGAGGGGAAAGCAACCATCTATATTGTTAAAAAAAAGTTATGTTAAAAACCAAAAGTTTATTGTTTAAGTGTAGTTCGTTGTCATTGAAGCGCTTGTCATCGATGGAAGCAAATTGGCTCCCCTCACCCGCATAACGTGGACAGCACGTGCCATAATTATCATAAGAGTTGCGACTGGCCTGGCAACTTGTTGTTTAAAATGCATTGGGATTGGCTTGAAATCAAAAGTTCGTGTAGATTTGTTTGCAGCCCACTGCTTTTGGAGAGCTCTGGCTGCGGAATCGAAAATAAAAATCAATCCTTGGACAAACATTCACCGACAAAGGGGCAACGGTGCGTATACGCAATGACCACAAACGGGAAGTGGAGTATAGTTGAAAGAATAGATTTGTTCAAAATAACTAATAATAATTAAGAACAACTAAGTAAAGATACATAATATTATTATGTAAAAATAAATATTAAAAATAAGATATAAGTTCCTAAAACCATTCTATAAAATGTTGTACAGAATCTATACGAAAGTCTTAAAATATCCCTTTTTCGTATACGAAAGACTTAAAAAAATCCTACCAAAGCTATAAACAAATTATCCAACAAAACAAACTACAAAATGGGAGGTTTATTATAAAAGTCTCACCAATAAATACCAATTAATAATTTATCCGCAATATGAAGCACCCAAGCTATAAAACAATTTGTGGTTTTTTAGAATCTGGTTTCGTTAAAACAAAACAAGTTTAAAAAAAAAAGTGAAACTGTGGCGCAAATAACAAATAACAATAACAAGAATGGTACAATGTGGTTTAAGGACTCGCCACAGCTAAAACAATTCAGCCAATAAAATAAAGGATAAAAGAACCAAGAGCATTTATTCAAATCAAAACGAATATGGAACCCTGTCCGAAACGGAAAGAAATCTAGTTTGGAAAATCCCGGAAACTAAACTGGGGTCGTCACACACTCGATTGGAGTCCCCACAACATGGTCGACATCCCTTCACACGCACTGTTTGCCATAATGTTTTGTGAAGTTTTTTCGTTTTGGTTTTTTTTTTGGTTTTTCTGGTTTTTTGCTGCCCTTTTTTGTTGCTTTTATTGGTCTGTCATGTTTATCTTGGCAAGTTGTTTTTGTTTGCCATGTAATCGAGTCAATTGTTTCCGCTCCGTCGATGGGGCAATCGACTGCGTCGGGTTTTTATGCGTTTTTTGTTTTCGGTTTTTTGTTTCTTTGGTAAAAAGAAACTTTTGTTTTCTGTGTTGCTGCTCTACGGTGTTGATACAGCCAACATCCGTCCGGTGAATTGTTGCCTGGGGGCGTTGCTGACATGGGTTAATAAGCTTGTGGGTCTGTCACTTTTGACAGAGATGAGCAGCTCGAATATTAAATTAAGTGTTTGCAGCTTTTGTTTGAAGCCTTTCCTTAATGAGAGCGTAATTTATAGGACCTTTTTTACACCAATTTTGTTTTGTTTTAAAAAGAATTTTATTCATCGAAGGGAAAGTCTGCAATACGAGGATAGGACTTCCAAAGTGGTATTCCTATATAAATTCCAATCTTTATCCGTCTTCAAAAATATATCTTAAGCGATTTGTTGATATATTCTCTATTATTCTGCATAAAACCAATTGAAAACAAGAAACTTTTTTTTATTAGGAAAAAATTTTGGTAATTCTCTGAAAAATCTCACGGGATGCATGCAATAAATGACTCACTGAGAAAGCTATTATATCTTTGCCACTCCGGGCTTCCAATAAATTTTTCTACATTTTTTGAGGCAATATTGTAAGCAATACTATACCTTATAATATCGACACATACCCATTAACAATAAAATAAGCAATGCGAAACACTCCCCTATATTGGCTTTGAGTTTCTCTACAGGATCCAGCTTTAATTTTGGACTGGCAACTCACAAAAAAAGTTTTTACCCGCTCTACTTAACATTCCCGTCAGCCATTTCCACCCACAAATTTGGGCTTCTTGTGTTGGCAGGCTTGGCGTCAATTACCGGGCCATAATTAACCCTTATTTGTACATTTTATAGCCAGCACCGTAAAAGGGCCATTTAAATTACAAAGCGCAATACAAACCATAGCCATTTGGCAGGACGGCGATGTCGTTTGTTAATCGGCTGCTTGCATTGCCCGCGAGTCCCACGACCTGAAATTTCGAGGAGCCGCGTTCGGGACGGCGTATTGTCTGAGGTGGAATGTTTATGCGTTGAGTGGCATTTAACTTTAAGGCGAAATTGGCCGACAGTTGCCTTGAAGCCGCTTACACGTTGAGTGAGCTGCGGGCAAGCGGCTTAACTCCCATAATCCAAGTATCTGGCCCGAACGCAGCCCAGACACTTGACCCTTTCACCATGGCCACTCCACCTCCTCCCATCCTCCCAGCTTCGAATTCCATGGCCCGGCCTTTTTTATGTTGGTTACTAAAGGCCCACAGAGTATGTATTTTGATGCGGGATGTGCTCATCGAAGTGGTCGGCAACAGAACAAAACGCAGTCCAAAAATTGCTTGTTAGGTCATAAAAATTCAATGGTTTTGGGCCTGTGTCTGTGTCTGTATTGATCCTGTTCTGAAATTTTCGGAAAATGCACCAAAGGCTTAATTCAAGTTGATAATTTAAGACATTAAGAGGCTAAAAATAATTGACTTTACAAAAACAAATATTTTACAAACATTATTTGGATAATATATAGAGGATATTCTTAGTTCTCAATAATCGACCCCTACAGAAAACACTCTAGTCTGCTTAAGTTTTAAATAAAAAATGTATTGTTATATTATATTTGTATATGAGTAGACCCATGTTCTACCACGATTGATTAACAGCTTTATGACTAGTTCTAGGCTTAAAGTATTTCACTGAATGATTGCAAGCCTTTTCACTATTCTAATTATCCTTTCTTGCATTTTTTCTCTTCTTCACACTGGACACAGTGGACATTTGCTCCATTGAGGAGTACCCGGTAGAGGTGGAGTCCCTGCTCCGTTGATAGGTATGACGCGGCTTTTTGGTTTCCCAGAAACGGATCAGAAACATGACTTCGGCCTTTAAGGCCATCTTAGGAGTTATCTGAAAAAAAATATTACATCCATTAATAGTTGACAGTTTAAAAGGTTAAAAGACTCTCTCTTACTTTATCCTTCAGTGCAATGCGCTGCACATGCCTGAGGAACTCGCCCAATCCAATTATGAATGATATAATCACGCCCACTATGAGCACCACAAACAGCCCACCCACCGATTCCATATCCAGTTTACCGTCATCGACAGGTTCGGGTCCTTTGTCACTGGAACTATCATTGGTGTTTAGCCATTTATTTCGAAAATAGTACAGTCTTCCTTTTTCACTGAGCCTGAGAATTCCCACGCTTAGATTGGAACGAAATTGGGAGTCTGTAAGGATATTGGAAAAATATTTGTAGTACTTTCAAAAGTAGTTTTACTCTACCAGACTTACTAAGCGGAACAGCTATGCCATAATGCTTCTGGCCGAAACTTTCCCCGATCTGGATCAGATCCAGGTTTCGCTGGACGTGGTACTGCAGGCTGGTGGTCTCCATCAGGAAGGCATAGGTGCCCTTGCTCACCTTGACACGCTTAACACCCTCCTCGTTGCTCTTCGTGAAGGCGTCTGGCTTAAAGGATAGCATTTTGTTCCAAGCCATCCGGTTCTCAGTATCGTTTGAGTCGGAAAAATATACCGAGGTGGCGCCCCCTCGAATGGTGCCAAACTGCACTTTGTTTTGGTCGACGAGGTCGTGCAGGGAGGCTATGTCGTTGGAGATCTTTGACGAGGTGACGAAGGCCGCCAGCTTGGCAATGTACGTTTGCGAGACGAGTAGGGCGAAGATCCACCAAAAAGCGGTCAACAGACGCATGGGAACGCCCCTTAAATGAAATCAGCTTATGTATTATATATCATATTATTTACTTTAGCTTTCAAACCTAGGTAGAAGATCGCATCCCTGGTTAAGAATGGAACCCAATACCAGCCACAGAGTATTTCGCATATGCCATATGTTCTCCTGTTCCAGTTCATTGTTCTCATTTTCCACCGGCTTCTCCCACTCAAATCTATCCATTCGACCAGTTAAAATCAGGGCTATGGCACTGATCATCATGGCTATAATGACATAAAGCCACACCTCAAGATTGTAAGGTTTGAGGAAGCCGTATTCATTTGGCTCCGGTGGCGGTTTCTTATAGGCGAGGATGCTGATGCCCAGTTGCATGAAGGGAACTGTGAAGTCCACGACCGATCGACGGGCCTGAGTGATGGTCAAGTCGCAAATCCCAATTTGTGCATGCTAGGGAAATAGGTTATTAAATATTAAATTGTATTGAAGAAGTATCCTTTTCTTACATTATCCATCAGGGCTCGAATAATTCCGTCCCATTCATCGGTTATCGGATCGTAGCTCCCATACTTGTTATCCTTCACTGGCTCAAAGTCGAATTCGAATTTGCACTCCTGGGCCAAATCATAAATTAGATCCACTACATAGCCTTCGAATCGATCGTTTCCCTCGTAGTGAACACCCTCTGGCTCTGCACTAAAAGGTTAATCTGCATTTAATATTAAAACACATTTAAAACTGAAACATTTTGCTAGAAACCAACCGCCAACTAAAGTATGGTTCACCCACACGAGTTGCTATCTTGTAGCGAACAGGTTTCTGGGAGAAATCCACCTTGTCCTCTAGCCGTTTCTGCTTCAGGGCCTGGGAAGAATTTTCCCTTATCTTCTCGTAGCTGACAAGTTGAAACTCCTTGTTCCAGATATAGTTCACGCGATCGATAATGGGATTATAAACATCCAGATTAAAATCGTCACGCTGTCCATCCGCGTTGATGTGGAGTTTTTGGGTCTTGAAAGGAGGTTTGGCTTGCTTTGGGGATATCTGGAATTATTAAAGTAAATAAATAAATGGAATATATAAACATATATAGACTACAAACTTACATTCTTCATTTGTTCAACCAAACGGGGTCCTGGCTGCCAAAATCCAAGACCACACCTGGTCTGAGGCGCATAGAATCCCGACCGTTGACTTAACTCGAGAAGAGCATTGTAGAACAAAACGACTGAGTCATAAAGTAGTTGGGTTTCCAGCGAATCAAACTTTAAATAGAGGTTAAAATAAGAAAAGTTATTATAATAATATTCTATTATCCTACCATATCGTCCACTTCGTTGTCAAATACATCGATCTCATCGTGAACTGGTGGTGGAATGTAGTTTCGTATCCTGATGGCAGCAATCGATACAGTGAACTCCTTTGAGTAGAAACGATCTATTCCGCTAATATGAGTATCTAGATTGGTTAGAAATAAATGCTGAAAATATTCAAATAATTTTAATGAAGAGTTTTCAGGTCTCTGGTTGTCCAAAATTTACATTAAATGCACCGGTCATATTAAATCCAATAGAGGCGTTGATAACATTTACTAAGATATCAGGGGGGCAGTCGAGGAGCACATATTTTTCATTGGCCGTACTGATCTGTTTCCAGAGCACCCGGTAGTCGTCGCCTCGTTCGAATGGTCGAATTTTAATGCCTGTCTTATGGAGCTGCTTCCAAGCCAATATGTGTTGAAGGCGATTCAGGTCTAGAGAAAAATAATAAGATCTTAAGTCCATGTATATGGAGGCTCAATACCCACTAGTGCTTTTCTCGTAAACAAGGGTAAAGGAGTTCCAGTTGAAGCTCTTGCTGGCCAACACATCCAGAATGGCAGTAGATAGAATCAGCTCCATGGGCGCCACATTAATAGTCATTTTATGGTTGAGACCTTCCCTTGCCGACTTTTGGGGCGGCCAATCGAACTGCAGGTGGGGTATACCTGTCGTATTGCACAGCACCTCCACGATGTCTGGATGTAAACAGAGAAACCAGAGATTTTGTATTTAATGAGAGTGAGAGATAAATCAATTGCCTTGAGTATTTTGTTTAGAATTATGCGGGGAACTAACAAAACACACAATAACTATACCGAGCAAAACACAAAGAGCACAAAACCTAAAAATCAAATGCCATTTTTCTTGGCAATTGTTCAAATTTTCTCCGTCTAGCAAACTATAGAGATCTGAAGCCAGAAAGCATCATTTTAATGGCAAACATGTGTGAGTGTGTTTAGATGATTTGAAGAATCATTAACGAGGTTGACGAGCCTTTAGATATTTGTCCAAGACTCTCAGCCAAACCGTGACAGACCTGCTCCGCGCCCTCCATTTGTCTCTCTGTATTATCCAAATACAATTTATATATGTTTCAGCGTGTGGTGCAGACTGGTATTATTTTGTGACGGCAGGCCATAAGATTTTGTTTAAAAATAATTTAATGATGGGTCGGTAGACAAGAAAAGAGAAAGCAACTTACCGCTATTTGTCTTTGAACTTGGTCCGAAAATAGCCACCACACCATTTCCAATCAAGTCACAAGCTAGGGAGTGAAATCATAATGTCTTCCAATCAATTTTTAATCATTTCAGCAACTCACAGATCTCTTGCAGGACAATACTGTCGTCTACCGTCAGATAGTGCTTGATGGCATCCAGCTTCAAGCTGGGATTTATGGCATTCACTTCCTCCACTGCCGCATCAAAGGCTTCGGCTAGTTTCATCTCCGTATCGAAAAAGATGGCTCCTAAAGGAAATCATATTTCAAAGACGATTTTTACAGACAATCGACAACACACACTAACCGACTCTCAGAACCAAGACCTCTTCGTTGGCGCTACTGGATAGCGCCAAAGTGGCCAACAGGAAAAACCGTAACGCGAACATCGTGTCATCTGTGGCAGGTCATAATTAGGTCAGGTTTTAATAAGTGATTCAGTTCACAGCACTTGACGACATTCGAGATTCGTATAGGAAATATATTTGTAGCTTTTCCGATCGGACGACACAAAAAAATATATGGACTCGATCTGTTCGGGGGAAAAGTTGGCCAAGCACTGGGGAGGCCACACAAAAAATACACTTTTTGGAGTGAATCTGCGAGAGAACTTTTGTTTCTACGTCAGCGGCAACCACTGCTGCGAGTGCCGGAGTCCCATTTGTTCGTCGGACACGAGGGGGACTGATCTCCGGCTATCTCTAGCTGGAAACGGACCAATAAATATATGTGCTCTAAAATTAGGCAGGACGGGCGCCTCCACAACGGAATGAGTGGTGCATCACATGCTTAAAAAACGAGTTAGAAAAATACACAATCGAGGAAAAATTCTTCCTATGGGAGCCGGAAATCAAAGAGAACTATCTTAGTTTGCCTATAGCTTTTGAAATATGGACAAATATTTATCGGAAAATAGATCTATCAACAGCGTCATATCTTTATTTCAATAATTTGTTTTTTATTGACTTTCCTCTCTGAAATCAGCCGCTAATGTTTTGGTCTATTTTTTGTCACGCTTCTTAAATGTGTATATAGATCTAAATTTAAATCTATATACACATTTAAGAAGCGTGACAGGTTCCCATTTTATTTAGTTTAGGGAAAGAAATTTCTTATACTTTTATAAAGTTATATTATTTAAATAAGATATTCAAAATAAATAGCTTCATAAACTCCTCATTAAACCCGGTACTCTATTCTGCTTTTAAATTTTTAAAAAACTTTAGAATTAAAATACTTTTGGTATACATGTGAAATTTTTGTAACATTTTATTAAAACTTTTTTCTAACAATTTTGTCAAAGTTGTTCAACTAGCCGTCTTGCTGCGGCTCTTCTCCTTGGAACTGCGTCTAGAATCCGAAGATCTCCTGGAAGTTGATTTGTCGCTGCTACTGGAGATCCTCATTGGTTTCTTGCGGACCCAGAACTTGAGGGCAAATATAAACTCCGCCTTGAGTGCCTCCCAAGGGGTAACCCGCTCCTCGACCGCTACATGCTGCACATTCCAAAGGAACTCGACTATGCCCAAAATGACACCGGTCAGAACGCCACCAGCCAGAACAAGAAAAACACCTCCCAGTTCGATGATAGACAACTCGTCACCATCCACCTCGTGGGCGGCTTCGCAGGTGATATTGTGCTTCTTCCACCACTTGTTCTTTAGCTTATAGAGCTCGCCCTTCTCACTTAGCTGCAGAATCGAGACACTGAGGTTGGTTCGGTAGTCAGCACCTGGTTGGAATGAAAAAAGTTAAGCTAAAGGACTCCAGATACATCCTAGTTTACTCACCCAAGGGCACAGCCAAGCCGTAATGTTTTTCACCGATCGTTCCACCTATCTGAGTTAGATTACAATTTCGCTCCACATTGTACGTCAGACTTGTGGTCTCCATCAAGAAGGCATAGTCACCAGCTTCCTTCTCGACCCTAGTCACGCCTTCTTTGTTGGTGCTAGTGAAGGCAGATGGTTCAAAGTCCTTCATTTTGTTCCACGCCCTCTGATAGTCGGTGTCATTCGACTCGGAGAAGAATAGGGAAGTGCTGCCACCCCGCATACTGCCGAAGCTCACTTCATCCTGTTCGATCAGATCCTGCAGGCTCTTGATGCTGCTCTGCCATTTGTTGCTGGTCAGAAAAGCGGCCAAGTTTGCAGTATAAGTACTTAGCATCATTAGGGCAAAGAACCACCACATTCCAGTAAGGATGCGCATATGGGGACCCCTGAAAAAATAATATTAATGATAATACAAATTTGGATAATAGTCTAACCCACCTTGGAAGAATATCACAACCCTGTTGCATGATAGAGCCCACCATTAGCCATGTTGAATTATTCACATTCCAAATATTCTCCAGTTCATCGGGATCTTTAATGGCCGGATTGGGGGCAGCCATTCCCGGTAAGACAACCTGAAACATATATCTTAAGTAATAGGCGACTTTGTTGTGTAAATTAAATGAAAACCTACCTGGCAATAAAAACGAAAGCCAAAGTGATCACTAGCTGAGCAAATATCATATAGATCCAGACTTCGAAGGCAAAGGGTTCCAAGAAGGCAAACGGGTTCTTGGGTTCTGGCGGTTTCTTGTAGTGCAAAATACTAATGCCCAGCTGCATGAAGGGCACTGTGAAGTCAACAACAGACCTTCGCAGTTGTGTAATAGTGAGATCACAAACGCCTATCTGAGCATGCTGGAAATTAAAATAAATATTGGATTATTTTCTTTAAAATAATTTATCGAATAACCTACATGATCTATTAGTTTGCGAATAATGCCATCCCATTGCTTAGTCTCAGGATTATATTTTCCATTTCCATTCACAATCATAAATTCATAATCAAACTCCATGATTTCCGAAAGTTTGCTTATGAGGTCCACAGCATATCCCTCATATTTCTCTCTCCCCCTAAAGTTCTCGTGGTCCTCTCTAAAAAAATAGATAGATTAGTCTTAGAGTAAAGTTTAATCCATTATCTTAAAACAAACTTCATCATAAAGTATGGCTCCTCGTAGTGAGTTACCACCGTGTAAACTCGACGCTGCTCTGAAAAATCCTGAGTGGATGCTGTGTTTTCCAGCTCCAGACTGAGGCGTCGTTTTTTTATTCCATTATCAGGAGTCCAGACCATCATGGGCTCGTTCACAGTTGGCTTGTAGATCTCCAGGTTAAAGTTTGTCCGCTGTCCATATTCATCTAGCCTCATATTTTCGGTCTTGAAATTGGGCTCTACATCGTCCTCGGAGATGGTCTTCATTTCGTTGACTATAAAAGGCCCTAGTACCCAGGGGCTCATACTGCCACAATATCTATTCGGCGGTTGATACGGCTCCATGGCAGCTATAACTCTCCGGGCAGAGTTGGAAAAGAGCACCACAGCATCGTATATAAGAATGGGCAACATGGTTTGGTTTCCCAGAATTTGCTAAAGGTTTTACAAATATGATCAGAAATCAATGTATAATTTATGATACCTATGATATTTCTACTTACATCCACCTCTGTAATACGAGTCTTTTTTCTATCAAAAGGATTTGGGTCTACAGTTTTCAAGCGCACGGAGGTAATATTTGCTTTAAAGTCTTCATTATAAATATCCTTCAGACCCGAGCTATGTGAGTCCAAATGGGTGAGAAACCAGTTCTAAGAATATATAATCATTGATTATGTAGTCTGTTTTCCCCCCTTATAAGCTCACCCTGAAAGGACCCTGCAGCTTAAAGTCCACCGAAACCTTCAGTAATTCCTTAAGAGTTTTCGGGTCACAATCTAGAATGATCCGGTGTTCGTGAAAGGTTTCATCTACTTCCTTCCAAAGCACTCGATAATCTCCCGCGTAGTCTGCCAGGTTTCGCAGCTTCACATAGTCACTGTTTAGTGCCTGAATGTTCATAAGATCTTGTAAGCGTGCCAGACCTATAGGTGGGGGGGAAAATAAATAGCCCAAGTAACCCCAATGCGTCGAGCTCACCTTCAGGTGTTTCATAAATCAAAGTAAAGGTGCGCCACTCGTAGTTGCTTTTGATGATCTCGAAATAGGCCCGCGAAAGGACTGTCAGTGAGGGCGCCACATTGACCGACATTTTGTGGTTGAGATGCTCCTGCTGGGTTGCCGTGTCCAACTTCAAATCGTACTCTATGTGTGGAATGCCAGTCGTGTTTGCAATTTGCGCCACAATATCTGTGAAGAAACGGGGGAGCATCGGTGAACAGATGTCTTTAGCCTTACACTCTAGAGGCGAGCGTACCACTGGCTGCCTTTGAACTTGGTCCAAAAATAGCCGCAACGCCATCGGAAATCAGTTCACAAGCTATACGGAAGATATTTATCTCATAAATTTTGCTGTCCAAGCTGCATGGGTATTTATTCACTCACTCAGCTGCTGCAGGAGAAAACTATCATTGGTGGGCATATACCTCTTGATTGGGATGAACCGGACGTCGCCGAACTTCATGTTGTTGACATCTCGGAAGGCCTGATCGAAGCTCAGTTCGATATCCTTTTCATTTTCATAGAAAATGGCACCTTAAATCATAAATTTTTCACTAAGCCAATAGTTTAAACGCATTTTCGAGGACCTACCCACGGAAATTTCATTGCGATCACCTCCGCCAAAGGCGAGTATTGTTTTAAAAAATACGATAATGAAAAGGTAAATGTGACCTGGACACAAATGCATTTTTGTATTCTTCCGAAATACTTGTTTAACTCAAAACACTCAAATCTAATTGAATTTTCTAAATGCAGCAGCCATTTCGGTATATTCACTTTCCAGTTACATATATATATGTACAATATATGTACAGATGAGACACACACGCAATCACCAGAAATTACGCAAAAATTAAAAAGTGAAATTATTTTCCGAGATTTTTCCACGCGACACGGCGTCCAGTCTTAAAGCGCCTCGCGCGCCTACTGACTGCCACTACGGCTGCCACGAAATGGATTCCCAGCGGGGGCTCTCTTCGCACTTCCTCTCTTCGGAGACACCGGCCCACGGATCGTATACGTAACGTACTCTCGGGCGGATACGTTATGACGTCGCACGGTGACGTAGACGGCACATCAATCAGGCAACCGCCATTTTGAAACTATGCCAAAGTACAATTTAATAAATCTTTTATAAAGCCACTATTAAATAAAAAAAATTAAAAATAAATATGTAATTTGATTTCTACTATATTTTATTTTTTTAATCACATTTTACGGCGTATTCGATGATCATAAACAGCACAAAATCCATGTTTTTCTGATTCTAGAAACGTGCACGATGAATGTTCTTCAGTGATGAATTTCTCGATAGGCAGCAAGGAACCATCACCCTTGAAGAGAAAACACAATCCTTTTCCAGCATCCGGAATAATCCTATAGTTATCCGATTCATTGTAATAGACAGTGGCATTCTTCCAAGTGACAAAGCTCAGATCCTGGTTGTTTGGCTCCAACCGACGGCGTCCTGCAAAAATATCCGACCAGGGATGACATTTAAACTCGCCGAGCTTGAACCTTCGCATGCTCTGCTCCAAATCAATGTAGCCAGAAACACTGAAGCCCTTGGAGTCTCGGGTGCTTACGAAAATAATTGTCTAGTTTGGAAAAATATTCATTTAAATTTATTAAAGCTTAATGACTATAAATTGGTTAATAGGCTGCTTCGACAAAAGTGACAAGAGATAGCTACAATAAACCTTCAGGCAGTGGCGGATTTAAGGAAAAAGGCCCAGTGGGCAAAATTTTGTCAGGGTACATTGAAGGGTATTTTGAAGGGTACAGCCCAGAAAATTTGACAAAAAATCTTAAAAATATTTTGTTCCCAGATTTTGATGCAGATTTATGGAGAATCGATCCAAAAATCGTTTAAGGTATTCCGTTCAAGAATCGGATCAATATTTCCTAAGATGTGACCTACACAGTGGGTCATATGGGGCTCCCCATGCATTTTGCACATTTTGAAGGGGACAGCCCAGAAAATTTGACAAAAAATCTTAAAAATATTTTGTTCCCAGATTTTGATGCAGATTTGTGGAAAAGAAATCGAAGGTGTAACTTTCAGCACGAGGGGCCCTGAAAGCCTTTCGTCGGGGGGGCCCAGTGGGCAAGCGCGCCTTTGCCCACCTGTTGAATCTGCCACTGCCTTCAGGGTATTTAATGTAGTAGTTTCTATCAGTATAAGATAATATTTTATCGAAATATAATCGTGCCAACAATATCTTACCGATATTGTCTTAGTCGTGTTTAGTCGCTCCCGTTCCGAAATCGCTGAAACCAATGGGTCCACGGCCATGATATGCTCACTGAAATAAAAGTGGGAGCCCAGGGGCCGGAAGTGCTTGTGCCTGAATTTGGAGGGTGAGAGCACTACCGTCCCGACCATCGCCCTGAGTGGAGCCAGTTGACGCCTAACCGACCCATTCGGCAAATACCGTCTGTCCTCGATCCTCACAAAGGTATCCAAATACCTTTCGTAGGCATGACGTTCGTTTCTAAGTTGCTTTGAACTTTTCCTATGCTTTTCGCTATGGACTGTTTTATTATCCAAATGACTATCAACATTTATTTCAATTGAAGTGCTGTAATTCGAGCTGGAAGTTCTCGAAGACGATGATTTTAAAGGGTTTTCAACGTCAACTTTCACAGGCAAAGATTTTGCTAATGTCTGCAATGAAACCCATTATATTCTCTAGGAGAAATATTCATTAAAATGCACCTACCTTGATGGGTTCCATCATTTAACAAAAACAAAGAAAACACAACAAAAAGAGATAAATGTGTGTGCCAGACATCGAACATCAACAAACGTTGGAGTGTGAATTGTGGTCAGAAGTTTTGTTTTGACAGCTAAACCAAATGTAAATGGGAAAATAGTTATTTCTGACATAATCACACTTGAACACTTACACTTTTCAATAATCCACACACATTAGAATTTCTGATAGACCACACAGAGCGAGAGGCTCTTTCCTAAAGTCCAAAGACACACAAGACACTTACAGGAATGGATCAAGGCAAGAACGTGGACTTTAGCGTATTGGAATTCGAAAACTACAACGATTACATTAGCTCCTTTGCCACTGCCCAGGACTACCGGTATCTGAACAACCAGAACACTATCAAGACCATCGTCCAGCTGGGCTATCGTACCACCAAGATTCCCTATAGCTCCGATGAGTTTGCGAAGCGTGTCACCATGGCCGTGGAGGCCATCAGGCCAAAGACCACGCACGTTGGATTATTTGGCGACTTGATGTCTCCGACTAACAAGGACCCAGTGCTGTTGGAGTTCAAGGCTCGAGAGTCGCTTAACCGTAACAAGATCCTATCGGTGACTTAAGGCCTGCCTCCTTTTTCTTTTTTATACCTTGTAACCTATACTCTCCTCTTGCAGACAATCGTTTTCACCTCATATGTAAACGTCGACGGATCAGAGATTTCCGGATATATCGATCTGGATATGAGTTGGCGGAACTGCTTCATACAATCCCTGAAGCACACGGATTGGCGGGGCGTCTATGCGGGTCGCACCCGGCTTAAGCCCTTGCCTCACCACCTCAGCTACTCGAACCCCAGATATAACATGGTCAAGTACACCCAGAGCGACAACTATGTGGTTATGCACGATCATCATCACGGGCTGATGTTTATGCACAGGGGAGACCACAAAATGATTACGGTGGGTGGACAACACAATATATACACGAAGAATGCCAAGAGGTCGATGGTCTATTCACCAAAGTACGGATATGTCGTCTTCTACGATCACTTTGTGCGCAAGAAGGTCTAGTCCTGGTCTTGTCCAAATCAAAATTTTAAATAGTGTATTAGGAATATTTTATGTGAAGCATAAACAAAAACAACAATTAAACTATTAAATAAAATTATCGAAACACAGGCATTTATATATTTACTTAAAAGATATTTTAATAGCTTCTATACACGAATGTATAAATATTTCTGCAGACCATAAATCAATGCAATTAATCACCAGAGATAAACCAATTTTGGGGACTTCGTTCTTAGTTAATACCAATACATTTGTCCCCTGCTCTCAGAATATTTGATTGTTTTTAGAATACCCTAAGCAAAACAAACACCAGAGACACTCTCTCTAGCCGCTTTCGCACTCACATATTTTTAAATTTAGCATACTTTTGAATCCAATCGGATTTGTTGCTCATTGCATCGCAGAGCTCCGGACATCAAAACTGCATTTTACTGAAATTTTCTCGTCTGCGGGTTTTACATCATCAACAAAATAAACATTTAACTAAGACGTTTACATCAATGTTATCCTCCAGTAATGGTTTCCAAAATGTGTACCCTACTGTTTGCCCAGCTTCTGCTGAGCCTTTTACCCCTAATTTCGGCTAGAAATCAGTTTTTTGTGGGTAAGTAGGTCACCTGCCCTAATGCGGCCTCTTAGACACAATTTGTCGCTTATTTTCGTTAGGTAGCATCTTTACATCGGACAAGGATGAATCGGAAATTGCATTTCGAACCGCAGTCCATCGAGCCAATATATTGGAGCGGGACATAGAACTGGTTCCCATCGTCATGTACGCCAATACAGATGATAGCTTCCGTATGGAAAAAATTGGTAAGGTCTTAATAAGAATTTTTTCTTGCAATACTAATCACTTTTTTTGCAGTTTGCAATTTAATTTCCCAAGGTGCAATAGCCATTTTTGGACCCAGTACAGGCAGTAGTTCTGGAAAGTATTCAGATATCCCAATTTTACTTATAAGGTATGTAATGGTATATCATCCATTATCATTGCAGATATAATAGCTTCCATCTGCGATACATTGGACATACCTCACATTGTATACGATTGGATACCGAACGAATCTATACCGGATAGAGAACACTCCACCATGACACTAAATGTTCATCCCGATAACCTCTTGTTATCCCGAGGATTTGCTGAAATCGTCCAAAGTTTCGGTTGGCGAAGCTTTACCGTTGCCTACGAGTCCGATAAAGGTCAGGTCAGCTAACCAAAAAGTTGATAATCCCTTTTAAAAAATATAATTACCCTTAGAGCTTCAACAACTCCAGGATATTCTACAAATCGGAGAACCTACCAGCTACCCCACCACGGTAAAACAGCTTGCAACGGATGGAGATCACAGACCCTTCCTAAAGGAAATCAAACTATCCACCGACAACTGTCTGATCCTGCACTGTTCTCCAGAGAATTTATTGGGAATTTTACAGCAAGCCAATGAACTGAAAATGTTGGGAGAATATCAGGTATAAGGTAATGGGCTTGAAAAACCGAAATCTTAAGAAATAACTTTTTCAGAGCGTCTTCATACCCGTACTGGATACCCACACGATAGACTTTGGTGAACTTTCTGGAGTTGAAGCCAACATAACCACAATCCGCCTAATGGATCCAACAGACTTTCACATAAAAAACGTTGTCCACGATTGGGAGGAGCGGGAGAAGCAGGACGGTCGTTACTATAGCGTTGAGCCCCATCGGGTAAAAACCCAAATGATACTCCTGAATGATGCCGTTTGGCTCTTCTCGAAGGGTCTAACCCAGTTGGGAATTCTGGAGGAACTTGCAGCTCCCGAACTGGAGTGTAGGCGGAAGAAACCATGGTCCTTTGGCAGGCGAATTATTGAGTTTATGAAAGCAGTAAGTTTTCACAAAACATTTTTGAAGAGTCTCAGATTGTGGTTCTAATGATTTTAATACTCCACAGCGTTCTGAAGAAACAGCTACTGGAAGGATTGACTTTAACGAGTACGGACAAAGAAGCTTCTTCACTCTACGTTTCATGGAATTGAGTTCCGGCGGCTTTACGGATCTGGCCACCTGGGATCCAGTAAATGGCTTAGATGTACTTAACGACGACGAGGAAAGCGAAAAGAGAGTGGGTTTGAAATTGTCCAACAAAACGTTTATTGTATCCTCCCGACTTGGAGCTCCATTTCTAACACTCCGGGAACCGAACGAGGGAGAAATTCTTCAGGGAAATGCGCGATATGAGGGTTACTCTATAGACCTCATAGATGCAATCGCCAGAATGTTAAATTTTAAATACGAATTCCGTATGTCTCCCGATGGTAAATATGGGGCTTTAAACAAAGTAACCCAAACCTGGGATGGAATTGTGAAACAACTCATCGATGGTGTGAGTATTTTATATTAACATAACTTGTTTTTTTTAATTAAAATATTTTTTTCTTTCAGAACGCTGATCTTGGAATTTGTGACCTTACAATGACATCTTCTAGACGTCAGGCTGTGGACTTTACGCCTCCATTTATGACCTTGGGAATCAGTATTCTCTTCTCCAAGCCACCCACCCCACCCACAGACCTATTCTCCTTCCTGTCGCCCTTTTCGCTAGATGTTTGGATCTACATGGGATCAGCGTATCTGTTCATATCTCTGCTCCTGTTTGCCCTTGCTCGAATGGCACCAGACGATTGGGAGAACCCGCATCCTTGCAAGGAACCCGAAGAAGTCGAGAATATTTGGTCTATAATGAACACCACTTGGCTTTCAATTGGCTCACTGATGGGTCAAGGATGTGACATCCTGCCCAAGTAAGAAAACCACTTCAAAAGTCAAGCTGTCAAGTATCCTACTAACCAACGTGTATTATTAGGGCTGCTTCCACCAGACTGGTGACTGGAATGTGGTGGTTCTTTGCTTTGATGATGTTGAACTCCTATACCGCAAACTTGGCCGCTTTTCTGACCAATTCCCGCCAGGGGAATACCATCAGCAGTGCCGAAGATTTGGCTGCTCAAAATAAAATAAAGTATGGAGTCATGTCCGGTGGCTCCACCCAAGGCTTTTTCCGGGACTCCAACTTCAGTACGTATCAGAAAATGTGGACAGCCATGGAGAGTGCCAGTCCATCGGTGTTTACAAAGACAAACGATGAGGGAGTCGAGAGGGTCCAGAAGGGCAAGAACCTCTATGCTTTTTTTATGGAGTCCACCACCTTGGAGTACAATGTGGAGCGGAAGTGTGATCTGGTGCAGATCGGAGGCTGGCTGGATTATAAAAGCTATGGTATTGCCATGCCCTTTAGTAAGTATCATATCAACTTTGACTATTTTAATTTACTTTACTTACTAAAACTATTTTCAGATTCTCCATATCGGAAGCAGATTAGTGGAGCTGTTCTAAAACTGGGAGAACTTGGCCAACTTGCCGAGCTAAAGCGCAAGTGGTGGAAGGAAATGCACGGCGGTGGCAGCTGTGAGAAAAGCGACGAGGAAGGTGGAGACACACCTGAGCTGGGACTGGAGAATGTGGGCGGTGTTTTCCTTGTACTGGGACTTGGGTTATTTGCAGCCATGGTTCTGGGATGTACGGAATTTCTCTGGAACGTCAAGTCGGTGGCCATCGAAGAGAAGGTAAAATTCCAAACTACATTGCTTGAATTGAAATTAATTTACATATGTAGGTATGTTGGTGGTTTTGACTAATCGACTACTATTTAAAGGCAATATCCAGACACTATGTGAAAATCTGTTTACATATTAATACTTTCCATAGATATCTCTTAAAGATGCCTTTAAAGCCGAAGCACTTTTTGCGGCAAAAATATGGATTGTCACAAAACCAGTGCACACCAGCACTGGCGATTCGTCCTCATCGAACTCGTCGAGCTCATCATCCAAGTCCGGAAAGGCCCCTTCCAGCAGATCGAAGCACTCTTCAAAGTCACCAGGCATTTCAATGAAAAGTATTAAGAGCTCTGACCATCACGATGTGGAGGCCTCAGTTCACAACAAACTGAAGAAAATTGGTTCCATGTTCTCACTAAAATCACAAAAGACGACCACACCACCTCCAGAAATTGGATGGAAATTGGACAAGTCAACGCAGATGGATGAAATTCCGGCTGAAGAGGAACCCGAGTTGCAACCTGAACCAGAGCAGCCACCACATAGACACCATCACCACCACCATCATCGTCATCATCATCATCATCACCACAGAGAGGAGCAACCGGATCCAGATCAGATACAGACCTATCGGGCCAGCAAAATCAGCAACGGAGTTTAAAAGGACATTTTCTTTTTTATGGAATGCCGCCTAATTGTTATGTTTCACTAAATATTATCTTGCGGCATTGACATTTATTTTAAATAAATAAGTACAATGTATATTGTACCTATTTACACATATTATATACATGCACTTTTTATTTTCGCTTGGTTTTGGATTACAAATTTCGACAATAAATTTTAAATAGTAAAATAAAGATTTTAATAATCTAGCTTTGATATATATGATTTTTTTTGTTTAATACTTAGTTTTTTTAAGTAATTGTTTTGCATTTTTTCGAACTAATATTTTAAATAATTGTGAGTTGGAGGTCGAAAACATCTATTAAGAGGTCTTTTCTATACATCTGAGTTTCTAATATATATCCTTGCAGGCAATTATATGTTTTTAAAAAGTTATTGCAAGAAGGAAACATTTAAGATTAGAATAGGATGTCAGTCACACTGAAGCAGATCGTTATAAGCGGATAAAGTATGAATGTCCTTTTAAAGAAATTCACGAGAAAGCAATTAAATTCATATAGAGATCGAAAAAAATGGTTAGTAAGTTAAAGGCTACATATTCTCGACTGCAAGGATATAAGATCCTCGGCTTGGGCCAAAGATAGGGTTTCTTATTCGTTTATTTTGAAGGTACATCATTGGTTGCTTAAGCTATCTTTCAATTGTATTTGCTTTTGGATTTTTATTGAGCTTCTTTTGCACAATTTTTCTAGTCTTCACTTCGCATACATCCATAGATAAATAGAGTTCTATACCTAGTGTTAAACCACAAAAAAACACAGTTCGAATTGGATCATAAGAGAAGAATCTAATCAATATGGTACAAGAGAAATAATCAGAAAGTAAACATTTTGTACAAGTCGGTTAAATCGTCATTTTAAAGGGTACGTACATATATACAGATTAAGAATATTTGAAAATTCTTAAATACTAAAATTAGGTACATATAAATTAAAATACTTTTTTTTTTCTTTCGTTTTTAGGAGTATTTGTTATTTTTTTTGTCAGACCTTAAGTCACACTCTTCCCCCCTTTGGAGGACTGGTTTTTGCAACTTATTTCTTGTTTTTGGGGATTTTGCTAACTTTGCTATTCATCTTATCCTGGCTCCGCCGGCTTGGTCAATCCTTGGCTGCAATGGCTACAGGAGGGAACTGACGCTCATCGTACAGCTTTGTTGGAGTATCGATGGCATCACACAGCTTGCGAAATTTTGCGGAATCTGAGGAAGGTGAAGAATTAGTTTCGTTGCCAATAGCTAGTCATAATAATGATTCTAACCTGACATGGCATCCGCCTGTTCACCCCTCAGAATACTCGCATAGCTGTTGTCTGGCATCGGATCAGGATTCTCGATGAGAACACTCGCTGCACAGCTTTTCAGCATGTTCAGAGATGAGGGTTGGGCTGGTATCGTGGATGATGTCTTTATTTGCGACCTCAACACACTCTCGCTCAACTGAAGCTCGATTACATCTTCAAGGGCACCGCGTAGATCGTGGACAGCCAAAAGCTTGCACGATCCTCCCCGCTCCGCATTAAAGTCGTGGACATAGAGGAATCCGTCTTCGCAGGCGATGAGGAGGCGCAGTTCCTTTTGCACGCGAGTCAAGGCGCAAATGTGCTTCAGACCCGCCTGTGCCAGTTGCACAGTGGCGAAGGATCGGTCCTGGGCCAGAACATCAGTCACCTGTGAAGGCAGCAGCAGCGAGGACACCGCTTTGGAGAACATGCCTCCCCAGCTAGCAGCAGGAGCGGCCGTGCTGTTGGCTTCCTCAGCAGAAGGAGCCGGCGCTGCCTCCTTGCTCGCCTCATCCGACTTGGCAGCTACTTCGGCTACAATGATAAGGGGTATGGGTTATTTCTAGTAATATTATTGTTTAGCTAATGTGGTCCTACCTATAGCTTTCAGCTCCACCGTCTCCACAGCCTGGGCGTCGATCTTGAAGATGTGAACGGTTTCCGTGTTGGACGAGGCGCAGAGGAAGTCGCCGCTGGTCGCGAAAACCAGCGAGGCGATGCGTACGCAGCTCACGCCTCGCCGAAACTCCTGGACCCGCTGTCCATTTTTGACGCAGAAAACCCGGATGACAGTGCCACGCTCGGAGGCGGTGGCCAGCAGAGTGCCACTGGTCGAGAATGTCAGTGCCGAAAGGGGCGTGGCATGAGCCTTGATCGTGATGCCAGTACGGAGCTTGCTCGCATTGAAGATGCGCAGCTCCCCGCTGGTCTGACAGATGGGGAAGGCCAAGAGGGAGTTGAGCGAGAGGGCGCACAGGCCCTGCTCGTTGGGGGCGATGTTGTCGATGGAATGCAGGATCTTCATGTCACGAATGTCATGGATGTGTATGCTCTCCGCCAGGCAGACAATCAGACGCTGGCGGTTCATGCGAACGCACAAAATATCCGACGGGTAGAAGCAGTTGCAGATGTCCTGTTTCTTCTTGAAGTGCAACATCTTGAGGCAATTGGGCTTCTGGGCAGTCACCAGGACTACTAGGGAGCTGTTGAATAGCCTCTCCGTAATCCGTATCTGCTCTGTGTTATCCTTGGCGAATATCTCCTCCACCTTGTCCTGGCCAGATATCGAGTACAGGCGAAGGCCCGTGGAACTCAACACGGACAATGAGCTGCAAAGTACAATAAAAAGAGGTTTTACAAGATGTTTCTGGCGAGAAATGACCTAACTACCACTAATAACTACTTTTAGCTATAAGGAATCTAACCTTGTTGGAACCTATAAGGATCCAATTCAATATCCTTTCAGCTTCAATGAGTTTATCCCTGAAGAAGCTCCCTCTTTATTATTATGAACATCGAGAAAAGCCTTTCTCTCCACAACTCCATCTTCATAATTCATATTTATTATTCAATTAGCCCTCTCGGGCTTGCAAAAATTGCCGTAGTGGACGGTATTTCACGTCCCCATGGCGGGGTATTGGTTAAAGTTTTCAACTAGCAATAACCGCACCTCAGTAGAACTTCATCGGTTACGGTATTGCCACTGCGCAAAGATAACGAATACCAGTACGGCCAGACTACTCCATTCCAGCGCAGCTAGAAGCGGTTGTGAATTATAAGGCCGCATACTCATAGCAGTGCGCAACCACCAGAAAGGTGCAGCATGCTTTTGGGCTCCACCTTTGAGAGTTTTGTTGCGAAATGCAATTTTTCAAAGGATAATGAAGGCTGTTCAAAGGACACATCCTTTTTTTTAATATTTATAAAAACTTTTGTTGTTATTTTGAAATATAATGCAATAAAGAAATAATCATTTTGAAGCTTGCAATTTCTTGAATATTTTGCTTTCTTTTTTATCTTTATAAACTGGTTAACCAATATTTCCCATTTATAAATCTTATAACTTCAAGAGACGTCTTCCATAGACCTTCAAAAAGTAAACAAACCCAAACGAGAGGCTTTTGGGGAGAGGCGCCAATGGGGATTTAAACGGTTTGGTAAAATTTAGGACATTTTGATAAAATACCACTTGAGTTGATTTAATTTTAAATACATTTATTTTTATTTCATCGATTTTTCATGTAGGTTCTAATTGTTGACTAGATGCCATTCTTATTTATAAGATCCACCTGGGAAGTTGTAAAATAAATTTAATCTTAAAAAAACTATTAGCTCTTTTCTTAGCTACCTTAGATTCCTATTATTAAAAAAGATAATTATTTAATTTATTTAATTATTTATTTAAGCTTAACTTGCATTAAAACAAAATATCTTGCAATTGTAAGTGCGCCTGAAAACAGTGCCTGCCATTTAAAGCCTATTTCTGAGAGTTTCAATATTTGAATAAATTCTAACACAACATTCTTGAGATCAAGCTTTGAACTTTCGCGAATTGTGTCGAAGCACTTTGTACCCTTTCGGAGAGCCACCCTCCTCTAGAGAAGGTCACTGGGCGAGAGCTGAGATTCTCCTTCTGCCAAGTATATGTGCATGGCCTTGTAGAGCAGTGCGATGCCCAACTGCTTCTTCTGCTTCATCGTCCAGGACTGAGCGGGGCCGTAGTAGTCGCCGCGCTTCATGTTGGTCAGGTGCACCAGGCCCAGGGCATCAATAATGGACGCCTCACGGGTGTAGGCATCAATGGGCATAATGTTGTGGAAAACATGCAAGCAGACAACGCCACTTCCGTGCTGCCAAATGCTCAGTATCCGATCTAGCTTCTCGCTGCCCATCTTGGAGTCCGCCGGCGGTGGAGAACGAAAAACTTCCGGCTGCAGGGTTCGGAATCCTCCAGGCCGTTCTCCATTCTTCATCTTGCCCCTTTTCTGATGGAGACGTGTGTGCTGTCTCATAGCATCGTAGAGATGGGCGTAGGGACGCGAGGTCTTGCCCTTGCCCACGTAAAATATGGAATCGAGGAACCGCTGCCACACATCGAACTTGTCCAGGAAGGCGCTTTCCCCAGGCAGGTTTCGTGAAATCCGCGGATCGATCAGCATGTAAATGAAGCTCTGCTTCAGATGTCCCTCCCGCATGTTCTTCTTCGGCAGGTTGCACTTTGCGAAGTGCTGCGCGGAGACAGCCTCGTGCGGCATATAGTCACTAATCTTGGCGAAATCCTCCGGCGAGCGCAGGGTACGATGCAGCTCAACCGAGTACCGAATCTGCGAATCTTGTGCATGCTTCTGGGCGGCCAACAGGGCATCCGTGTTCCTCTTGTACTTGATGAGCTGTTTGATGTACAGACGTTTGGTGGTCTTTGTGATTGGACCGACAGGAGCACCCAGCTGGGTAAGTTCTCGGCGCAAGGCATCCGTTTCGTAGTCGAGCGGCAGAGTTAGGTTTGTGCTGACTGTACTGTCGAGATCAGGTGTCTTTTCCAGAGGTTCTACACTGACTGGCTTCCGGCCCTCTCCGTTTTGGAGAAACTTCGCCTCGTAAAACACCAATCCGTTTTCGTCATCCGTGTGCACATAAGCCTCCTTAATCTGCAGGAAATATTCATCTTGTCGCTGCCGTGAACTGTCCATGTCATCGTTGGCGGTAAAGAAACTGTGCTCAGTCTCGGGCTCCACAATTACTGCTTGGGAGACCTGCTCCACCAACTGCTCGAATACCTGTCGGCAGGAGTTGGAGGCCTCTTCTGTTGCCTCCTCGGAGTTCTCCTCGAACCGAAGCTGCTGCTGAACATGCTGCTTGTAGTTAAAGTCATCTTGGCCGAGGGCCTCATCCACTAGTGCCTCCACATGCTCGTCGTATTGCTTGAGAAGAGACTGGCGAGCGCGAGAGCGATTGACCTTTTCCCGCCAGCTCTCGATGAGCGTGCGCTGCTTGGGGTGATCGGGATCCTCCGAATGGCGGTCTTGCTGGCTCTGAATGAGCTGTGTGAGATGTGCTTCTGTGAGGGAGAACAGGTTGACCGACTCCTCATCCGGCAAAGGCGGAATATTGTGGAGATCATTGCTAACATCTGGAAACTTGGGCTGCGGTCGGTGCCGTCTGTGGGTGATGTTTATGTAGTAAGGAGAGGTAACGTCGTGATTATACTTCAGCTGATTGGGAGTATTTAGTTGCTCCTGCTGCAACTTCTTCTTTCGCTTCTGTTGGAAAATGTGATCCCGCAGAAGCTGTAGGACCTCAAAGTGGCACTCCTCAATAGCGTAATGCACCGGCAGTTTGTTCTCCTCGTCTGAAAGATCAGCTCGAGCTCCGCGCTCCAGGAGCATCTTTACTATCTCAACACGTCCGTAGATGCTGGCGATGTGCAGAGCCGTGGTCTTGCCATCGCACAGGGCATCCACGTCCAGATCGGGGCACTCCAGGAATCGGGCAAGGATTCGTCTGGCTAGATCCTCGTTACGCATCCCACAAACGTAGTGCAGGGGTGCCAATCCTCGCTCACAAGGTACGACGCCAGCATTGATGCTATTCCTGTCCAGCATCGACATGATGTCCGCTTCATTCTCATCCTCCAACGCGTCCAGGAGGGTCAGTGCTAGAAAATTTTCACGCTGCTCCATCGCTGATGACCCCTAATTGATTTTTCCCCATGCACAATGTCTCTCTCTCTAATTGCAAACTGCACTCTTATGATAATTCCAAAATAATAATATCAATGCGATGTTTTTTTTTTGTCCAAAATATCGCATATCGATATAATTTTAAAATGATTTTTTTAATATGGTCACTCTTGAAAGTTTTTAAATAAACATTTAAGTTGTTTAAACATTTTAATATTAAATTTAATGCCTGTGCCCTAAAATAAATAAATTTTTCGAAAATTTACTAAGTTTGTTTATTTATTTTGTTTCTCCTGCCCACCTCTTTGTTGTTTGAAGTTTGGTATTTTTCGAGTTTGTTTTGGTATTTTTTTTTAAGGCTTGCCAGATGTGTGAAAAATGGCTGTTCTGTTTGGTATGCTTCGCAGGTAGTACAGTTTTCAACCGCTCGGCATTTGAATCCGGTTTTTGAAACTACAATAGGCACTTATTATCATATTTGGCAATTTTGGCAAGGAATTGGCTTTCAAATCACGATGTAAGCAATCAGTCTGGGAGCGCAACACGTGTTTGTTTTGATACCCAATTTTCAAAACTAGTTTCCGAAGGGCGTGTGCGCTAAAATGAGGCCCAAGGTTACTGAAGCGATAGCGTTTCGCGGTCAGTTGTTTCTCACTAGTTTTCATACTAATGTTAAGTAGAGTATTATACATTTTTTGAAGCGTCTGTAACACTCTTTAGGAAACTAAGCCCCACCCACCATTTGGTGGGGATTGTGGCAATGTCTGAGAAAATCTCATATAAAATATAAATATAAAATCTTTAAGATTCTTTAATTTTTTTAGTTAAATATCTAAGCCTTTAAATCTTCTTTCTTGAAACTATAGCTAAGATTCTAAACAAATCCTGAATTTAATTTTATTATTTATTTTTAATTATTATTTTTAAAGAGTATATACACTTCAGCCCTAATCTCCTATTGTTTTGTTGTTTATTTGTTGTTACCAACTATTGTTTGTAAACAAAACGCAGTTTCGTAAACACTACGAAAGAAATATAAAAACAACAGTGACTGGCACAAAAAATATGGTCTGAGCTTCAAATGTAATAATTGATAAATTTATACCCAAATTGCATATAAGCGTCATTTCCTGCTCCTGCTCCTATTGAAAAATAAAGGCACTGATTTGCTAGGCTTGCTAATTGGAGTCCATTCACCCTCACAGTGATTTGTTGATAATAAGTTGAAAGGCTCTCCTCCTGTCCCCTATCGGCCCCCCATTCCCCAAAAGCTTCTCTGTTTTTTCCAGAGCTTTACAATCACAATTTAATGAAATAATTCTTGTTTAAAAAAAAGGTCAGCTGATTTGATAAAAAAATCTACATATATATTATTCCCCGGTTTGGGGTTCAATGAGACAAGTATTAAATCTTTTTTATATTATAAATATATTACAAAAATATTGATTATTCAAATCTGAACTGGGTTTGTTGGGGTTTTTGGAAGAGATGAGTTTTTTTTTAAAGAGTTACGGTACATTTGTACTAAATGACATCAGCTGAGCGAAAATAATCACAAAAGTGCAAAACAAAACTTGTTTATTAAGCTTGAAGTTTGCATCTGTATTCGTTCACTAATAATAATAATAAGTATAGTCGTCAGCTGTTGCGCACCTACACATGCTTGTGTGTAGAATTTGTGCGTCGTCTGGCCATCAAAATAAAGGCCTTTGGTGGGGACGTTATTTTTCGTGGTGGCCAGTGTAGTGCCCCACTCCCCCCTCCACAAACTATATTTCGTAATATGTAGATATGTGTATGCATGTTATTGTTATTGGAATGGCTTGTTTGCATGTTCTAATAAACTACATAGACATAAGTGAATGACGCCGATCCCCCCCCACTCTCACCCACATTCGCTATATGAGGCAGTTACAGTTGAGCTATTAGGAACCCCCCCCCTTCATTCCGTGAAATTAAACCACAGCAGCTGTTTTCGCCTTGTTTACTCGTGTCGTTTGTCGATTTTTGTATCTCAATTGTTTGATGTGGATTGCCATTTTTTTTTTTTCTTTTTGCTATTGTGACCTTCTAGCTCTGTACCCGAGGATTAATGTAGTTTTTGGTACTTACGTAAAGTCCTGGTTGAAGTTCATTTGATAAGTGGCCATTGTTTCCAGCTTTTTTGCACTGATTTGATTTTATTCACTCTATTTCACTTTCACTAGCTTTTTGTATATTTTGTAGATTTTTCTATGTACGTATCTTACACTTTTTCACTTTCGAAATAAACAAATATTGATGGGGCAAATAGTCGAGCGAGCAACGCAAACGGTACGATTGGATTTTCGATTTTTTAATTGGGTATTTAGAGTCGCCTTTGTTGTTTTTCTATGACTGTTTGCCTTTGTTTTCTCGTTCTATCAACAAATTCCCCCAACTCACAGGGCACATACACATCGAAAATTGCTCTGCGGAACCAGTTATCGAACATAGAACTGGTTCGATACTTAAAATACCAATTTGACAACGGTATTGTACTAGGGGTATACTAAAACCAGAGTTCTTTTAAAAATAATGTTTTATTTCGAGAATTTACTACTACCGTTTTAATTTTAATTAAATATATAGTTAAACAGATTAAAAACGACTAAATTCTCAAAACAGATATTAAGTAAGTTCTTAAAAATGTATATAAATAAACAAAAAAAAATTTACAGTTGTAATTATTTTTATTCAAACGTATAGCAAACTTGAACAAATTTCAGCACGTGTTATTTTTATATAAAGTTTATAACTCAAATTTAAAAACTTTGAACACTTACCCTGAAAATATTAAAATAAACTGGTTCTTTGAGAGTCTCGAACTAATAGGAAAGTAATGTACAGATTGCAGTATTTTTGGCCAATCAGCAGACAGCCACACTGATAGTCACAATAGAAAATAAAGCCTTTTCATTTGTTTTAAATAGTGGTTTTTATTTGCAAAAAGGCCAGCCCTGCCCTTACAAATATGCCTATTCGAGAGCCGAAAGTGTTGTCCGTCTAGACAGCTTGAGGTTCGAACTAATGATGAGTGTTAACAGTGCGAATTGTGCGGATTTACCAGAGTAGTATACAATTTTTTCGTGAGCTACGAAAAATTTTCCCCGTTCTTGGGACGCATGAAAAATGGCGGCTTCAGAAGGGCCAACAAATCCAATTCAAACCGAGGCGATCTCGGAGGAGTGCAAGGATGACGATGCCATGACCTCCACGCACCATACGTGCGCCAACGATCCCGACTTTGCTGTGATTTGTGCGTTTTTGCAAAAATTCGCCAAGGACTTGGGCCTAAACTTGCCGAATTTCAAACATTTGCAGGACTGGTTGACCAACAACGATGAAGGTGAGAGTGAGAAAGTGTCCAAAAACATGAAAATTTAACTTTAAAATATTAATATTAATAAATTAGTGGCATTGAATTACCCTTCTGATAAAACAAATAAAAATGTCTCAATTATTTTGCATAAAAACAGTTGTCAGGGGCTTCCAAGGCAATGAATGAATCAGAATTTCTTTTTAAAGCAACAATAATTAATTTATTGTTTAATTAATTTGTATTTTAGTTACCGAACTAAAGGACTTGCACATAAAACTGCTAAGAAAAACCCGAAAGACGGTTCATGAGAAGAGCTGGGAATCGGCCCTTAGCAAATTTTGCTTTGGTTATTCTGTACAGGATGCCTGGGAGGTAGAACGCTTCGGATACAAAAACTCCAGCCTCCGGGTCAAGCTGCGAATACTCCGGGTAAGAAATGAGATATATCAGCTCTCCTGGTAATAACATTATTCTTTTAGGAACTTTTGGAGAGCCAGTTCGAGCGCAATGCCAAATTCCGTGCCCACATCCTTACCTTAAATGCGAATACCCTGCGATCGGAGCCCATTGGGAGAGATCGGTTGGGGCATACCTACTGGCTGACGCAGGACGCAGACTGCAACCTGCGCATCTACCAGGAGCACCTCGACGAAGAGATCTGGCAGGTGGTGGCCACAAACCGGGAGGAGTTTGTCAATCTCATCGCTAGGCTACGCGGCAACGAGGTTGTGCTGCCGTCCAAGGACATCGGAGAGGCCGACGAGGACACCAGCAGTAGCAATAGTTGCCCGGATAAGCCGCCACCCCCCGAGGAAAAGGAGGAGGAGGAGGATGATGAGAACGACAAAGAGCCCGAGGAACCGCCTGTAAAGGCGATACCCAACCTGAAAATCAAGCTTCGATCCCCAGAGCAAGAGGAGCAAAAGACCAAGAAGGTCAAGGTAAGTAGGAGAGCTAATCTTGAAAACCAAAGTAATTCCACGATGATTCCCTTTCAACAGCCCCTGCTCATCAGCCAGGCCAAACTAAGCGGCACTGCCTCGCCCGCTCAAGTCAAAAAACGTTCTGTCGAAGAGGTGGATAGCAGTCCCACCGCTTCTCAGGAGCAGCACCAGCTGAAGAAGTACCGCCCGACTCTTCTAGACGCAAAGCGCATAAACAAACCAAGTCGCTATGAGAGCTCCAAAATAGAAAACGAAGGAGAGTCTGGAGAGGAGGAGGAGGACGATGATTCCGAACTGGATGAGGCCGAGGAGGAGGAAGAAGAGGACATCGACAGCGCTGCGGCTGACATCGAAGAGGACGACGATGACGACGAAGAAATAGGCGAGGCCATTGAAGAACCAACTATGGTGGTTAAAGGCCAAGGATCAGGACGCGATTGTGACGCAGTTCCCACAAACCAAATCTGCGAATTGCCATTTCAGTTCGAATGCGAGGAACTCCTATTCAGTGAAGTAGTGGAGGACCCCGTGATGCATGTTATTGGTCAAGGAAGTGGCCACGACTGCCTGGTGGGAAACGGGAAAAACGATGCTGCCGAAGGGGAGACGACGACTGAGCAATCGGAGCCCAAGGCGACATTCTTCTTCGGCGAACCAGGCTGCCTGAAGCTGAGTCCAATAAAGCAAACCTCAAAGCCAGAAACGAAGCGCAGCATCTTCGACAGCCTGAGTGAGGAGAAAACCAATGGAGAAAGTGAGAAGCCCAAAGAGGAATCTTTGCCAGCCAATGACACTCGACCCACGACGATTTCTAAAGAGTCTCTGCCAACACCAGCTCCTTCCCACAAATCGAGTGAAGCGCCTGAAAAAGAAACTAATTCAAAAGAAATACTAAAAGAAGAGGAAGTTCCTGCGGCAAATGAAGTCCCTCGGGATTACAAAATCAAAGTAATTGAAACTAGCTCTGCTTCAACCAAACCTGAAGTCAAAGAAGCTGCTCCAGAAACCACGGCTCCATCGAAAAGTGCTGCAGACGCTGAACACAAGGCTGAAGAAAGAGACGTTCTACCTCGACCGGATGAAAGCCTTAGAGATGCAGACTCAAAACACACAGAAGAGGCTCCAATTAAAAACAGTCTGGCTTTAAAGACAGATCATGAACTCCCACCAGACCAAAAGCGGACGAGAACTGACGTGGAGAGCGAACGAAGTAGCTCTAATGATGATGGGAGTGTCAATAACTTGCCCGCACCTACCCGAGAACCTAGCCAAACTAAGAGCAATACATCCTTGGAGGAAACCATCCCAACGCCACCAGAAATTCAAGAAGACGCAAAAGTGGTTCCTGACGAATCTGTTACCCAAAAAGGACCCACTCCAGAGCAGACTAATCAGATATTAGAGGGAAATACTGGCGACAAGACAATAAAAAAGAGCAATGCCTCTCCAGATATTGAAAAGATATCGGACCAAGTACAAAACGAATTGCCCAATACTGTCAAGAGTCTAGTTTCCAAAGAAAACGGGAGTGGAGATGTGGAAGGGAGTGACGCAAAGCCCAAGCCCAATGATGATTCAGTACCTAAGCCTCCTTCGCCTGCGGCAGCTAGCAAAGATTGCCTTCAATCAAGAAATCGCAAGCGACGTCTCAACGAATGCGACCGCAATCTCAGAAACTCTACCTCGGAAAGCGAAGTTCTGGAGGATGAGCACAAGCAGGCCCAGGAGGAAGAAGCTAATCAAGACGATCTGGACGTGGGCGGCAAACGCATTAAGATGCGCCCGAAAATCACAAACGTGGAGTCCAGACGTAAGGTGGAGGCCCAGAAGACCCAAATCGAGGAGACGACATCATCAAGCGGTGAGGAGGATCCCCGGAGTCGGCATAAGATTGCTGCTCCCAAGAGAAACTTGGAGAAGTCTCCTCCCACCAAGCAAAAACCCACGCTGGCGGAGATTATCGAAAAGAAGCTTAAGAAGACGCCGGAAAAGGAACCCTCTGAAGTCAGTTCCATAAGAGGTGGAGCGGAGACAACACCTCTTAAGGAAGCTACACCTCCGCCCACATCCTTCAGTCCCCCAAAGAAGTCCCCAGTGACGAAGCCTCTAAAGAAAAATCTCCTCACGCAACTGCGGCAGGAAGAGAGCGATGAAGAGCCTGTGCCTCGAAAGCGAACCAATAGCGAAACCACTGTGCCTTTGATCCCAACTCCGAGTACCTCACTCGGCAAGTCAGAGGAATGTTACCGCAAACGTCGGAGCAGCGACGAAGCCAAGGACTCCGCCTCGAAAGAATCCTCTCCCAGCGATGTGACTGCCTCCGTTGCCAATGAAAAGCTTAAACGAAACGAAGAGAAGAGCGTCGACAAAGCCGAGGATCCTCAAGAGCTGGCGTCCAAAGAGTCTTCCCCTCCTGCCAAGGAAACATCCGTGCCTCCTGAAGGATCAGCTCGTCGCTCTGGCCGGCGCGGAGGAGCCGCCGTTGTCTATTCTGAACTTCCCCAACCGAAAAGGACAAGGGGTGGCTCGAAAGAGAAGCCTCCGCCTGAGGATAAAGCTAAGGAGGAGTCCGAGGAGGAAGATCATCCAGAGAAGTCTCCACCCAAAACAATGTTGAAGTCCAAATCAGAGATTAAACGGAAATCTTCGGGTGAGGAACCTGCGAAGAAGTCACCCGTTAAAGAGGAGGCAATCAAGGAGGAAGACGACAAAGAAGATCCAATCAAAGAAGAAGACGTCAAGGAAGATTCAATCAAGGAGGAACCAATTAAGGAAGAAACATCCAAGGAAGAACCAATCAAAGAGGATGCCAAGGAAGAGCCGAAACCAAAAGTTGGACGAGGTCGTGGTCCCCGAAAGAAGCGTGAGGTGGACACCACTAATATCATTGAGGCCAACGATTCCGAGACTCCAGTGCGCCAGTCCCGCCGCATAGCCCAGCAGAAGATCAAAGAGGAAGCAGAACGGCGCAAGCTGGAGGAGGTTGCCCTGCGCTCCATGAAGCAGGAGCTCAAGAAAAAGAAGAAGGCCGAAAAAGAGGCAGATCCCACAGTGCTAGAGCCGTCGGGCGAAGAGTCTGAGTCCGAGGCCAGTGAAGCCGAAGAGGAGGCTCGCAGCAAAAAGAAGAAGAAGTGCCCCGGAAAGGATGGCTGGTCATCCGACTCGGAGGAGCAGCCGGAGAGCGAAGAGGAAGAGGAGGAGCCCCCCCACTACGAGACTGATCCAGGCTCGCCGCTCTTTCGCTCGGATCACGAGTTCTCACCGGAGTCTGAGCTGGAGGACGAGTCCCAGGTGGTACCTATGAAGCGAGCGCGAACTGTGCGCAAGGAGAACGCGGATGACCAGAGCGATGATGCAGAGGAGGCGTGCCAGAAGTGCGGCAAGTCCGACCACCCCGAATGGATTCTTCTGTGCGACACCCCGGCCTGCAACAAGGGCTACCACTGTTCCTGCCTTTCTCCGGTTCTCTTCTACATACCTGAGGGCGACTGGCACTGCCCGCCCTGCCAGCAGGAGCAACTCATTGCCGCCCTGGAGCGTCAGCTGCAGCAATTCGACTCCATGGTGGCGCAGAAGGAACAGGAGCGGCTGCTGGCCGAGGAGCAGGCCGAACGCGAGCGGCAGGCGCAAGAGGCGTCCACCAAGGCGGCTGAGGACGACGATTCGAGGGAGGAGGATGAGGACAACGAAGATGAGGAGGAGGTGAAGAAGGCCAGCAAGGCGGACAAGGTGAAAAGGCGAAGGGGCGATGGCCGCAGCAATCGGCGAGCGGCTAAGCGGGGCACCCGGCGAAGGCGCGGCAACGATTCCGATTCGAGTAATGGAAAATATGAGAGCAGTGGTTCCGGCTCCAGGTCCGGCACAGGAAAGCGCTCCGGCTCTAGCAGCGGCAGCAGCAGCAGCTATTCGGACTCGGACGACGAGCCCATCTACAAGCTGCGCAAACGGCGGCAGATCAACGTGAGCTATCGACTGAATGAGTACGACGACCTCATCAACTCGGCGCTCAAGAAGGAAATGGACGAGGTGGCGGGAGCTGGAAACTTGGGCCGCGGCAAGGACATCTCCACCATCATTGAGGCCGACAAGGAGAAGGCACGGAAGGAAGAGACCTCTTCGGACGAAAAGAAGCCGGAGAAAGAGGGCGACGAGTCCGACAAGCCAAAGGAAAAGGCCAGTGACGACGGCGCCAGCAGCTCCGAAGATGAGATTCTCGTCCAGCGCAACAAGGTCAAGCAGCCGCCGGCCAAGAAGAAGTCCCGGAAACTGACGACATTGGATGTGAGCAGCGAGGAGGACAATGGCAGCGACGAGGACTTCAAGACCTCCAGCTACTCGGACGAGGACACCTCGCAGTCTGGATCCGGGGACTCTGACTCCAGCTTGGAGGTGTACAGGCGTCCAGGACGGGGAAAGAAGCAGAGGAAGGCGGCTAGAAGAGCGGCACGGGAGAGGCGGAAGGACCGAAAGTTCGTCGTGGAAGGAAGCGACGAGAGCGAAGAGGAGGAGCCACAGCGGAGCACCAAGTCAAAGAAAAAGAAGAAGGAGGACTCCGACTATACGGAGACAGAAACGGAGGACGACGAGAACGGGTCGGACCTCTCCGAGAACGTGGACAGTGCCGACTTGTGCGACGACACCACCTCTGATAGCGATGACGGTGCTTGGCGTCCATCCTCCAAGCGCAAGAAGGCGTCGGGCGCCAAGAAGTCCAACGCAGGTGGCATTGCCCGAAAGTCGCCCAAGTTGAAGAAACCCTTTGCCCAGACTGCCAAGAAGGCCAAGCGCTTGGAGTACTCGGACGACGATATTAGCGAAAGTGAGCCGGAAGACGATGACGACGATGGTGAGGAGGACGCTCCGTTGTCGGGAAAGGGCTCTGGCAAGCAGCCGCGTTCTCAGCCTCTGAAACCGACTGGAGCTGCCGCACCGTCGGGCAAGGGTAAGAGCAAACCGAAGCCCAAGAAGAAGAAGCCGCCTTCGTCCAACGATGAGGAGGAAGGTGCCGCCTCTGATGATCGAACTCGCACCCGGGGAAGACGATACGCTTATATTGAGGAGGGTAAGTTGAAGCTTCAAAGGGATGCTGTTGGATATTAACAAGTTTTCTTCCATTTAGACGACGACAGCTCCGATGGAGGAATTAAGCCGGGCGTCCACAGGCCGGATACTCCGCCGGAGGAGCGACAGAAATTCATCCAGCGGCAGGAGGAAATCAAACGCATGCTGGCCGAGAAGAATGCCGAAGGAGCCAAGCTCGCGGCCACACCGCGTCTCACGCCTATCAAGGGGGCTTCGGGTCCTGGCGGAGCCGAGAAGCGGACTCCCGTAAAGGCAGCTGGCGGTGGAGATTCCCTGTCCACAGTTCCTCTATCGGTTATTCGGCAGGCCAAGGTGCTGGACATTGATTACCTGCAGCGCAAGGGCGAGACGATCGGCGATCTGGAGGACGTGGATGAGTCAGAGCTGGATGACGCAGAATTGCCTGACGACCTACCTGAGGACATGGAGGACGCCATTGCGCGTATGGTCGAGGAAGAGGAACAGTTTAGCGCGGCTGTGGCCGCCAGGGAGTTGCCCGGAGCTGAGGAGGTCCTGCGCACTACGCCTTCAAAAGCGAAGCAGGCTAGTAAGAGTGCGCCCGAGGCTGCTCCTGCGGCTCCGGTTCCTGCTCACCCACCAGCTCCAGCTCCCAGTGCATCTGGCTTACAGGAGCCTATGCGGAAGCGTCTACCAATGCCCACAATGCATCCGCCGCTACTGAGACATGCATTCCCGCACTCCGGTGGTCAAGGTCCACCTCACTCTCTACTTCCACCCCAGTCGATGCACGGAATGCACCCAATGTTGCAGCGCCACCTGTCCCAAGCCGTGCCGCCACCGCAGACCATGCAGCTACTTCAGAACGCCCTCTCAGCTCCCCTGGGCCAGCCGATCAGTCGAGGCAACTATCCCCCTGCGCCGCCGTCTTCTCAACACTTGCCCCTAGTCATGTCCATGCCCTCGGCTGCTGCGGCGGCGGCCCACATCATGCAATCTGTCGCCGCATCAGCCGCGGCCCGTCCTCCAGATGCTCCAGCTGGGAATGCGTCCTCGGACTCGAAACCCCGCGGCAGGCGGAAAAAGGTGACTCCCCTCCGAGACCAGTTGCAAAAGCAACAGGCTGCTGCAGCAATGACTGCGGCTACGTCTTCGGTGGCTCCAGGAACAGGATCAGTTCCAGCACCAAAATCCAAGGGGCAACCGCTCAACGCCAGCGCTCCAACTACTGAGGCTCCAGTGATTCCGCGGATGCCACCACACCTTCCCCCGCACCATGGCCGGCCGCATGGACACGGCCCACCTGCAGGCATGTTTCCCACCACCACGGACTTGGCGAGGTTTTATGGACAGCCGCCGATTCCACCCACTGCTGGATCCCGTTCCCCTTCGTCGTCGCCAGGCCCGCCGCGCCACCTACTGCGACCCCCGATGCCACCTGGCCTGCCTCCCTCCCACTCCACTCTGCGTCCTACGTACGGACCTCCGCCGCCGCTTCGGGGCTCAGTGCCACCCACCTCCACGGCTAGTGTAGGCTCGCAGAATCCACGAGCCCCGTTCCTTCATGGTGCGGAGCATCACGGTGGACCGCCAGGTCCCTCGATGGCTGCAGCCTACGCCTCTGGACCGCCACCCGCCAGACATGCATCGCCTCATCTAAATCCTTACAGGTAAGTGGTAAAGATTTCTCGTCATGAATACACTGTAATCCCAAAATCTACTTCTAGACCACCTCCCACCATCTATGGTAATCCCAATTTCCCACCCCGTGTAAATGGACCACCAGGTGTAGGGAGTTTGCGACCCGGATCCGTGGACTATGCCGCCGGACCACGTAAGTTTTGGGGCAACTGATAATATTTAGGGTTCTCTGTGATTAACCATCATTATTCTTCCGATTCTTTAGGTGCATATCCTCCATATGGCTATTACCCTCCACCCCCTCCACTGACAACCACATCCGCTCATGCAGCACCTAGCTCGGTAATCGTGAGTGCTCCGCCCTCATCCACGCCTACAAATCATTCGGTGTCTGCCTTGACGAGAGACAAGTCCCCAGCGGCAGGACCTCCAACGCAGCCGCCGGCACCCTCTCCCGAAGTAGCCGCTGCACCTACGATCCCCGTGGAGGGCAGCAGTCTCAAGCCGACTTCGGTGATAACGAGCAAAAAACTGACCACCCTGGAGGCATACACCATCCAGAAATCTCCAATGGCTGTAGTGGGTGCCACAAACTCACCAGCACCCATTGCCGAGGAGGACTCCGGGTCACCGCGTGAGGCCGGAGCACTACCACCGGGCCCGGGCGCACCCGCTGTGGGAGAGTTCAGCGGGCTGGTGAGCTACTTCAGCTCCCAGCAGGACGACTATGACACATAACTAACATCGCCGGGCGCATAGAGATCTGTAAATAGTGTTGCCCATGCATGTAGGATCGGGCGGATTGATTTCCTTAGCTAAACTAGTAAAGTTTTCCTAATGTAATCCCTATTTTAGAAATTCACACCAAAACTATCCGATCTACTCCAAAACTTTTAAAAAGTTTATTTTCTAATCGGATATTCAAGTTAGAAACCCTGACAACTTATTTCATTAAACCCGACAGAGCTTCATTATAAGCTTGTGTGGACTCCTTCGAGAATAAATCCTAATATTATTCAAAAATTACCTACCGTCTTGGAATAAATCGACCCGCCCCTTTTGAAAAAAAAGATGATTACACCGGAGTGTGTATCTGCATGGAATGTAACTATGGTATGCTTTAGGCCACTTATTGGAAATTCATTCCCAAACGCAATCTACAAAGTGCATATAAGGTGTTGAAGCATTATTGATTCTCATTTTAAGAAATATATATATTTTAATTTCTAATAATCTTCAGAGCCAGTTATATAAACAATTATATTAATTTTAGGCGCCTTTACTTTATTTGTCGACTATCTTAATTTATATGATTTCTTTAGCTAAAGCGAAACATCAACTACTTGTAGTATTCTAATTTTAGATGTAAATTGTACAAGTTCTAACGAAATACATACGCATAAGTAATCTATGATCTATGATACATACCATTAAAACTTAACACGAATAACAAGAAAACTTGTGCATAATCTGAACTACAGGTAAAGAAAGAACAACCTACATTCAAGGCAGCGTCTGACTTGCTTTAGCATGTATACTTATGATAATTTAACTAATTAAACAACTTAAGCAATTAACAACCGAATGCAGCGCATTATATAACAAATAAACCTACCTAATCATGCAAACAGTGCAAACGGTATTCTGATAATGAGAGAAAACAATAAAATCATTTATCATTAGTTGAAAAAATCCCTACTGACTTGTTTTTTAATTTGAAGAAAATGTAACCACTTTTTATAGGAATCTGTTGATGGATCTGTCTGGATTACAATATATCTTAGCTCTATTCTTGGGTTTGGATTAATCCACTAACTTTATCTATCATCTTACGCAAGACCATATTATAATATCCTGCACGCGTCCAAAATGGATGAGATGCCTTAAAGGTCACCTGGCAGTAGGGATGTCGGAACTATATCAAAATATTAATATATCGATATATTTTCTCTTAAAAAAATATTATTATCGGAATATTTTTTGGGCAAAAATAGTCGATAATAATATTTTTGAGTTGGTATTTTCAATATTTTATGTTTGGTCACTCTTAAGCCAGAAATTGGCATTAAGTTATCTTATCACGCCTGGAAGTACGGTTCCATCTGAACGGTTGGCTTCTGCCATTAAATGTATTGTCTGTGACTCCCGTAGTCGAATGACAGACCAGCATATAACCGAAAGAGTTTTTTTTAAATCATTGAAGAAAGATTTGTTTTGTAATTAAGAGCATTAAATAAGATAATTAGGTAATTAGCATTATTTAGTACATATTCCATAAATTAATTAAGTTTTAAAAAACTTTTTTTTTATATTAAGTTTTTTTTATAATTAAATTTGAATACAATGTCCTTAATAATTTTGTTATTTTTTATTTTAAATAACGTAAATAAAAGTTGCTTGAGAGTGGGTATAAATATTTGTTGTTTTTTAAATTCACTTTTTAAATAAAAAATAACTCTTATTTGCAGTCCATGGCGGATGAAAACACATATTAAAACCTTTTTTTAAATTTACAAATAACCTTTTTTCAATTTTAGCTGACCATAAAAAATATCAAAAATACTCGATATATCGATTTTTTTATGTGATATTTCTTAATATTATCGATTGATATTTTTTTCACAGCAAATATCATCAATACGATATTTTTTTAAAAACCAACAACCCTACCTGGCAGTGCACAGAAGCTTCGGATGGTCCGATGGTGTGACAGCTGGCTTTCCTTTTATTTTCAAATAATTATTCATATGGTTAACTAATTGCTTAATTAAACACTCGACAACAAACGAAAATTTTTAGCTAAAGTTTACAGCTTATAAACTTGAAACAAAATTAGTATTTGTATAAAATAGTATGTTTGAACTTTATAAAATCATTTAAGGGCAATATGAATTGTTAATGAAAAATAGAAAAACTTTTATGATTTTTTGGTCAACTGAGGTGACTATCAGAGATTTATAGAAAACTTCAAAATAGTATTATTTGACAATAGATTTATCTAAGGAACGCTGAGAGGGTTTTCAAAATTTCAAATGTTCAATTTTTGGAATCACTTTCAAGTTAAAAAAAAAAAAAACATTTTTTGAGAAATATAAACAGCTTCAGTCAGTTAAAAAAATTTAAAAAAAAAATATTATATTCAAAGTTTCTGTTTGAAATTGCATAACAATACGGTACTCAAAACTATATTTGTATAGTTATTATTTGAGTATATGCCTATATTATATATCATATAATAACTATACAAATATAGTTTTGGGTTTTTAATACGCTCTAAATTAAAAAAAATATAATTTTCAAAACTTTCGCAATTTGGCTCTTGAAATATTGAACTTGAAATATTAAACATTTATTTAAAATTAAACAAAAATCATTTGAAACACTCAGTTTTAAATATTATCTACTTTAACCTAATCTTGTTTTGCTGACGAGTGCAAGTGACCGGGGGCTAACGACATAATCGAATATATATTTATATACACCAACCAATCTTTTTTTTTACAAATTAGGTTTGCTGTTGTTGCTGTTTGAACTTATTAAGTGGTATCATTAAAACGGATTACGCCTCTTTTGAATATTTTTCTCACAAAACGTATCTGCATTGTTATTCGACATCGAAAGAGGCAAAGCCAATTCGGAACAGCGCATAAATTGATTTTATTTTAAGTGAAATATGCTTTCGGATGATGCATTTATGCATTAAAGATTAAGCAATATGTATGGATTCGATCAGCTTGTACAACAATACAACAATACGCAAATATTTTGCCACTGCCGGGCCGGGTTGGGCGGTGTGAAGGCCGTATATACGAAATAGACTTTCGGGAGAAACGTCACAAATATAAATATTTATTTCGAAAATATTGCATCGAATTATTCAACTTATTCAAATTCAGACTCGGCTCAGTTTACAATCTAACAATTCCTTATTTATATATGCAGATTTATAGATGCAATAAGATCAAAACTAGTTGGCAGGAATACTTTTTTTTTAGTATTTAGCAGATACAATTGATTGAAACCTGTCTTTCAGAGTCCCGGCAATTCGACAATAGACAATGATGGGCTGTTTTTATTTTGAAACTGTGTCAGCTGCTGTAACACCAATTAATTGATACCAAGTCGTAGGAAATATGCCGTCTCACTATCGGACAAATTATGAAAAAAAAAAAAAATATTGGGAAGCTTAGAGTCACACACAATTAATATGGCACATAAAACAAAAATCCAGCTAGGGGCTTCACACAGGGCCAACCCTAAGTATTTAATATTTAAATTAATAAAGCTACAGCGCATGTCTGCCTTAGGTATTTCGTTTTCATTAATTACAAGTTCACAGATGCTAGCGCCGAGCCGGGCATCCTTGAGCCGAACAAGCTGCGCTTAGTCAAGCGTGTAGTTTGGTCATTAGCACCGGCCACTATATTGGTCAAACAAGACCGATTTCCGCTAACTGAAAGTGAAAAGCCGATCGTGACCTATGACTTAAGTTGGCGGCCCTTACAGCGTCTTCTGTTTGTCTTTAGCGTTGGTGTGTCCCATCGTCCCCTAGACTCCTATACACTCTGTATCTGTATCTGTATCTGTATCTGTATCTGTATCTGCCCTATTGACATTGCAAAACCCAAATCTCCCGATAGCGATGAGAGGCGAACGGCCGGCCACGCATGCGCAGCATACGCCTCGGAGAGCAGATAGCAGACGTGTTAACCCCACACCTGGTCCGCTGGCCACTCTCACTCACACTACCTTTCAAAGGTTAAGAGTAGGCCTTTAATGAGTGTGATGAGACGAAAAAAATTAAATTTTATTAAAATCTAATCTTGACTTATTGTATACTCTTTGGTTAGAATTTTAAGATATTTAATATTGAGATTGAATTAATATTGAAACTGTATTTCAGTTTAGAGTTTGAATATTTTCTGCAAAATTTATCTGCAATTAAAATAATTATATGCTTAAGTTTTTATAAAATTAAATTATAAAATACACAGTGAGAAGGAAAACCTGAAACCATAATTTGATGCTTTATCGGGCCCACGACAGGGTTAAGTAGCACCGCTCCACTCTGTTCAAAACCAGCGTCTTCTTTTTGACAAGCTGCCTTAGCCGAGAAGAAGAAGAAGCAGAAGCAGAAACCCTCAGCCAGAGACACATGAGCAGACATCTGGCCAAATCATAGATTGACCCAAACCCGTCTTTCGGTATAAAAGTGCCGGCCCATCTGCAGTTGGTTATCATTCAGCTTCAGCGTCTTGCGACCAAAGCTTACCAAAGTTAATCCAACGAACTAACGTAGCCCAACAACTCAACAACAATGGTGAGTAATGCCTTGCATCCCAGCCGATCCTTGTCCCTCAGAGTTGTAACCGTGGTTCTCCCTTCATTTTAGAAACTCTTCGTGTTTGCTGTGTGCGCTATTGCCGTGGCTTCCGCCGACGTCTCCCACCTGAACCTGGGCAGCGGCTACAGCTACAACAAGCCCACTCCCACCTTCAACATCCCCTCGGCTCCGGTGTCGTCTTACCTGGCCCCCCAGGAGGCCCCGATCTCGGCCCCAGTGTACTCTGCTCCTGCCCCGGCTCCAGTCTACTCTGCTCCTGCCCCGGCTCCAGTTTACTCCGCTCCTGCCCCGGCTCCAGTCTACTCAGCTCCTGCCCCGGCTCCAGTTTACTCTGCACCTGCCCCAGCACCTGCTCCTGAGTACCTGCCTCCTGTTCAGGACATCCCAGCTCCAGCACCAGTCTACTCTGCTCCTGCTCCGGCTCCAGTCTACTCTGCACCGGCTCCGGCTCCAGTCTACTCCGCCCCCGCTCCAGCTCCCGAGTACCTTCCTCCCGTTCAGGAAATCCCCGCTCCTGCTCCATCCCCAGTCTACTCTGCCCCTGCTCCTGCCCCAGTATACTCTGCTCCTGCTCCAGCTCCAGTTTACTCTGCCCCTGCCCCAGCTCCAGTGTTCTCCGCACCAGCTCCTGCTCCAGAATACCTGCCCCCTGTTCAGGATATCCCTGCCCCAGCCCCAGTCTACTCTGCCCCAGCACCTGCTCCAGTCTACTCTGCTCCCGCACCCGCTCCAGTCTACTCTGCCCCAGCTCCAGTTCCTGAGTACCTGCCCCCTGTCCAGGACATCCCAGCTCCTGCTCCAGCACCAGTCTACTCTGCCCCTGCTCCCGCTCCAGTTTACTCTGCCCCAGCGCCTGCTCCCGTTTACTCTGCCCCCGCACCCGCTCCCGTCTACTCTGCTCCCGCTCCCGTGGAGTCCGTCGAGTCTAGCGGCTACAGCTACAACGTGCCCGCCAAGCGCTTCCGCTTCTAAGAGGAGTCATGATCGGGCAGCTTGTTAAATTAACAAGTCACTGCCACTCATTATTGTTGAATGTTGTTGTTACACAAAGTTCCGTTGAGATTTTAGACATAAATACAAATAAAAAATAAAAAATATATATTAAATATAAATTACAAACTCTTATTATTGGATAGTATAGCTTGGGAAATCCCATTTTTGAGATGAGCTTACCGATTACCGATCGCAGCCCAGGCACTTAAAATCAACACTATAAAACCGGGCTTAAGAGGTGAGATTTGCGTAAGAGTTGGCAAAATCGGCACAAAGGCAAGCTATATTATAAATAGATGACCTCGGCCGTATGCCATAACAGTTAAAAGGTCCATGATACAGATATCGATCCGAGTTGGAGATGCAGAAAAAGACAAATGGTTTTTAAAATGCTTAATTTACGTAAATCATATAAAAAGGTAAACCAATTTAGTGGACTAATTTTAAGGAGTTCACAATTTATTAAATTTTTTATTTATTAAGGTTATACATTTTTTAAATTTATGTATGATAAACTGAAAATTAATGATGTTTTTGGCTTTGGCGAAGACTACCATTTTTTATTTATAGAGCCTGACAGTCTTCCGAATATTTATTGATCAATGGTCTATTTTATAAAGCTTCCGAGTTACATTTAAAAAAACATAAAATACCCTTGATTTAACAAGTCAAGTCTCTAAATGGTAATGCTAAATGGTTAATGCTAATTGTCAATTGTAAATACTAACAAACCTTCAATGCATTTAAACTTGCCATTTGCGAATTGCAGCAAGGTCGTCGAAACCATTTGGCAGATAAACCGAAACTTTGGAATTATGTCTCATGGGTTTTACTTTTATAATTAGGCACTTTAAAGTAAATATTATCAATCGAGCGAAACTTTTCAGATAAATATTAATACATTTTTTTAACCAGTTCATATATATTTACTCCATCACTTTTAAAGTTTGTCTTTTATAATTTTAACATATATTATATAAGAATCTGTTTAATATCTTAATATACTACCCCGACTAGATATTACCCCGAAATCGTTATTTTAAAAAATTTCTTTAAAAAAAATGATTTTAAAGTTCTAGCAGGGCTCTAAGAAAATAAATATTTTTGTCAAATTTTAAGTTCAAGGCTTTTATTTAAATAAAACTTTCCCAAGACAGTTTTAGTTTTCTGGAGTAACACTTTAAAAATTTAATTAAAACTTAAAATTTAAAAAACAAAAAGAATTAATTACTCCAATCGCCAAAAGGTGGCGCTTTTTGAGTGATGACACTTTGACAATATGTTGCTGGGAGTCATAGTTCCATGCCTATCGATCATCGAACTTATCAATGTTGCAAAATTGCTACTAATTTTCAAAAAATGATATAAAACTCATTTTAGCTCAAAATAATTTAAATGTTACTTTTCCCCTGCTATTTTATTCCACAAAATACACAAAATTAAATGATACAAATAGGTAATTTATGTAACGATTTTTTACCCGGTTCGTGTTCGATTCTAAACGTTCGTTACCGGTTCGGGAAATCACATTTTCGGCCGCTGGGCACACTGTTTCTTCGTTGCTTATGTCTATTTTCTTCATTGTTTATGTTCTAATTGGAATTACCGCGAGGAAGCGGACGGCTGCAAACCGTCAAAAATCCTTAAAAGCGGATGTGTGTAACAGAAATTGAAATTTTAATCATCCCACGGGCAAGGTACTTAATTTCTTATTAAGTTTATCGGTTAAATTAATTTGCAAATAATTAATTTTAAAAAAAAAGGGATCGGAGCCGAAGAAGAGCAAATAAAGTAATTTTTCGTGTGTTGCTATCTCGCTTGTTTAAAAAGTGTGTGTGTGTGTCTTGCAGTGGAGAGTGGAGTGGAGAACCAATGCCAAAGGGCCAAATTTGATTTAAAGTTGCAATTAAAAACGAATAGGATGTTAATTCACAAAATGCAGACGGTAAAGGCATGACAAAACGCGCAACAAGATAAAATTGAAGGTTATTCTTTGTGCGAGTGTGTGTGTTTGCGTGTGTGTGTGAGAGAGTGTTAGTGTGAGTAAATGTTCCAATCACCGCAGCCATTGTAAACAAAAAAGCAAGTGTTGAGAGCGAGAGAGAGATATTGCGCACGCTTGAAGAAAGCAGCCAAAGAGAAGGCTGGAAATGTCAATAAACTTTGCAAAAGGTGAGGAATAACGAAACGAAACGCTAGTGTAAAATAAAATCCAACCGGGGCCACGAAGAAAGCGGGCAAGTGCAAAAAAAAAGAACCAAAAAGAAGAGGGAAAAGAGAAAAAGAAGGTATTTTCCGAGAGACGGCGGTGGACGGCGGAGGTCGGGTTCTCTGATTCCAACGACGCCCGGGACGGTGTGCAGAAAAGTTTTTCTGGTTCTGGTTCTGGCTTGCAACAGCAACCAGCAACAGCAGCTTCCGCGTTTTGTGTCGCGGCTCCAACAAGTTTCGTCGTCGTTATCGTCATCGTCGTGTTGTTTCTCGCCAGTGAATTTTTGTTGTTTATTTTATTGTCAATTTGCAGCCACGGCACTCGCTATATAACCCATACACCCATACAAGTGCGCCGCCGGACTCACCCTGCCTGGACGAGAAATTTACCGTAAATAATTCACAGGTGCAAAATCCAAGTGGCGGCCGATATTTGTCGTGCAATAATCTCAACCTGAGAAGGCCTTAAGGTGGCCCACTAACACATCATATTATTAAAACACAAAAAGCGGTGCTTACAAGTCCACTACAAAAATCTATTTAATTAAAAAAGTGGCCAACTTTAATAATCTTATCAACTAAAAAAAAAATATAATCGACTGAACCAAAAAGACAATCGGATTTTAGTTTTAAAATATGGTAAGATATTTTTATAAAATCGAAATTAAGATTAGTCATATCTGGCAGTGCAGTGCTTGAGTTTATACTTCCAAGTAAATTTTATTATTTTTTTTTTTTTGGAACTCCTCCACTTGGGTCTTCAGGCCATGTCTTCTGGTTTCACGTGTGACTTGACCCAGAAAATATTGGCAAGTATTTCCGTTGCCGGGACGGGCCAGACCCACGATTCGGGATCGGTTATTTCTTGAAAGGCCTCTTGGTCTCATTAAGATTTTGGCTGCGTTGATTTGCGGTTTTTATGTTTATATGCTTTGGGTAGAAAGCCTGGCCTTTAACTTTTAACAAAAAGACTCGTAAGTTGATTGGCTCCTTTGGTCGCCACACCACCGTGTCTGATTATTTATGTTCTTGATGCCTTGGAGAGCCCTTACCTTCTGCGACCATAACTCATACAGTTTAAAGCTGCCCAGGATAATAAAGGGCAATAATAATCTGGCACGATTTTTCTTAATATGACACTGATGCCGTTTACTGAAGTTTTAAGATTCTGGATTGCATCATGTTTACTATACTTAAGTATTCAGATTTCTTTTCTATTCCATGACTTTGGAAATTATAACTTGTCTAGATGTCTCGAAGTCTGTTTGTATGTATATATGTATATATAATGTTGATCAAAGACTGTCATAAAAGCAGCAACCGCAACTCAACTCAGAGCTCTTAACCGGTTCCGTGGCTATATCTTGGGGCGCTCCAACTGCCGTCGATCGGCGACCCACCGCAGACCCCCCCGACCTCTGGCAGTAACCATACCATACATACACTTCCTCCGCCTGCAGTACATAAATAGTTACATACTTACATGCTTTCCAGCATCGATATATGCCTCCGCCGCCTGGCTTTGACTCTGACTGCTAATTAGCAGTTAACAATTGCAACATTGACCTCCTCAACATGTATTTTTCTCTGGTGGTTCTGGTCCGCTTACTAGTTTTACATTCTAATAGTATTTCTGAATATTAACTGGCTTTTAGACCTGCACCTATAGGATACTTATTTCTAATTTAAAATATTGTTTTCTAAATAACTATAACTTTTAAAAAGATAAAAAGTTTCTAGTGGCACTTCAACCATACCAATTCAATATATTTTTTTTTTTTTGTGAATTTTCGACCAGTTATCTGTCGTTGGCGTTGCAGTTTTGGCCAAGTTGTGCCATTTTGTTTGAAACTGGCAGCCACCACTGCCATAACTGCAGTTGCTGCACTATTCTGTGGTTACTGATTTTGTTTTTTTTTTTTTTGTTTTTTCAGCTTTTTTTTCTTGTCTATACGTGTCTATACAAACATGATAGCTTTGGCCAATTTTTTGCCTCGCCAATTTACAGTTGGTGGTGTAGTATGTATGTATGTATGTATGTAGGTGACGCGGGGCCACCAAAACCAAAAGACAGAGACATGTTGCTCGCTAAATGCAACAAAAAAGTAAATGTAGTTGCTGCCGCTGGTTGCTGCAACTGCAACCGACTGTTGCTCATTGTTGTGTAACAATTGAAAGCCTTTTTGGACGATGATTGAACTTTGGTTTGAAAAAAGACTAGTCCTTAGACTTAGAGGCTTGGAGTTATTAAATATTTGTATTATTTTCTAGATTATTTAAATGAGAGACTAATGAATGTAATGGGTATTCTAAGATCTCCATCACTTTGTTTTAATGAAAGGAATATTTTTGAAACAGTTCCTAAAATGAAAAACTTGTAAAGACCAGCTCGTAAAACCATCAAGCCCTAAAATCAACATTTAGACCTTAATTTATGCTGGAATAAACAATAAATTTGTGATAATAAAGTTGAGTCTTTGAAAAATCGAATTAAGAAATCGATAGAACTAAAATTTTATTAAAACAGACCATTAACATAATTAGCTTAGACTCTAAGCCCTAGAATCTAGGGCCTAGATACTAGATACATATCATTTATCCAAAGGAAATACACATTTCGAGTAAGAAACAATAGATTTTCTTATAAATCTAAGACCTTGTTTGTTTGTTTATGGTCTAAAAGTATCTGCATATCTATATAAATATCTATAATTCTAGTATCTATAGAGTATAGTAATATACATGGTATTTATCCAAAGGAAATACACTATTTCAATAGGAGACTTGAGATGTTCTTAAGAATCTAAGACCTTGTTCGCACAATTCCAGTTCTTAGAACTTTTTTTTTTGTTTCTCCTGATGACTAATCACACAAAAATTGCCGCAGAATTCGGTTCTGAGAGATTGGCTCCAATTTGCTTTATTATACATACCCGGTATCCCTGAAATACAAGGGTATATTGTGCTGCTTGTACTCTGTATGTGTCATGGAGATGGATTTAATTCTTTGTTAAAGGTTTGATTCAAGGTCTTGAGCCATACACTGAAGGACAATTATTATTAGAATTATTATTATAAATTCAAGCAAATCGGACTATTTTTTAGATGATCTATAGACTTTCTTCAGTGGCTTAATAGTATCTGGTAATGGTAATGGTATCTTAAGAATCATGAAGTGGAGGAGAAAAGTAATGGGTATTATTATATAATCTAGAAACTTAATCGTAGCCCTTTTTTTTATTTTCTTATTATATGATGAGTCTTAAAAGTAGAGGTTAATTACAAAGTAATTGCTAAATATTTCAAGATAGTATTAATAAAAGCTTCTTATAAGTAATATTGTATTGAAACTAGTAACTATTGATAGACCTCCCACCCAAATGAAGAATCAAAGTCCATAACTTCCTCTAAAAGCCACATGAAGGTGTGGCATCTAACCTCTAATTATAAAAAAATGTTTCAAAAAAAAACCTTTAATGTTAAAGGTAATAATTCTGTATGGTTTATGAGGTGAAAACGGTACTATACCATATCCATATCACTTTACGCGTACCTGGCTGGCGAAATACAAAATCGAACCGAAGAACCGACAAGAGAGTGAGAGATCAATGAACACATTGGTGGGGTGGGGGGAAAACAAGATGGGGCCCAGACACAAGGAAGCTCCCTCCAAGAGCAAGAAAGCCAGTGAAAAGGGGACAAAGACTACTTAAACTTGTTGTGGAGAAGGGGACGACAATAGAGGGGCCAAACACGTTCAAACATGGCCATCAGAAGAAGACGGATGCAGTGAAAAAAGAAGAAAGGAAAGCTAGTTAGTTACCCGCCACACACTCGAGGCCAATATACCCTTTAAACTTGGCTTGGTAAGCTTTGACTCCAATCGGTTAGGCCTTTGGAAAGGGTATCGAGAAGCAGAACAACAACGACTTGTTGCCAAGAAATAAAAAAAAAGAACTCGAACCCAAACTAAGCAAAGGCGGCGACAAAGAGGAAACCATGAAAGAGAGATCCGCACGAAGAACAAAAAAAAAAACAAAAATAATAACACGTCATGGTGACTGCCCTTGCTACCTTGCTACCTTCTTTTATTGAAATCCCCCGCCTCCGCCCCACTGCCCACTATTCACTCTCCACTCACCACTATCCACCACTCGGGTTCTGACTCTGCCTCTGCCTCTGCCAAGAACAAGTTGTAAATGAGGCAGAAACCAGCAACCGAAACAGCCAGCAACAGTGGTGGAAGAAGAACGAGTGGAGTGCCAGCTGAAGACCCAAAGAGAGCGGGAGATAAGGTCATTGGCGGCCATTGACTCTGTCCCGCTGATGACCTTGCCCGAAAAATGTAATGTAGTGCTGGAAGAAGGGGCATCTGCAAGAACTCTATCTGACAGATACTTACTAATACGAATGCAATGCATCTACGAGGTTGACAATCTCGTTGTGGAGCGATAGGGGAACTGCAATAATTATCATAGTTGGGCTTGGCTTTGGGTTCTAGAGGAGCTAGAGCTTATAATCAGTGTATATCCAGACGGGTGTTTCTCATAAAAAGTATCTAAAGGTAAAGATACTTACTATTAGAATCTTTGAAGTCTTTTATGATATTTTAATAGAAAAATATTTCTAAGCTGACTACTGAAATATTTTATTATTGTAAAATGTAATGGTTTAATGGTTAAATTTTTTGCCAGCTCAGCCCAATACCAAAACCGATTGCCAACAGCAAGAAAAGCTCAGCTGCATATGCATATTGCTGCAAAAAAAACGATCGTAACAACCTTGTCCCACAACAACTTGCTGGCGGCTGGCAGTGCTGGCAGTCAGTTCTGTGCTTAGACTTCTCATTTGGCAGTCAACTTGCATATGCATGTATGTACATTACGCGTCGCTGACCTGGCTTTTGATTTTAATTAAAGACACGCAACCGGGCCTAGTCGTCGTATTTCGAGCCAAAGCCAGCTCCAAAAGCAGTAGCGATGGCGAAACTCGTTCCAACACAACGAAAAACTGCAAGAAAAATAATGAAACTCAAGACTCCCTTAAAAAATGCATCACTAATAGAAAACTTGAATTATTTCTTTTTTAAAATTACATCTATTAGTTCTTCAAAAAAGTAATTGTCTGATAAAGATAAAGTTTCTTTACTTTTCTATCAATTATTTAGTAAAATAGTGATTTGTTTTTATTGCAGTGGAAGCTTGGACTGGTACCGGTTTGCTGAAGTTTTGGCCAATGTTCCTATGTCTAAGTTTTTAGAAGGAAACTGTGGCAATATCGATGCCAAATAGCAACGCGACTAAACGCACCTGTTAAAAATCAAGTTTTTTTTTACATAAAAACGTACATACTAAAGGCATTTGTTTAAGAGTAAGTTTTAACGTTATGCTTTAAAGATTAAACTTGTTATTATCTATCTATTATCTATTATCTATTATTTATGTCTAAAAAATACATATATTTTAATCTGGGGCGCAAAGTACCACTCTGAGCCACATGGTCTAATTTTTAAAACTCTTTAAATAAAACTGAAAGGTTTTCTTTTTTATTTAAAATATTTTCAAAATATTAAAACTGCCATCTATAGAAGCTAAATCCCTAGAATCCTTAGAATAATCCATCAAAGCTCTTGCTTTTTTAGGGTTAGCCTGAACCTCTGCCAGATGCAATTGGGGTTATTGGGATATAAATAAACCTTTATCGGCATTATCGGAATTAAACATTTGTCTAACCCTTCACGAGGCCATTAACATAGACTCCCCTTCATGTTTCCAAAAAACTCATATTCGAAGAAAAGCCCGGGAGTCATCCACCCCCATGGTTCGAGGTCAAAGGCGAAAGGGAAACAAAATGTGCAACCCTCGAAGCTCGAAAACAGGGAATATTATATCCAATTCATCAATATTGTTGAAGGGATTTCCGCTTGAGTATACATTTTAATGCAGAAAAGCTTTAATTGTGGAGGTTTTTTTTTTAAAAGAGGTACTAAAGTTAGTCACAAGTCCATAAGTCCAAGACTTATCCAAGATTCTGTTGCCGAGCCAAAACTTTAACCCGCCACTGTATACATGTGTGTGTGTGTGTGTGTTTGTGTGTATTTCGACAAAAAGACAAAACACAAAAATAAGCAAAATAAGAATGCTGACCACTCACTCTACTGTTGGGGGGCCCTCCCTCGCTTCTCACCCGGCCCGTTCACTGAGAACGATTCTTTGCCGCGAGAGAGAGAGAGAGAGCGGCTGGCTAGTAACTTTTCATACAATATTTGACTTGTTCTTTTTCCTCTCTCTCTCTCTCTGGTCACATTCCCCCACACATGCACAGAATGCCCCCAATATGGGGATTTCTGTTCTTTTTGTATACCAAACCAAAGTAAAAGACGACAAAAAAAAAATGACTCATGCTTTTCTCTTTCTCTATCTTGTTGCTCTCTCAAAATCTTAGCCCAGCTCCCCTTTTGGCTCCCCCCTGGCGCGCATGTGTTACGCCTTACACTATATGTATGTGTGTGTGTACATGTGTGTATTGAGTTGTCTTCGTTGCTCCGTCTTCTTCGTGGTCTGGTTCGTCGTTCCGTTGCTGTTGTTGTATGCAAGGTCGTTTGCGTACAAAATTCAACATTATTTGAAGGTCGTCCTTTGGCTGCTCTGCGCGTCGTTCCTCTTTCTCGCTCTCTCTCTTAATCCGTCCGTCTCCTTCTTTCCTTCCCCATTGGGGTAATTTCGTATAAGATATGAGAATTTTTCTTTATTTTGGCAGAGTGTATTTTCCGCCTTAGGGTCAAGGAATTTTCACAGCCAGCAGCAGGGTGGGGGTGTGGATTGTTGTGAGTATTATTTTATCAGAAACTTTTTTTTTTTTTGTTAATATTAGTAATTAGTTTTTACAATAATAATTTTTAGTTATCAAAAATAGAAATATTTTTTAATCAGACATATGGAAAAGTTCCCCTCCAGCAAGTGGCGTGGTTGCTGGGTTAAAGTACCACTCTTCAGTACCCACACTCCCAAGATACGACACCCGCCGGGTGGTCAATGACACTTTTCGTCTTTGGCTGTGGGGCTCCCACCCTAGAGCCCCCCCTAGTGCTGCCCATTGTAATCGCGTGGTACGAAAGAAAGAACAACGACAAGCAATGATAAGAAGTGAATGAACAGAAGAATATGAAAGCCCGCTCGCGAGTAAACTCAATTAGCATAAGTGGCGGTGGATGCTCCGACCAAGGTCGTCGGGGTGGGTAAATGTGGGGTGGCATTGACCCTATTGTTGTCGCTTCTCGAGCCATCGTACAATAGGCCTTAGTTAGTTTCCATGCCAGCAATTCTTTTAAAGAACCACAATTATTTAAATTCGAAATACTAATCGTACTGCCTCTTTCCACTTTCCACAGTTGCATAACCCAATATGGAACCAAACCAACGCCACCTGTCCAATTTCTACAAAGTGTACGACTGAGAGAAAAAGTCTTCGATAATCGATTGTCGAGCCAGAGGCACCCAGTGCCAGGAGAGGCCATACTATTCCCGCTGCCACGTGCCTCACTATGCCGAACATGTCCAGCATCAAGGCGGAGCAGCAAAGTGCACCCTTGGGCACTACCGGAAGTAGCTTTCAGCTACCGACGAACAGCAATGTAACCACCACAACGGCGATGCCGGCGGGTGCTGCTGGAGGAGCCACCCCTTCCAGGCACAACGTCTCCGTGACGAACATTAAGTGCGAGCTGGACGAACCCCCCACGCCCAACGGCAACCTAGTGCCGGTAATAGCCAACTATGAACTCCATTCCGGCAGCCTGCTTATACCGCTGACCGGACAACCCAGCCAAGAGGACGAGTCCGACTCGGAGGCAGAACTGACCAACATTGAGAACCTAAAGGTGCGGCGACGGGCCTCGGACAAGAATGGCCCGCGGCCCATGTCCTGGGAGGGTGAGCTAAGCGAACCGGAGGCCGACGGCGGCGAGGAGCCCATGGAGACCGAGCCGACGATCAAAAGGGAGATCCTAGCCTCTCATGCTGCCACGACCCTGCAACCGATCAAGACCGAGCTGGAGAACATTGACGGGGAACTGAACCAGCAACAGGGAAAGCCATACATGCTGACCAGCTCGACGCCGCACTCTGGCCCGAAGCTGAAGCTGGCGCCGACCCAGAGCGACCCGATTAATCTTAAGTTTGAGCCACCGCTGGGGGACAACTCACCGCTCCTGGCAGCCCGCAGCAAGTCGAGTAGCGGTGGCCATCTGCCGCTGCCCGCGAATCCCAGTCCGGACTCCGCCATACATTCCGTCTACACGCACAGCTCGCCCTCCCAGTCACCGCTGACGTCCCGACACGCCCCCTACACGCCCTCGCTCAGCCGCAACAACAGTGATGCCTCCCACAGCAGCTGCTACAGCTACAGCTCGGAGTTCAGTCCCACCCACTCGCCCATTCAGGCGCGTCATGCTCCGCCCAGTGGAGTCCTTTACGGCAACGGAAGTCTGCACCACCACAGCGTGCTGTACCGACCGCTCAAGATGGAGGCATCGTCCACCGCCTCATCCGGCAGTCACGAGGCGCAGAATCTAAGCATGGACTCTGTCTGCAGCAGCCTGGACGTGGGTAGCTCGGGCTCATCCCTGCCCGCTTCGCCGGCTGGCATTTCACGGCAGCAACTCATCAACTCTCCGTGTCCCATTTGCGGCGACAAAATCAGTGGCTTCCACTACGGCATCTTCTCCTGTGAGTCCTGCAAGGGATTCTTCAAGCGCACTGTGCAAAATCGGAAGAACTACGTCTGCGTGCGGGGTGGGCCCTGCCAGGTCAGCATCTCCACGCGCAAGAAGTGTCCGGCCTGCCGGTTCGAAAAGTGCCTGCAAAAGGGCATGAAGCTGGAAGCCATCCGGGAGGACAGGACGCGTGGCGGTCGGTCCACCTATCAGTGCTCCTACACGTTACCCAACTCGATGCTCAGCCCGCTTGTGAGTCCGGACCAGGCGACAGGATCTGCAACGGTGGCTAGCCCACAGCAGCAACAGCAGCCAAATCAGCAACAGAGACTTCATCAACTAAACGGATTTGGTGGTGCTTCTCTGTCCACCTCGGTTTCCCTGCCCGCCAGCCCGAATCTTGGGGCCTCCATCAAGGTGGAGGAATCGCTGGAGTCGGCGAAGCAGAGCCAACGAACTGGAAGCATTCCGCCGCTCCTGAAGGTACTTCTTAGTTAATGGTTGTGTTTCAACTTTAATTAAAAATTTTATATATTTGTAGGAAATTATGGATGTTGAACATCTATGGCAGTACACCGACGCAGAGCTGGCCCGCATCAATCAACCTCTGTCTGCATTCGCCTCCGGAAGCTCCTCGTCGGGAGCATCATCTGCGGCTTCCTCAGCCGCCCACGGGCAACAGCCACAAGTGACCAATCCACTGCTGGCCAGTGCTGGTCTATCATCCAACGGAGAAAACGCCAATCCCGATCTGATCGCCCATCTGTGCAACGTGGCCGACCACCGTCTTTATAAAATAGTGAAATGGTGCAAGAGTTTGCCGCTTTTTAAAAATATTTCGGTAGGAAATCAATTATATAATTCTATGAATGGTTTTAGAACTTGTGGTAAATCTTTTTTTTAGATCGATGATCAGATATGTTTGCTAATCAATTCGTGGTGTGAGCTATTGCTCTTCTCCTGCTGCTTTCGATCCATCGACACTCCCGGCGAAATAAAAATGTCACAAGGAAGAAAGATAACCCTGTCGCAGGCCAAATCCAATGGTTTGCAGGTGAGTTAGAGTCTCTTTACCTCCAAATTGTATTCCATTTTATTCTAAAACACTCTCTTGTAGACCTGCATTGAAAGAATGCTTAATCTGACAGATCACTTGAGACGTTTGCGAGTCGATCGCTATGAATACGTTGCCATGAAGGTGATTGTGCTGCTACAGTCAGGTAAGCTAAAGAGAAGCCATTAAAGCTATTAAGTTCTAAACTAGAGATTTCTTTCTGCAGATACAACGGAGTTGCAGGAGGCTGTCAAGGTGCGCGAGTGCCAGGAGAAGGCATTGCAGAGCTTACAGGCCTATACCCTGGCCCACTACCCGGAAACTCCCTCCAAGTTTGGAGAACTCCTGCTCCGTATTCCCGATCTGCAGCGTACATGCCAGGTGAGTGTACATACATGATTTTAATTAAAATTAAATTAATAAATGTATTCCTTTAGCTTGGAAAGGAGATGCTTACGATCAAGACTCGCGATGGGGCCGATTTCAATTTGCTGATGGAGCTTTTACGCGGAGAACATTGACAATTGATTATTCAGATGGAAGTCCGCTACCATTGGCACAAGTTTTACATATTTAGTATTAGCTATTATGTATTTAGGATTACGTTTTCTAACTATAAGCTCTGAAAATATGTGCCTAAAACCAAAGCCACAGCAGCAGCTTAGTCGAGCCCGTAGCGGAGAATGAAACTAAGCGCAAAATTTGCCAAATTTTTACACAAATATATATTTTGATATATGCCATGTCAGGGGCTTCGATTGCTGGTGTTGTCGGCCGGTGTTCCAGTAAAGAAAAAGTATATAACGTTTTTGCTATATATACATATTTGACTTATGTATAAAGAAAACTAAAGCACACATGGAAAATGAAAAGACTAAGAAATTTATTTAAGGGATTAACTTTAGTATAACGAAGAAAACGCATAAAAAAAAAAGAAAAAATAATAAGAATCAAGAATCAAATTAAGATAGCGACTTTTTATATGTATCTATTTAAGAGCAAATATTCAAACTATTTTTTAATGAAATGCCAAAACCGATTTGGTGTAAAGATGAGCTGCTAGAGAAGAGAATTTTCGATACATATATCTATATACATATATACATTAATGCAAATCGGATAAAGTCCAATTTTTAAAAGTTTTAGCATTTAGTCTTAGTGCAATTTCACCCACGTCTACTTAATGCATGCCGCAGATATGGTCGCAACACTTTCAACAAGAAAAGACCCCTCAACAGAGCCAGACTAGGGCTGGTTAAGACTCCTCCAGTGATTCTATTTGTTACATGAAAATACACACACACCCGACTACTTATACAATATACATGGTAGTATATATATAAATCAAATGTATAATTGAATTGTATTTTTTAAGTTTGCATTGATTTCTTCTTTATAATTATTATTATTAGTCATTCTTACTTAAATAGCTGAAGCAAATCCTGCAACAGGATTAAAAACACCTAACAAGAAAGTAACAGTTACATGGTATAATTAGTATGAGGTACTCGTATTTGGCGATGTTACCCTTTGTTCGTGCAAATGTACATACATATATAATACCGGTAATCGGACTTAAACGACCTTCGTAATACGGATAACCTATTGTGAAGGAACTTTTCTGAAGTTCCTGGATAGGCATGTCGTCTTAAGTCCGGAGTACCGGCTATTTGAATGCCGTCTTTACTAATTTTTCGCTTATAAATACATATGTTTCTTCAATAGCTAGATCTGTATCCTGAATATTTGTGTCTATATGTGTGTACGTTAACTATAAAACTTTTAGCCCCACCAGAAAACAAAAAACAAAACTCAAAATAGAAAAACTGAAATATTAAAATGTAATTCCAATAAAAATCTATCTTGCATAAAATGAGAACCACATACGTATAGTATTGTGATTCGAACTTAATGTAGAAAATATAATTGTAAAAAAAATCCCAAGCCTTTTTATTTTATTTATAATTTGTAAAGAAATTCGAAAATTTTATTTTTCCTTACAGAAAAGATAACTTGTTTTTATAAAGTTTATTTCAATACCGTCTGCCCCACCCAGCGATGTCCCGTTGATGTACAGAAACCAATTGTATCACTAAAATAGTCTTGTGAAAACTACTAAAATATCAATATGCAGTTTCGAAAGTTGAATAAAAACACAAACATCTAAGCCTAAAATATATTTTTACACCCTTATACCCTTGGGTATTATAATTTTGTCCAAAACTGTGCAACGCAGTGAAGGAGACATCTCCGACCCTATAAATTATATATATTCTTGATCAGCATCACCTCCTGAGTTGATATAGCATGTCCGTCTGTCTGTTTCTACGCAAATATGGACAAAAAATCTAAAAAATATTTCGTCTCAGGACTTTGATGCAGAATGGCGGAGAATCGATCTAGAAATCATTTAAGGTACTCCGCTTGAGAATCGGATATGAATTGAGGAAGATATAGCTATCACAGTGGGCCCTATAGGGGAAAACCACATTTTTAAGGGATCCCATCATGAAAAATGGACGAAAAATCTAAAAAATATTTCGTCTTAGGATTTTGATGCAGAATGGTGGAGAATCGATCTAGAAATCATTTGAGGTACTCCGCTTGAGAATCGGATAAGAATTGGGGAAGATATAGCCATCGCAGTGGGCCCTATAGGGGAAAACCACATTTTCAAGGGATCCCATCAGGAAAAATGGACAAAAAATCTAAAAAATATTTTGTCTCAGGATTTTGATGCAGAATGGTGGAGAATCGATCTAGAAATCATTTAAGGTACTCCGCTTGAGAATCGGATAAGAATTGGGGAAGATATAGCCATAACAGTGGACCCTATAGGGGAAAACCACATTTTCAACGGATCCCATCATGAAAAATGGACGAAAAATCTAAAAAATATTTCGTCTCAGGATTTTGATGCAGAATGGTGGAGAATCGATCTAGAAATCATTTAAGGTACTCCGCTTGAGAATCGGATAAGAATTGGGGAAGATATAGCCATCACAGTGGGCCCTATAGGGGAAAACCACATTTTTAAGGGATCCCATCATGAAAAATGGACGAAAAATCTAAAAAATATTTCGTCTCAGGATTTTGATGCAGAATGGTGGAGAATCGATCTAGAAATCATTTAAGGTACTCCGCTTGAGAATCGGATAAGAATTGGGGAAGATATAGCCATCAGAGTGGGCCCTATAGGGGAAAACCACATTTTCAAGGGATCCCATCAGGAAAAATGGACAAAAAATCTAAAAAATATTTTGTCTCAGGATTTTGATGCAGAATGGTGGAGAATTGATCTAGAAATCATTTGAGGTATTGCGCTTGAGAATCGGATAAGAATTGGGGAAGATATAGCCATCACAGTGGGCCCTATAGGGGAAAACCACATTTTTAAGGGATCGCATCATGAAAAATGGACGAAAAATCTAAAAAATATTTTGTCTCAGGATTTTGATGCAGAATGGTGGAGAATCGATCTAGAAATCATTTAAGGTACTCCGCTTGAGAATCGGATAAGAATTGGGGAAGATATAGCCATCACTGTGGCCCATATGGGGAAAAACCACATTTTCAAGGGATCCAATCACGAAAAATGGACAAAAAATCTACAAAATATTTTGACTTATGATTTTGATGCATAATGGTTTTATTATGATATTCTCATAAAGATCGGCCAACTATATCCGATGTTTGCGATATATATCCGGTTTAACTATAGACTAGCTAATCAGAAGAAAGCAGAGAAATTCGAATTTTAAAGATTGTTTTTTTCGGGCTTGTATAATTTTTTATTTAATTATAAAGCCTTACGTTTGGTTTAGATCACTTTCATTATTTTTAAGTTTTGTGGATATGGATTTTTGTTTAAGAACCTCACCATGAGCCCTGATTACACCAGTCAGTCGGTTGACAGCAATAGGCATTGGGGCAAGTGTAACTGGAAGAAATATAACTAGGATCTCAATACTTCATTAAGGGGATACTGTTTTACTCACGTGACCTGACTTAGTGGGTAGCAGCAATAATCTGGAGAATATAGATCACCAATGGCATAAATTCCGGGCGACTGTCCGCCACATAGATCACCACATACACCACAGCAACCAGAAGGCGGAGGGGTAGAACCACAGCCACTCGAGCATCCATAAGTTCCGGGCGACTGTCCACCATATAGGTCACCACATACTCCACCGCACCCAGGAGGCTGAGGGTTGGACCCACCGCAGCCACTAAACGTGGGTCCACAACCACCTGAGTTTAAACAAGGGCAATCCTTGCATAGTCTTCCAAATCCTCCACCTAGAGGTACACTTTCGCAGCAGCATTCGTTCCCTGCTTCCGTGTTTCCAGAAAATGTATTGGGACGGTAACAGGTCGGCCTGTAGTCAGCCATGTAAACAGTTTGGGAATGGATACGGTCGTTCACGATGGAACCGCAACAACATTTATTTCCGAAGCAGCTGTCGAAGCAGGGCATCTGAGGGCAACTCTTCTGCCCGCCTGGAGGAGGGAAACATCCTGACGGAGGGCACCCGTCTGGTGGGGGACACTGGAAGCTATCCGGTGAAGGGCACTGACCGCAATTAGGCGGAGGACCCTGAAAGCAATTCGTTGGACCTACTTGTGGAGGTACCTCACGTGGAGGTGAACAGCCACAAGAGCAGAAATCCGGTGGAGGTGGGAAGCTATCTGGTGGAGAGCTCTGGCAGCAATTAGATGGAGGAAACTGAAAGCCATTCGATGGATGGGTACTGCAATCCTTTGCAGGAATATGTGGAGATGGCTCATGTGGACTTGAGAAGCTACAAGAGCAGTAATCCGGTGGAGGACGAGAGGAGGAACTCGGTGGAAGAAACGGTGCAGCACAGCAATCCGATATAGTGGAGTAGCAATCTGACTGAGGTGGACGGAAAGCTGGTGGATCAATCTTCCGCTGCCCACAGGAATGGGGTGAGCTACCAGATGCTGGTGAGTTTCCTGAAGAATAATTACCATAAGAGGAGTTTTGAGTTGTTTGATTTTGCCTTTGGAATGCCATCTTTCGGCACTCCGAGCATTCAGATTCCTCCTGGTCCCTTGTCTGACGTGATGGACTGCCGCTGGGAGAAGGATCTGAATCCGATTCTTGATCTGAATCCGTGAAGTATGACTCACAGGAGCATCCATTTGGATTACCTGAGCAGGTGGCTGAGCACCCTTGGGAAGGCGCACGTGAAGAACCGCCTGATATCGGTTGGGATTGACTCGTGGGCGGTCCGCTCTGCATCTGAGATTGGTTCCAAGTTGACTGCGTGGGAGACCAGCCACAGCCACAATTGGATGACGAGCCTTGATCATAATAGGGATCGCTACAAATTTCCGGTTCAGCGAAAGTAACGTTGGGCGATTGACCCCAACAACTGGAAGATCCTATTTATATTTTGTATAAGAATTAACAGGATTTGAGATGGTCCTTTATAGATCCCTTATAGACTTTATAGAACAATGATCTTAAAGTAATAGTTACCTCCACCAATACTGCTCCGAGTTTTAACAATTTGTCCAGAAGCGATTCTGGAATCCGATCTATTTAATTGGAATGATGACATGGAACTATCTATATTCCTTAAAGGTGGATTGTTCCTACTTAATGGTGATGAAGTGTCTACAATTTGACATGGAAGAGGTGGTGTAATGGGTTCATTTTTAAGGGTAGTGGTGGAGTCTGCAATGCTAAAGTCTGATTTGGTCTTAAGTTCTTTTGAAGCTGAAGCTGGTATGTAAGTCTTGTATATTGCGTCCAGACTTTTGATGTTATTTATTGTTTGGAAAGTAGCCTGGCTTCCATCCATGCTGGACTCGAAGTCGTTGGGACGCTCCATTGAAGTTTTTGCCTTCAAGGCACATAAAACCGGACAAAAAAAACGAACAAAAAATTTAAAAAACAACTACAATTTTGATGACATTTTGTGTTTCTGAAATATTTACATTGTAAGTTTATTGAAGCTGCTTGGTTCTATTTTTTAGAACATAAATTTATATTTTATAGTCTTAAGTCTGAGACTTTAAAAACTATTTTTTAAAAAGCGTATTTAAGTTACAGCCAGTGTAAACGCTAACATTTTGAAAATAAGTAACAGTCGGTGTATACACTATCGATAAGAATCACCTCATTTATCGATATTTGAAATACCATACCAAGCTTTTACCTAATATCCCGACTGTAAATATTAATATATAACTTGTAAATAAAGATTAAAATAAGCCATAATGAATGGGAAACTTCTGTTTAACGCGATTCGCGCTCTACGAAGCGGCGGTTGTAATTTGTCTCAAGCGCGGAAGTATGGTAATGTTTGATACCAATCACATGTTGGAATATTTCATAACATGCCGGTTTTCCAAATTTTACACAGCCACTCCGCCTAAAAGGTTTTACAAGAAGACATCTGTTCTGAGCAGCGATGGAGGATACGAGGTGGTGCTGGACCACCGGAAGCTAAAGACCCCCAAGGGGTCACCATTCACAGTGCGCAGCGAACCCCTTGCCATAGCCGTGGCCACTGAATTTGATGCCCAAAAGGAACACATCGAACGATCCCGCATGCACCTCTCCGCGCTCTGCTTTACGGCCATCGATAATCCGAACAATCTAACCAAGCTGGACATGGTTAACTACCTTCTAAACTTTATCCCAACCGACACAGTCCTCTTCCAGTATGATGTAAGTGTTTGATTTTAAAATATCCTTCCTAGTCACAAAGTAATCCGTTGCAGGACGAGAAAGCTCTTCAGGAATTGCAGCAAAATGAATGGGATCCTGTTATTGACTGGTTCAACCAACGCTTCGAGGTCAACCTTCAGAAGACCATGAACATAACGCCTCCCCAAGTCAGTGAGGCAGACAAAATTAAAATTGCCAAGCACCTTCATTCCTACAGCTTAGAAACACTGCATGGTAACCTACATTTCTTAGTGTATTTACATATAATTGAATATATTTATTCTTTAGGATTTGTATTCGCTGTGGATACTTTGAAGTCCATTATTCTGGCGTGCGCTGTCATCGAGCAAATGCTGCCCGTGGAGAAGGCTGTAGCGTTGGCCCGCTTAGAAGAGGAGTATCAACTGAAGTTCTGGGGCCGTGTGGAGTGGGCCCACGACCTCAGCCAACAGGAGTTGCAGGCCCGATTGGCGGCCTCCGTGTTGTACGTTCACCTCAACTGTTCAGATAGTTTTGTGAAAGAAAAGTTGATTCTGTAAATGTTATAAGAATGTTAAATTTTAATCATAAAAATTTTAGAAAAAAAACGATTTGGGTTTTCTGTTAAGAATACGGGAATTCAAATTTGGCGCTCTAAAGAAACTGCACACATGTTTGGTATCTTTCGCAGTGTTGATAAGTTCAATAAACAGTGTTGCAAAGCCTCAGTAAGATCAAACAAAATAATTTCGATAGACATATATCTATTTTGGGGGATAATATCGATAGTTCGATATAAATAAATATTCGACATCCCTACAATTTTCGCTCATTGTTCGGTTGTGGTGTCATTTTTTTAGCGAATCTGTTGGCAATTAAACAAACGCGGAGTGAAGGACGACCCAACACTCTCAATTATGTGCGCGTAGTTATCAAATATCAAGTCCAGTGGTAAGCAGCTATAGCCTGACACCGTTGCTGGCGTCGTGTTTGTGTTGGTGTGGGAGTCGTGTCCCCCTCTCGAGTTTTAATTAAAGTGCCTTCCGTCCGTGGAGGAGTGTAGTGCTGAAATCTCATTAGGCCAAATACGGAGCTGGCAAAGAGTTGGAAAAATCATAACTGCGTTTATTGTGCAGGGGGTGTGGGGGAGTGTGCATCCTCTTGACTCACTATTCCACTGGCTCTATCTCTCTCTCTGGCCTTTTTACATTCTCCTCTGCTCTGCTCGCCTAGAGCGCAAAAACAGTGACAACAACAACAACAATAGAGAAACAGAAAACAGAAACAAAAAAAAAAAAACGAAGCGTGTTCTTGAAAATGTACACTCTCATCTCCTAACGTCATCACTCATTAATGTCTAGAATTGCAACGAATTGCAATACTTTAGTATCGATTAAGCCCTAAGATCATTTTACAAAACAAAATAACGGCAATGAAACAAGTAGTACGACGCCCTTTGAGGTACTACAGTGGCGCTGCCACCTTGTCTCATTTTCGTGCCCATTGAGAAGTCCAATTATTTGCTTTTTCTATTCAAATGTTAATTTTCATCTGGTATCTGGCAGATAGTTGTTTTTTGTTCTATTTGTGCGAAAAGTGTGTATAATATTTCGCTTTCGTTTCGTTTCGTTGTCTGTCTGTGCCCCTCGTTCGCATCCGCTATATAATCAGCTGCTTGTAACATCGCCGCCGCCCACTAAACGGAAATTGCACGGATTTTTCATCAATTGATATAGGTGAGTCTCAGTTCCTATTCTAGGGGATGGGAAATGACAGTTATTAAGAGTTTAGTTAGCCTCGGGCCTTGAGCCTGTCTGGGTTGAGCTTGAAATGAGCATTTTAATGGGGCACAGTGGGGTATTTGACCTCAGAAATGTCGTTCAGCCAAGTGGGGGCCGAAATTTAACGAGTTTAGTGATAAAATATGTGCGTAGATATGCCTTTGATTTATCATTAAAATCAGACAATGAAACCCAACAGCTTTCGGTAGTTTCCGATGAAAAATATATTCTAGTTTTCCATTCAAATTGTCTAAACACCATTAAGTAATCAAAACAAAATGCTTTTTATTCAGCTGAAATATTCCAAAAACAGAGGGGTACTCATACAGAAATTATAGAACTATTTTAAATTATAGTAGAAGAAATAACGAAACAAGTGTTTCTATTATTTTGGACCATTTTTCATTAGATCATCTATAAAAATATCTCTAAATACAAAGTAAATTATTTCAAAAAATTCTTTTATTCAAAAAAGTTAAACTTTTTAAAGTAACCGGAACTAGCCATTAAACGAAACTAGTTTTTTTTTTTTACCAGCCCATGCCCAGTAACTTTAATTTATTTTAAACAAAATCTACAAAAAAGATGGACTCGTTTAACCTTCAGAGGTATACTGGTCTGGAATTTAAATCTCGTAACCAAAACCGTTGTCAAGTGCGATGTTTGCGATTGTCATATCAAATCACCTCCAATGAGGTTAAGCCGACCCGCCAGCCAGCCACCAGCCAGTTAGGGGGCATCCAGAGCAGCCAGGAATGGAACTTTAACGGCTTGTCTAATGAGGATGCATTCAATTAAACACAAATTTTTGCCACTGGCATGTGGGTGCTTCTGATCGCATAACCCCAAGCCATTTGGGGGGGCTAGATACCGATACATGTTTTGTTTTATTTAAAATAAATATATGTCAATTGCGTTGCTGCATTGTGCATTTTCCCCCATTACTCGGTACTCGGAACTGGGTACTGGGTACTGGATTTTTTCCATGAATCGGCAGAACCAATAAATTCCATTTCTGTGTGTATTTTAGCGAGCACTTGGAAAGGTGATGGTTCGACCCCCTGTTCGGGGTAAACATTTTGTTTTCTTTATTATTTAAGTAAGTCATAAAGATGTTTATTAATATAAATATCAATCAGACAGTCAATATTTTAAGTTTCCATGTCGCGAAATTCCTTACAGACATACCACTGTCCCCAATATAGAGCTTGGAACCTAATTCTCAGGGCCAAGTTAGGAGAATGGATGTAAGCTTTGGAAGAGGAAGCCCGAAGCCAGAAGACAGAGCTCGTTGAACCAGTCAGGTAGCATTTTCGACACGAAAAGTGTAAAGAAACCGAAACATTTCTCCATTGCTCTTATTTGCGTACGCAATTTCGTCTCTAATTGCCGGATAGAAGGTAGAAGACCCCTTTCTGGTTTTAATCCAAATATAGATACTATAGAAACCTCTTCTAAGGATTTCCCTCGTCACGACGGCAAAGCCCTCTCGTCCTCATTATCCAGCGCCGCCTTGAGACGCAACTTGCATCATCTTTGGAGGGCAGGTGGAATAAGTGTTTCCGACTTCCGCTTCCACTGCCACAAAGGGGACGTAGGTCACTTGAACTACGGTACTACGGTACGGTCTAGCCTTCATAGTGTATGCCGAACCCACCCCGAATCGAGACCGACATATAACACAAATCAGCTCCGCCGAATTATTGATTTTTTTTAAAAGTTTGTCCTGTTTAAACAAACGTTGTTTTTGTGGGCGATGGGCGGTGGGTGGTGGGTGGTGGGCTAGTAGGAGTTCGTTACTGTGTATCCTTACTGTGCTGTTGAAGCGAACTAGACACGCACCTTATGGCCAAAGTGGCATTAACGTTTAATTAGAGCCTAGAGAAGTGGAGTACTTTAGTTGTCGCCCCTTTATGTTCCAAGATATGGAGGTGCTTCCATCTCCTCCCTCTATCTTGTGGTTGAGTGGGTTGTTTATATAGTATTATGGTAGAGTCCCGAAATTTCCGATGATTGGGCCGTTTGGAGGTGGAATGTACCTAAAAATGGTTTCGTGAGTCATCGAATTTTTGGCCAAACAGAACACATACACAGAGTCATTGTTAGGCCGCGTATTTCTCACAAAAAATCATATAATTTTCGAGTTCAATTCTCTCGTGATAACACTATCATTAGGAGACCCAATTATTTTTTAGTCGGTTTTCGGCAACACTTCCTCCGCCAATTATCTTTGGTTGGAAATCGCCATAAAATGCGTAGTTGCCGCCTGGCTAACATTCCCGGAACTTTCTAACCTGAAGAGAGATAAGAGCTCCAGTCCAGTTCAGTCCCAGTCTAATGAGAGACCCTCCGAGGGCATAGAGGCCCAGAATTCGCAACCCTTATCGGACCTATCTAGAGGTGAACCTATTGATATCTTTTGCACTTGAAATATGTCATCCGCAGTTTATGGGGCTGTTTACCACCAAAGATAAGCAAAGACCGAGCAACAAAAAAAATACATACATAATACTTGGAATGGAAAGAATCAAACAAAGGTGGTAAACTAATAATTACAAAGCCCGCCCGTTCGAACGATGGCTAATAAAGGTGTAGATAAGGTAATGAACAGAATGGTTCACTCCGGCGGAGACACACACAGTGATAGTGGAAACCCGTTCCAGAGGTTGGCTCCTTAACTTTTCTACTTAAACAGTAATTGAAGACATAATCTGTAGTGGGGCTGATAAGTGCTTTAAATAGACCCGAGAATAGACTCGCCGAGAGTCCAGGGGCCAGCGGCCTTGGGAATCCAAAATGTTTAATTGGAATTTGAATATTGGTGGCAGGGGTTATTATAATTTCGAATCTCAAACCATAAATTCTCAACAGTGTTTATACAGAGGGATATGTTTATCTTAACTTGGTATGATCGGAATTATATATCCAAAGACCTAATGGAGGGGGGGTTATCGTAGCTATACTATGCCACTATACTTTCTATACTTTCTGCTACTATATACTATACTATATTACTATACTACTACTACTACTACTACTACTCTACTAGCCACAAAGCTTCTATATAAGGGAGAGTATCTGAAAATGACTAAATATTCCTCCAAAATTATGAAATTATAGTACATATCACATCCATTAAAAAAAAAAACATATAAAAACCTTAAGTAATTAGGACAAGGCTTATAAATTAAGTAAGGCCTGTGTTTACTTAACCTTCTCCAGGGCTCTGGCTCTGGCTCTATAAACGAATAAGTCATGTTTTTAATTTCGAATATTAAGTAAATGGCAGCTTATTGTTGAATTCAAAGTCCAGACTCACGCCAAACGATATAATACTTACGTAATTCGAGTATAAAATATTAACTAATAAAAGGGAAAACCCGTGTAAGTTTATCAAAGAACAAACAAATTAATACAAGTAGTTAGTTGGGGCTGAGTTGAGTTCGCTGGGGCTGGGGGCCGCCCACTTGGAAACAGCACAGCTCTGGCGATAAATGCTAATTGCGACATCCATCAGGCGGGGGCATGGAAGTGTTTTATTGAAATTCCAGCAAACACATGCCATAATCTCGGCTTGCATCTCACTAAGCTGGAATTACTTCCCTAAAGGGTAACATTTAGTAACAAGAATTACAAAATTCTTAAAATAAAATTCCACAGAATCACCCAATTTTAAGATGAAAGGTTTTCAATTAAACGCGAGTACGAGTTGAGTTCATTTGTAGTCAGTCCAAGTGCAATTTTGTTAGGGAACGGTTCTGTTAATTGGACATAATATAGCGATTCTATTCCGAATCTTGATGGTAAAATCAAACAGGGTCAACCTGAATCAGGCAGGGTTTCATTTAATATCTTTATTGAATGGCCATAGCCAGTCAGTATCTGAACTAAACTAATAAAATAATAAATAACCATCAGAGGAAGATAAAAAATGCTGACATGTGTAGATATTATCTGCCAGATAAGCATATGTTTCTATATAATATAACTCCCTCAACCTCAACCTCAAGCTCAGGCTCATCAAGTCAGCTCTGGTTTCACATTTTCAACTCACAACTCACAAAAATTTACTGAATGCCTGGCTTTCTTTTGCAGTTTTTCGAACAAGTCGTTGATGACCATCATCCATCCCAGCAGCCCAACAGCCCACGCCTTCAATTCCAGCGCCGGTCGTCTATTTTAGAAAATGGCAGTCAAGTAGCAGGACGACTGGACATCTAGAAACATTAAAAATAATTTAATTAAGAGCCGAGTAACCCTAACAATCCTCACCCTCAGTCCCAGGAAAAGAGTCTCCATCACACGTTCGGCCAATACCCAGGACACCTTTTTAGATACAGCTCCCGTGGAAGGCAACAGACAACAGACCACGGATTGTTGGCCAAGAATTGATGACATTGCTCGGGCCTAGCGCCCCTGGAATGGCCTTTATGATGAAAAAGAAAAAGTACAAGTTCAATGTGGAAGTACAGCTGCAGGACCTGGTGGAGGTGGCCCTAGTTAATGAGGTGTTATTCGCAAAGATTCGACTCCTTGATGGGGGGTCTTTCCAGGAGTACAGTAGTCGGTGAGTCCACTTACTCTCAATCATAGCTAGTGTCCATTATCAACCATGTCCATCCACCATTCACAGGGAGGAGGTGCGGAACCATCGCGTCGAGTGGAACCGCAGCTTCGAGTTTCCCTGCAAAATGAGTGCGAATGCCTCAACCGGCGTCCTGGATCCCTGCCACCTACGGATATCGATACGCAAGGAGATGAAGGGCGGTCGCAGCTACTACAAGCTGGGCTTCATCGACCTCAACCTGGCCGAGTTTGCGGGCGCCGGCCTCACCTCGCGGCGCTTCCTTCTCGAGGGCTACGACCTGCGCCATCGCCTGGACAACTCGATGCTGCGCGTGAGCATCAAGATGCACATGTTGAGCGGTGATATTCTATTCAAAGCGTAAGTCAAGTCCTCCAGACCAGACCGTAGATGAGTAACCAGCAACTATCTCACCTTTGCAGGCCTACCCCCAGTCTGAAGAGCAAGCAGAGCAAGCCTTCCATGGATGACATAACCAATGCAGCCACTGGAGTTGGCCTGCAAACGCCGACGGCCAGTGCTCTGCCCACTTTTGGGGCCGGCAGTGGCGGATCGGCGGTTCCACTGGGAGGCAGTGGCGCCACTTTGGGCGGGGTCGCCAGCACCCAGGGGATGCAGGCAGCGCGGACAGTTTCAAACACAAAGGAAGAGGGTGAGTAGACATGGAATTGTCAACCAGCAACCTTTGTATATTCCTTCAACAGTCATTGCAGAGATCGATAGGGAGTTTTTCGCGGCTATTGTGACAGACTCGGGGCTGTCAGAGTCTTCGGAGTCGGCGGTAACGCTGACCACCGACAATCTACAGCAGCATGCGTCTGCGTCGAACGCCACCACTCCGGTGTCCCAGGCTGCTCCCGGCCTGGGGATTATTGGCAGCAATAACTATGGTACCACAGGAGCAGCAGTCGGGTTCTCTGGTAATGTGGTTAGCACCGCCAACCTAATGGAAATAGGTCATTCGCGAAATTCCAGTAATACTAGTCAAGTGAGTGGAACGATACATCAGCCTGGAGGATGATGTCCGTATGACTCACATTATTCCCATTGCAGATGTCGAAAGGTTCGGGCTACAGCAGCTTCTCCCACAGTCAACATTCGCGGCAGAGTTCCGAGGGCGACTCGGGGCATGCAAGGTACGTTTCCAAATCGAATCAGAGTCTATATGCTTTTTATGTCCCTTCTTGTACAAATATTTTTGACCTTATTTGCCTATGAATCTGAATAACCTCTCTTACGTCATAGCCGAATAATGCTCTAATATCTACATTTGCATAAATGCTTAAGCAGTACGCAGTACACCCTGAAAATGTATCTAAAACTATTTTTTTGAGCAAATACCTCATAGTTTATGATTAGCTTAAGGTACATATATTTAACAGCATCTATATATATATCTATATCTTGTTTGTAAACTAAAACCTATTAAATGTATATCATATTCTTTTGGATACCCTTGCAAAGGGTATCTTCTAAAATATAAATAATTCGAATCATTATCACCACTAAGTCGATATATGTCAGGCATCTATTGTATTTGTGTTGCATGTTGATAATACTATAGGTAATTAACAAAAGGATATTAATTTGCCATCAGCTGGAGGTCCTAGTTCCTCGCAGGAGTATTTACCATGTCCGAAAATGTCCGTTTTAAAGGTATTTTTGTATTTTTTTTGGTAGTTTTAAGAAAAAGGAGAGTCTTGAAAGATTTATTCTTTCTTTTAGGTGATGAACAGAAATAAAGTCAGTTTTTTAAGCAATAAATGATCATAAAAGGAGTAGAATTTAATATATAATCTAATAAAATTTATTTAAAAAAATAGGACAAGGATAGTCAGGATGAAAACCAGAATGAGTTTATACCATTAGCTAATTTTTCTAAGGGCTTTAGGAACAAATTTCATAGATCTTTGTGTATAAGTACTATAACACTTTTGTAAATTATTAAAGGCCTTGGGTAATCGGATGATATATGTATATACTTCTAAGGATATGTATATTTTTGGTAAATCCTAACCAAAACTAACCGACTCTCGTTGCTCTCTAATCATACCGGCTCCCATCCCAACTAAGTATCATCCAATAATATAATGATTATGGTCAAGGTTAGGCATTACTCAAAAATCGTTATGTTTTGGTTTAAAATATTGGCATTATGGTAGCTTTATAATTTATCCTAGCTTATCCACTTATACTTTCTGTTTTGGTTTATTTTAATGTTTTAATTTTAATCTACTTGTATTTCTCTTTCTTTTTTAACCAAAATTATTTTAATTATTAACAAAATGGGGTGATTGGACAACTAACTGCCAAATAATTAATACTTACCAACCACATACAAAAATAAAAAAAAATCAACGGCCGCCTTCCGATTCAAAAAAATCAATAAACTATAGTCGTTTTAGAAAATCCGTTTCTCTACTCAATAGACTTAATCAGAAGGCACTAAATGCCATGAAACTGAACATACCACACGGTCGCCATCACGGGCCAAAGAACCCGGAACCCCAGCAGACCCGGCCCGTGGTGGCGGCTCCACACAGTCACGTCCAGACCAAGTTCACGCTCAGCACCACCGTTGAGTACGTTAGCGAGGAGCAACTGTACGCGACTCCCAACTCCACCATGGCGCCCGGAGACTCGCTGGCCTTTGAGGAGTTTCGCACCCCGATGGGGGAGATTGCGGCCCCGCAGTTCTTACCGCTTGCCGGAGGAGGAGGCGTGGCGACGCCAGGCTCCACCTACCGGAGTGCCGGGTCACCGTCCCATGCCACCCAGTACGACAGTGGGGAGACGAGCGACACTGAGGAGTCTCTGCACGAAGACTCGGGGGACAACGACTCGGGCCTCGAGGAGAACTATCACACTCCGCGGGTGGCCAAGATCAAGTCCATGGAGAATCTCTCCATTCTAGAAATGGAATTCCACAAGGCCTCGATGGAGCTGGATCGTAACTCGCCGCGGCGCCTCAAGCAGCTGGCCGAGCACGCCCAAATACCCAAAATCAAATCTCTGAACAACCTGTGTTTCGACGAGTACGCCGAGCAGGCTGTACGCGAGGAGTTCCAGCGGATGCACGAGCAGTCGCTGGAGGAGCGGCTGCGCTTCCAGCAGCACCACAATCTGCGCAAGAACTCGACCACGTCGAACGGTTCGTCCGGAAAGCTGTTTGTGAAGCACGTCAGCCACCAGAGCCACCACCACATCAAGGTGGGGAATGCAAAGTTCATCGGCCAGGACGGTGGCGATAGTCCGCAGACGCCGCACTATCCCATCCAGAAGATGCGATCGATGGGCACCATACCGGACATCGTCAGTGAGCGCATTGAGGCGGATCCCTTCCTGACCCCAACGACAGAGCGAAAACCGAATTTCCCCCGCCTCATACAGTCGGCGGAGAAGCCATCGGCACTGGGCCACAGCACCGTGAATCGTCTGCTTAGCTATGACGTTGTTGACTCCCCGGTGGAGTCCATGGCCAGTTCAGTAACCTTTATATCGCGAACACCGTTCGAGCGGGCCTACCGGCGCAACATCCTCCAGGGCACGTCCTCGACACCCCTGCCGCCCCAGGAAGCGTTCGTGATGCGGCCGCACTCCACCAACTCCACATACGAACTAATGAGGTGCGTCGTGTTTCCATTCCCAACAATTCAATTCAATTCAAGCAATAAAACCCAAAAAAGGTCCTATAACTATGCCATACATTTAATAAAATTAGCAAACGGAAGGCTAATCGTTACTCGTTAATCGTTCCTACTTGTTCTTTGATGTTAGACGTCTAAACACTGTTCCTAGATGTTTAGCTTAACGCTGTTTATGCGACCCGTCCTAGTTCTAGACATAGTCCAGTCCTTGGTATTGGTCCATTATCCCCACGTTATCGTTATCGTTTCCATATGGTACTTTCCTCCCCGATTTTCGTTAATCATTTATTTCATTTTCGTTTTATTTGTTATTGTCTTTTGAAGTTGCTACTAACTATATACAGTTTATATTATAAATAATTAAGGTTACAGTACATGGGTTTTAATAGTAAGTTCTATAGCATCTGCATTGGGACAGCAGGAGATTGTAAAATAGGTGGAACACGGCTGGAAAATGACTCAACTAATTGGTATTTAACGATGTGCCAGTGGTCTTTGTAACAATAAACAAAAATAGTGCAACAATTTCTAACAAAAGTGCAAGTAGAGTGACTCACCTTCAATAAAAACAATTAAATATCGAATTACTTACATTACAAGTTTACTTTAACAAAAGTTAATAAATTTTAATACATATTTGTTATAAAATCCACTCTAAGACATCTACTAGAAGATTATCCTCCTAAGAACATATTATAATCTGTAATCGCTGCAATACCGGGCTATCATTCTATTGTAAAAAGATACAAACCTAGATCTATCATCCGTACGTTATGTGGCAGCGTCCTTCAGTCGAAAAGACCTAGAAATAGAATAAGAATTGGTTATAATCTAATAACTGAATTTGGTTTTATTTTAACCGAGTCTCTGAGGTAGAGCAGAACTACTCCATCTGTAATATATTCATTAGTTCTTTTTTCAATTCAATAGAGAATGAATGAAATCATTATTATTTGCAATCAATGATCTATTATATCTTATATGTATATGTACGAGTGATTGGAATTTAGCTTATAAAGAGTTATGTGATCTACTAGGATATAATATAAGCTTATGATCCCCGCAGTTACTTTTTTTTTTTGTTGGTTTGTAAGACTTCCTAATCCTAAAGATTGTTTTATTTGTGCACTCGCCATACATTTTTGCTGCCGCGTCTCTAAAAAAATATTTGAATTCAACGATGCGTCCCAGCAGAGGCTTCAGTGGAGTTCCTCGTCGACTTTTCGATAGCAGCAACAATGGTCACAACTGTGGCAACGTTAACAAGCAGCAGCAGACTGGTGCTTCCGGGTGCACCAGTTCCTCGCCCTGCGGCACCCTGGCCAGCATCCATTCGAATCACTCGGCCTCCTCGTCGAACGGCAGCAACAGCAGCCACAGCGGAGCAGTTATCTTTCAGTGCACCACCGGGAGTGGTCAGAGCGTTGTGGACTCGGCCTCCCAGCAGACCCACCAGCAGCAGCAGCAGCAACAGATGACGGCCAGTTCACCCAATGGCCACGACAGCAGTCCCCGGCTGGGCAATGTCATGTCGAGCGATGCCATCGGCTCTCTGGCTGCCAGTCCTACGGACGCCTGCAGCATCCGCTCCAATCCGTCGGCCGCGTCCCTTTTGCTATCCACGTCTGCAGCTGCCGCCGAGGCGTCCGCCCTAGCCTCGGCCACCACCATGTCCGTATCAGGAGCAACGCTTTCGCCGCTGGCCACCACTCAGATCATTCGCCGCCCAAGCATCACTCTGATGTGGGTTGAGTTACAGTTCACCTCTTGCCTCAATTTTCGTTTAGACATTCACGTGCTACCACAGACCTAGTATTGTCGAAATTAGATCTTTCAAAACCTATAAGGTGTCTCTTGTTTCCACCATCCACCACCTCCCAGTAGATATAAACACTATGAAATCCCTACTTTATGAGGTCAAATATTGGATTGTCTTGGAAAGAAAATTGGAAAGAGCTTGTGCCTCCTAAAGTGGGATCCTCCAAGTCTAGTCGTGTTATAGTCTATGCTTGTTTTTTCTTAAGTTTTAAAAAAGTATGTTATTATTTTATGATAGTGATAAGTCCATCAAAAAAATACTGATTCAAAGATTCCTCATTGGCGCATTAGAACATAGTTGGAGTATTATTTTCCCAAAATAATAAACAATTAAATTCAAAAAAAGATAGCTTTTAGGGCTATAGAATTGTCAATATTTTGAATTCATTATCCAGTAAGTCGATTATTGTTTGCAATTATTAATGATGAGTGCGATAATGCTTTATGTTTTCAACTTTTGAGTTCATATTACACTCATATGTGACTGTCACTGCACCGTCACTCCATATAATGTTTATAAGGCACTCGTACAAAGGCATGTTGTGTAAAGAATGCATTTATTTGAACATCGTCTTGCCTTATTAAAGCCTGTGTTACCAATGATTTATAAATAAGACTGCACCTGAGAACTCTGTGATGAATAGAAAACTAATATATCTCCTTTTTATTTTAATTCCTAGGAATCCGAGTTCCGGTTCTTTAGTTATAAGTGAAACAGGATCTTTAGATCGCACGAAAAGCAGCGGCGAGAAGCGCAAGAAAGGGCCGCTGGAGGACGGGCCCCGGGTCTCGGACAGAGTGGAGGAGACGCGGGTCAATCCAAACTCATTAATAGATGAGATTTTAAGTGATACAAAGCTGGACCAATTTGAAGAATCAGCAGAAAGTGAGTGATTGTGTGGAACCATTATGATTGTATAACATTAATTTATTTTTATTATTTACAGCCTCTGGCTTGCAGCTATATATCGCACGTGATGGAACCGCCTCGTTGGGGGGTCACGAGGTCAAGTCGAGCGTCCGAGCGGGAGCTCTGAAGCAAGTGGTCATGCAGGATAGAAGATAGTAGTGTCGCCGGCTACGAACTGTTTTATAAAATGTATTAGAAGACTAACTCAGAAAGTAACAGCATAAACCATAACGAACTAATCGCAGTAGTTTAGGATATGCAAATACGTTAACTTGCAAACTGATGTGAGAATACAAATACGCTATATATAATACTATATAAATGTATGTCGTGTCAACACCACTAGTTATATACGCTTGTATTCCGACGTGCATAAACGACGTGTGTATGTTTTATAGATTTGTTAACTGGCAGTAGTCAACAAGATTGCTAATTGATGCGCTCTCTATTAATAGCCCTGGATCTTTTGGGAATGTTGCACCACAAAAACAAAAAAGAACAACTTCCCATTAAATATTATAAAACGTAAACACTGTAAATCTGAGCATAGAATATGCAAAGTAATTACATACATAAAAACGATAAGTAGATAAAATAAAAATTAAAAGTTCCATTCGAAAAATAATTTAAATTAAACAATTCAAGGTCTCGTGACATCTTAAAATATTCCTCAAACTAATCAAAATAGAATGAAAATAATCTTGGAGTATTTTGTCGGAATTATCGGAAGATCTCGTGTCGGTTATTCTGAGAAATACAATGCAACATTCACACAACATTAAAATAGTCTAATCTTCGGCATTATTTCATATCTCATGTAAAACGTTTGCATTTTGTTTTAAACAACACACAGTACACACTCTTATATAGTTTTGTTATCAGTCACAAAAGTTTAATTCATCGGCCTCACTATTTCGATATAAATAAGCTCTTAGTTAGCGTTTCAAAGGCCTAGAAATCTTTAAAGCAATTCGTGCAAATATCATGGCAGTAATAGTATAAGTTTCAATGTTTTGATGTAAAAAAAAGGAAAACACAAAAATCATTTAAAACATTGTGTTGAATGTGAAAAAATAAATCGCAATTAGTAATTACCCTATGAATTATGTTCATAATCTGTGTAAAAGTTTTCTATTTTTATTTGTAAACAAAATCGAAACTGCTTCTAAGTTAGTTTTTAAAAATGTACATGAAAGCTACAACTTTGAAATAAAGTAAAAACCCTTGGTTAAAAAAATATCAAACTTTTTTTTAAATTTTGGGCAAAGTAAATTTTAATCCTCTAGAGTTATTAGATTATATCCAATATTCTCTTGAATATTCTATATATTAGGACTAAACTCAGTTACTTGTTCCTCGTGCTTATCCAAATATTCGGTTTTTCTTAAACCAACCTGACAACAAGATACCAATTATGTATTAGTACTTCAATATCCTTTTAAAATTTTGGTATATTTATTCCAAAAAGTCGAAAAAAGAATTGGCCAAGTTATGGCTAAGACCCCAATAGAAATCAACCAGTTATCTTGGTTTACTTTACTGGAAAAATTAAGTAAAGTTAAAATCATTTTAAAACAGATCACTTATTAAATTTTCAGTACGTATACCTAATACGTATGAGTAATATTTTTTAGGATATTAAATATACGCCTGTTTAGCTGTAACCATGCGTTTGTACTGACTTTGGTACTTTAGTTAATCGAATTAAGAGAAAAGTTTTTTGTTAAAGCTATCTGTATTTTTTTTTTTAATAACAAGCAAAAAATTATATCCACTTCAAAGACGATTCTCAACAAAACGCAGGAAGGTTCCGCCTTTTGCTGTAAGGACAAAGGCTTTTGGGTCGAACTGCATTTCCGGCAAAGTTCTATCACAGAGTTCGACAGTAAAGTTCTTCAGAATGTGGAGTAGACCCACTTTGATCTCCAGCTGGCCCAACAATGTCCCAATGCAGCCCCTTGGGCCGGCTCCAAAGGGTAGATATGTCATGGGATGATGTTGCTGTCGTTGTCCAGGAGCGAACCGTTCAGGATCGAAAATCTCCGGACTGGGCCAGAACTAAAAATATTATAAAGAAGTAAAGAAGCTTGGTCCTAGTTGGATCTTACCTGGGGATCATGATGAAGTCCCAGAACTGATATATATACTGGTGTGCCGGAACGTAATTTGAAAGGGGTACCACATTTCCATTCAGAGAGGTCGTAGCCCTCTGGGGCATTGCAACACCGATCCAAAAATGCGGTGGGCGGATACATACGCAGTACTTCATCCACCACCTGGCGCAGATATGTCATTCCATTGATGATGTCGCAGCTTAGTTGCCTATCTTGGCCGGAGTGCAGGACCTCTCGGAGCTCCTCCCTCAGCCGAGCTTGAATCGATGGCTGCTTGGCCAGCTCGTACAGGGCAAAGGTAATGGTGGAGGAGGAAGTATCGAAGCCGGCGAGGAGCAGAAAGGCTGCCTGGGCCACAAAGAAATCCGGACGATGGATAATGCTGTCTGCTGACTCGCTGCTCTTCAATTGCAGGAATATATCTATCAGATCGTGACGCTTTATCCCACTGGCTTCGCGTTCGGCCAGAATAAAGTCCATGGACTGGCGCATAAACCTCTCATACTCATCCGAGTACAGATGTGTTCGAATTCTACCGGATAGTCGCGGAAAGAAGAACATCGTGAACAGGTGGATTAACCTTTTTGGCCGGGGATCATTGACTTCGATGCACATCTGCCGGAACTCGGCCTGGGGATTTTGCAAGCTGTGGGCTTCTATTCCAAACGCCAGGGAAGCGATGATATCCGTTGTGAAGAGGGCACACAACTGCTTGACTTCCAGTTCCATGGACTGCTTCCCGCCTAGCTCGACAGCCATATGGTCCTCCAATTGCTGGCCAACGCGTTCCAGCAGTCCATACATCTGCCGGACCTTTCCGACCGCAAAGAATGGCGCAAATATTTTGTGGATCTCCCGCCAAGTGTCGTATTTGCAGAAGAACAGATTCTGTGAACCCATCGTGTCGTGAATGGGATCGGTTGTCTCGAACCGACTGGAGAACTTGGAGAAGTCCTCCACCATAATTCGCTTTATGAGGGCTGGATCCCTCAAAAGCAGAGCATGGTTGTGCAGAACATGAATCCCCACGTAGGGATGTCCGGCAGCAGCCCTGCTTTGGTACATCTCCTTAAACTGGTCCCCAAAACAGCATCCTCCCCGCAATAAATTCCACACATTACCCACAAAGGGCGTCGGTGGTATAGATGGGACTCCCAATCGCCGCCAGAAGTTGAAGTGGCGTTTCTGCCAAAGCCAGACGATTGCGGTAATAAACAAAAGCACCCAACAGCCATTTATGGCCAGCAGAACGGGTAATCCAATAGCCACAATAAGGGCGATGATGTTGGTTGTCATGATTACGTGAGGAAAGCCAGACATCAACTGCATTCGGATTCCTCCACTTAATAAACACTTCACGTCAGAGAACTACGAAAAATACGCTCATATTCTACTCACTCTCTGGAAATGGAATACAATGGTCTATCGGATCCGAGGAGTACATCAAACTGAGGCAACGCCTTGGCTCGCTCATTCGGTGGAGGTTCTCAGCTTGGTAATCAACCTATAGATAGTACTTATCGCCTATAGGAACCTACAGTGGGTAGATGCCACACGAAAAAGATAAACATTCTACAAACATTTTTTATTAAATTTGTAAAATTCTGTATTTATTTTACCCTTATGTCAAAATGGTAGGCACTATCTGCTGCTTTGCGTAATAATGGCAGCTGCCAATCTCTTGTATAAAAATCTTTCTAACATTCATTTTTTTTTTTTTTGTACATGAATTCATAATGAATTTCGGCGAGCAAATAAACCAAACAATTTGTAGCATTTATTTCTAAAAAAAAGACTGAATAAATTCTTATCACGGACAGGAGCATCAACAGTATTAGCCATGTAGGTTTGGATGCTGTCCACTTGAGTTCTGCAAGGCCTTGGTAACCTCTTCTTGCAAGGTGCTTGGCGGCTCTGACACGATGTCTGTGTGCATCGATAGGTACTTCAATTTATTTGTAACAGCTATAATGGAAAGAATATATATAATTAAATGGTTGCTCATTTTTATAAGGAGTAATGGCTCTTACCGGGTCGCAGATCAATGAGGGAACAGTGCTGATCCACCCACAAGAAGGCAGTCCGGCGGAGTTCGTCCAGACTGGCACTTGAAACCGTCGAAGTATACGAGGCAAGCAGTGGCTCCAGAATGAGACCCAACTAAAGGGAAGAACTCCATTAAATATGATGAATTATAGGCTAAAATACTAGACTCACAATCCAAAACTTCCAGTCGTTCATGGTGTTGTACCGCACATAGATCTCGTACAGCTGCCGCACATGCTCAGATCCCTGTCTCGTCACAGGCGCTCCATTTGCCGGCAGGATGGAGTGGAGGTGCCTATTGTGAAAGGTTTAATTATTATATAGGATGAGTTATGTGAGATATTCTTACGTTAAGGAGTTGTTTAGGTCATCCCTTTCAATTCGAAGTGCCTCGATCTTGTCCTTCAGCACACTGCGCTCCTGTCGCAATTGCTTTATGTGGTCCGCGCCCTTCTGCAGCATAGCCGCCTTGCTCAGCTTGGTGGTCGGATTCAGCTGCAGTTGTGGAATAAGAGCGTGCAGGGTGTCAAAGCCGTTCTTAATGTTGTAACGCCGCTTCTGCTCAGCGTGGATATGGCCCGCCCGCCGCTGAGTGTCCCTCGGCTGGAACTTTAGACTGGCCGACGGCGAAAGCGGCGAGTCCTGGGAGTCGTGAAACGGTGACTCCGGCGATAGGCTTAGGCTACTGCCGCCAAGACTTCCAATGGATGGGCCGAAGCTCTGCATTTTGGCTGCGCCGGGTGGACTGTTCAGCGCCGGATTTATGGCCATGGGCAATGAGGCTGACTTCTTTGGTGAGTGTTGTTGCGTTGGCACTGGCACCGACAGCGGCGTTGTTATTGCAGCATAGAGGGCCGGGGACATGTTGCTGCTGGTACTAGTGGTGGCTATGGCATTAGCGGAGGTTGGATTCGACTGTGAACTGTTTGCTACGGCTGTCTGCAAACGTGAATCTGGAAAGGAGCCACATTTCATAACAGTTTAAAGACAGAAAGTCCTCTTGAGGTACTCACTTGACGTCAACAATTGGGCCAGAGTGCTGTGAAGCATAGGATCGCTGGTGGCCGGTTGCATTGGCTCCGCGACCAGCAAGTTGCTGCAGCTGTGGGAGCTCAGGGACGACCCACACGCTCTGGCTGCTGCCACCACAGAGGTGTGTTGCTGGTGCATCGAGTTGCTTCGCACCCTTGTCTTTCCCTTTGCATGATACTTGGGCACGGCGAAAGGTTGCTCGTGGATGAGCTGTCTGCCGTCGGCCGGTTTGTTCAGAGTCACATTTAGTGGCAAGCTGTTGGAGCGATGGATTTCTTTGGGCAAGATGGTGTTTGGCGACACCCAAGTGGCTGTACTGACAGAGGTCTGAAGGTGTTGCTGCTGCTGCTGATGTTGCTGCTGCTGCTGTTGTTGCTGCTGCTGCTGATGTTGCTGCTGCTGTTGCTGCAACAAGCAGGCCACTGCTGATTGGTGCTGTTGCTGATGGGTGGGAGTTGTCTGCTGCTGGCGCGACAGCTGCAACAACTGTTGCGTACTCAGGCCCAAGGGAAGCGACTGCTGCATCTGCGGCGACTCCGGCTGCAAGTATCCTTGCTGCTGCTGCTGCTGCTGTTGCGGCAGCCTGGGGACATTAAGAAACGTTCCTGTCGAGGCAGACTTCTTGAATTGCGGATAGGGTTTGTAGCCGATGGAGTTATAGCCGCTGTCATTGTGCAGCGACAGCATATCGTTCTGCAGAGGCTCCACCTTGACGTTGAGCGGCTGCTGCTGCTGCTGTTGCTGGTAGTTGTCTGTGTAGCCGCTTAGAAAGCTTTGGTTGGCGAACGTGTTCGTCTGCTGAGTGGGAAAATGTTGCTGTTGCTGGTTTATTTGTTGTTGTTGTTGAGATGCCTGGAAGGAAGCTGCCTGCAACACAATGCCTCCGCCCATCTGGGACTGATGTTGCTGCTGTTGGTTCTTCTGCTGCTCGGCCAGCATCTGCTGGTAGAGGTTCGTCTGGTGCAGAGTGGGCTGGGCCTTGTCGTAGTTGTGCGGCTCCCGCCGGAAGGGCCTCTGTGTGCTCTTAGCCACCCGGCCGTTGATGACGCACCTGTTGCTGGTATTGTCACCCGCGTTGATGGCCCCGAAGTGCTTACTGCTGCCGTGCATCCGACCGGACAACGAGCCCGAGTCCCCCAGAAACTGGGACTCGTTGGCGGACTGCTGCTCCTGACGCGCCACCGAGAACCTTTGTTCGATCTCATTATAGGCCATCGTGTTGATGGGCGTGTTGAGCTCCATCATGTTGGCGTCGATGTCTCCGGCGCCACTGTTGTTGCTGATAACCACGTCCATCATTCTGTCACTGCTGTAGAGAGTGTGCGGGGCACCCACAATGGCTGACAGGCAGTAGTCGTCGTTCTTGAGCATCTCGGCATCGGTGCCCTCCTCTGGAACAGGGGGCAATCGTGTAGCAGGTATCAGATCTGAAAAAGGAGATCCCCAACCTTTAGTAAAGCTTGCCCAGCTTTAAACCCAGACTCACTGACCTGAGAAAGTAACGTCTATGTCATCTAAATTCGGTTGCAGGGGGCCCAGACTTGGCTGTATGAAATCCGCAATGCTTGCGCCACGTGCTGATAAAAAAATATAGTTTTATTAACTTAAAATCACAGTTTTGTTTTTAAATGGAGACCTCACCGATTTCTCTAGAATCCGGAAAGGGAAACGGAACATTTATGGCTGAGAACAAGGTGTCAGTTGTCAATTCGTCAATCATAAGATTCCTATCGTTCAGGGGCGACCATTCCAGAAAGTCCAACTCACTTTTCTGAAAAAAAGTTAAAGGTAATCAATAGATAAAATAGATAGATTTTCAATAGATTTTTTATAAACGATAGTCCCAGGCAGACGTCAAAATTTATTAAAGGCTGTCAGTCGGCTGGTCATGTGTTCCCAGTTTGGAAATAAAGTGGTAAGCTTATTGGAAACCACACTCCTCATATACATAGTATTATTGGAATGGATAGTTTAGGGCTATATGATGGGTTTTTTAAGTCTGGTTGTCTATCTTCTGCAGGGATCTTCTTTAGCTACAGATAGTTACTAGCAGATAGGGCGACCGTTCCAGCCAATTAATTTAATTGGAGTATTGACTGAAAGTCATCAGCTGGCTACTTAGTTCCCTATTGGAGACACGACTAATAACATGTGTAGGGCCAAGCGAAGGTTCTTGGGCTTCTTGCGCCACCAACGCTATTTCGGCCTCAGTGACTTGGACTTGTCCCATTCAATGTGGCTTCGTGGCTCATGGTTGTCGTATGGAACCCAGCTCCTAGTGACGTTTGTTTTCGTGTCTGCTCTGGTGGCAGCACTAGCCGAGTCCCTCTATTACCTGGAAACGGATACAAGCACTGGCAACATTTTCGACAATGCCGTCATCATAAGCACCTCCCTCACCCAGCTCTTTGCGAACCTGTGGTTCCGCTGCCACCAAAACACGCAATCGAAGCTGCTGCAGCGACTCTCGCAGATTAAGCTCTTCTGGCAACTGGACTCACGGACCAAGAATCTAATTCAAAGGATCTACCGAACCTGGTTGGCCATTTGCCTTTTCTACATCCTTATGATAGCAGCCTTTGCCTCCAAGATTTGGCTGACCAGCCTGCAGTTTAGCCGTGCTGTTATCCTGCTGGGATTCTTCATCCGATGCATTCAGGCCAACTACCTGTTCACCTGCTACAGTGGAATGGTGTGTCTTACGCAGGGGCTTCTACGTGTCCAAGGAGACCAGCTAGAGGACTTGGTGGCCACGGAATCCCTAACCATTGCCAACCTAGCAGGAAGCTTAAGAACCCATGACTTCATCCTGCTTCTCTCCCAGAGCCAGCTGGTGGATGTGTATGGTGGATCCCTGCTGTTCCTTTTCTTGTACCAGGTCATGCAATGCGTACTGATACTCTACATCACGACCTTGGAAAAGTTCCACTCGATGAGGGAGTTACTCCTCGTTTCCGGTTGGCTGGCTCCCTTGGTTTTCTACATCATCTTGCCATTGGCCGTTAATGACGTTTCTAATCAGGTAAGTGCAGAGCTGGGGCTGTATACAATACCCGGTACTTAAGAGGGTTTACAATAGATGGAAGAAAAATAAATAAGCAAGACTAGCATAAACAAGTAATCCAAACAAGGCCAGGCTACTTATAAGAGCCAGGCATCACTAGCTTTATACCTTTATTAGTATCCCTGAGAAATGGACAAGTTTCAATCCGGAGAGCTCTGCGCCTACTACCGCCTGTGCCGGTATCTGGGCATATTCTGCATCGACTACAATCCCAGCCAGAAAAAGTTCCTGCTCCGGCGCAGCCTCATCTGCTACGTGGTGCACTTTGCGCTGCAGGCCTACCTAGTTGGCTGCATGGCCGTTATGATCATTTATTGGCGGAGGTGCTTCAAGTCCGAGCTGACCAAAACCGGCAACCACTTTGATCGCCTGGTGGTGGTGGTGGCTCTGGGCATTCTGGTGGTGCAGAACGCCTGGCTCATCTGGCTGCAGGCCCCCCACCTGCGGATCGTCCGGCAAATAGAGCGCTATCGGAGCAGGCACCTGGCGGATGTACGGTTGGTGCTCCCGCGGCGGTTACTCTGGCTAATCATTGCCACCAACGTCCTGTACATGGCCAACTTCGTGAAGACGTGCATTTTTGAGTGGCTGCTGGAGGCATCCCGCCTCTTTGTGCTCACCTCCCTGGGATTCCCACTGCGCTACCTGGTCACCAGCTTCACGATGGGCACCTACTTCTGCATGATGCACATCCTGCAGCTGGTGATCAGCTGGAACCAGGCCAGAATCGAAGACATCCTCAGGCAGCTGAACAGCTCCAAGGAGAACAGCCTCATTCGGCTGCGCAGTTGCCTGGATCTGCACGATCGCCTGATCGTACTTTGCAACGTAGATATCAGCCTCGTATATGGTTTTATCGCCTGGCTCTCTTGGATGTTTGCCTCGCTTGACGTATCAGGTGTGATTTATTTAACCATGATAATACAAACGAATAAGCCCCTCGGATTAAAATTACTCACCAACCTGGTCTGGCTTTTCCCCACCCTGCTAACGTGTACAGCCATTTGTATGGGCAATCGAGTTGCTGTTCAGGTATGTACGTCAACCTCGTTGTTTAAATATTATGAGAATCCTAAAACAAAACGTCATCCTCTAATCAGAAAAGAGGGGAGGGCTTTTCGTGTTATGGTATTTGAAAGATCATATCCTATTCCCAACCTCGTACTGCTGATTCTAATTTCAGTCTCCACAGGCTAATTTCCTATAGAGTTGGGATAATTACTAGGCTAACTATTCGATCATCAGATCTGTAACTAATTAATTATTGATTAAAAGGGGAAGGACTAGGCGAGGTAGCCCTGTTTTCGATGGCCAGTACCTTGCCTTCCGTCATGTCTTTCGGTGCGGAACTGCGCGTTTACTTGCGGACCCTCAAGGGTTTCGGGCTTTTGTGCATCAGCCACGATGTCCAAGAACTTCAAACACATATTTCCAGGAGTGATGAAACCCTAGCCGTGGCAGGACTTGTTAGTTCTCAGTTCTTGGCACTGATGGGCCTGTGCCACATGATTATTAGTAACAAGGACTATGAAATTCCAATGTACGGCCAAGTGGGAAACACGTATTTCAAGATTAACTACGGGTTTGCCTGTCTGACAGTCATGCTGATACATCTTTGCTTCTTTTTGCAACGCCACCGGTTCGAGTCCCTCATCTCACAGCTAATCTATTTAAACCGCTCGGATCTCCAAAATCGGAAGGCCAGGGGTTTTCTGCGGGCTTATGGCCTCTTTGCAAGCCAGGTCGTCCTCACTGGTGTGGTGAACCTCAAGGCGTTCACCCACAGTGACCTCAAGCCGTGGCAAACTTTCCTCATAGCTTTCATCTCCACGTATTGCTATATTCTGGTCGGGCTCGTCATAGCCTTCCACAACTATCTGGTCCGGATTTCTACTACCTTGATGCAGCTCCACAACAAGGACTTGGCCAGTGCGATCCTCACGAACTTGGCTTTATCTCAGAAACTGTTCTCCTGTCGGTTGCGGCAACAAATCCGACTACTGTACCTGTGTCAGTACCGATTAAGCCACGATTTCGGGATTCCCTTGGTGTTGGTCATGTCAATCATGCTCCTTGGGGCCCCAGGTGCTCCGTTCTTCCTCATAACCGTCGTCTTTGAGATGGACGCCCGTCAGCTGGGCACTGCCTACATGATGCATGCTCTGGTGAATACGCTTTTATGGAACCTCCCCTACACACTCTCCATCCTAATGTGTTTGCGATCGGATTCGGTGAGAATGGAGGTAAGCTATTAAGGATAGGGCTGTCATAACCTAATGGACGCCACCCAACTACACAAATATTGGCTTAACTAGTTATTTTCGGGTAAGGATGTGGTGGGGGTTTCCCCGACTTTTCCAATATTTATTAAGTCGTGCCTAAAGTGCTTTTCTATCAACATAGCCCTTTAGCCTTTCGTTTAAGTTTATTAGTAAAGCCAAGTTCACAGAATGTCGCGCAACGATTTCAGGGAGTTTCGAATTCAATTACTGACCCTCCGTTGGCTAGGACTTGTCCGATTCAGCTTCGATTTAGAAAAGGGTTGTGTCCTGGAAACCGATTCCGAGAATCGGAAAGCTAGGATTTATCTGGCTGTGGTGTTTCTCAACAGTTGCATCTTGAACACCTACTGCTCCTTCTATCCCCATCACCTCACAATGGGAAAGCACAACAGCACCGGCAACTACTACGCCCTGATCAACATCCGGAGCTGCTCCCTGGTGACCCTGCTGGTGTACGTCCAGCTCTATGCTCAACGGCGTCGCTTTGCCAGACTTTTGGAGTCAATCTTGAGGCTTCATAGGCTCTTGAAAGGTGGAGTTGCAAGCTGTTGGATACTCTACATCCTGAACATAACACTGTTTGTGACTTGTGTCCTCAACTACGCCCACGGCTACTGGGAGGCTGGAGTGCGTCCGCCAGTTATTCCCATTTACCTTTTCGAGTACGGGTTTGCCTACCTCATTCTCAGCCAGATAGTGGTCCTTTTTGCCCACTTTCAACGCATTCTACTCGAGTCTTTTAGGATATACAACCGAATGTTGAAGGATAACCTAAAGTCTGCCAAGCAAAGTTGCGAGTTCATAAAAAACTTCAAGGATTACATGGAATTGGTTTGTCTATGTCGTGTGGAGATGAACCGCTGTTTTGGTCTCATGTTTCTGTTTATTATCGGATTTATATTTTTGATAACGCCTTCGGGGCCCTTTTTTCTAATTTCCACCATTTTCGTTGGTAGTTTCCATCGGACTTGGCGATTTCATTTTATATGCCTAACCAGTATCTACTGGAGCATTCCTTGGGTTGCTTTGCTCTATCAGGTAATGGGCTTTACAAATGTTCAGGAAGAGGTGAGTAGCTCAAGTATAAGAAGAAACATGTTTAAAACCCCTCTGTTGTCAAGAAAACAAAGCTAATCTGTCAGATGCTTTATTCTTATCTTTAAAAACTACCACTATAGTTTATAATGTTTAGCTTTTAATGTCATCCGAATTAGGTGCATTTTTGTCACATTAATCATTAATAAGGCCATGAGCTTATGTTGTCATACTTTAAAGTAATCCTTTTACCATCCTTTTAAGTGCCAGTCTATTCCCCCACCACAGAGTATTATTTATTGGCCAGTTGTATTTGAATTACCTCATACATTAGCCCGATAGCCCTAATCAATTACCGTGTAAATATTGGCTCTATCCTATCTGATTATTTGGTAACAAAATAGTGTCCGCTCATTAGGCTGATTGGTTAGTGCGAATCGGCTCTTCGACGACAGCATGTCTCCATTGTGCCGGGACTTGCGGATCTACCTGCGGCTGCTCCATCTCCTGGGCATGATGTGCTGGCAGTTCGATTCGGAGAGCTGTTCGCTATCGGCCACACCTCCGGATGAGCGATATGCCCTCCTATACACCCTGGCCATGCTGGTTGCCTCCACCGGCTGCTTCACGTTTGCCCACCTGCAGCCTCAGATATTCCACCTGAACGTCTACAACCGGACGGGCAACTTCTACGAGACCATTATCTTCCGGAGCACATGCCTGGTGCTCTGGCTGCTGTACGGGATTCTCTACTTGCGACGCCACCGCCACCGGCAGTTGATCCAGGACATGTTGCGCCTGAACCGGAAGTGCCTGGACAGAAGCGCAGACAAGCAGTTCCTGCACTACCTCGTACTCTACGGAGGGCTCACAGTACTCTGCTTCGGCAACTACCTGAGCGGTTACAGCCAATCCGGCATGGCCCCAATCCCCTTGGCCCTTTGCCTGGTGGTGTACGTGTACGCCTTCCTGGTGCTCTGCCTCCTGCTTGTGTTCTTTGTCTGCCTCAAGATGATTATGGCTGCGGGACTGTGTCACTACAACCGGCAGCTTAGCCTCAAAGTCCTGGCTTCTGAGCTCCAAGGCCGTCAGCGGATCTTGGCCATCTGCCAGGGCGAACTGGCCGACTGTTTTGGCCAGCTAATGCTGCCGATTGTGGCACTGGTCCTGCTGATGGCCCCCTCTGGTCCCTTTTACATGATCAGCACGGTGATGGAAGGCAAGTTCGAGTCGGGGGTAGTCCTTAGAATGTTTCTCGTCTCGGCCACTTGGGGCCTGCCGTGGATAATAATGTTGGTACTCATGCTTCGCTCTAATGGCATTACGGTGGAAGTGAGTTTGTTGTGGGTGCTGGAACATGAATGAATCTAGACCTTTCTTTTCTAAAATGTATCTTTTTTTGCATATTTTCAGGCTAATAAAACGGCAAAAATATTGGCCAAGGTACCTAGAACCGGCACAGGTTTGGATAAAATGGTAAGTAAAGTAAAGGCCCCGTTGCGGGCCTTGAGGTCTTTAAAAGCTCTCTAAAATTCTTTTTTGGTATTTTAATTGTGTTTTTATTTGCTTGTTTTTATATTATATTATAACAATAACTTGTACTCTATTAGAAACCAGCTGTAATCAGTTCCTTTCACCCTGTGATTGTTGAATTTACATAAGCTTATTCCTTTTATTAAACCTCTCATAAAGTATTACTCTTACTTTTCTATTTTTCAGATAGAAAAATTCTTACTGAAGAACCTTCGACAACAACCCATTCTCACAGCCTATGGATTTTTTGCCTTGGACAAGAGTACTTTGTTTAAGGTAAGTTGGTTTAAAACTCCTTAATAATTATTCATCCTAATTATTTAATTGTTTGTAGCTCTTTACGGCAATCTTTACTTATATGGTCATCCTAGTACAGTTCAAGGAAATGGAAAACTCGACAAAATCTATTAAAGTATAAGTACTTACCGAATCGTAAGTTAAACATCCGGTTGCCTTTGATCTATAGTTCTTGCGCCATTTTCTGTATTCAGCCTTAATTACAGCTGAGTGACGTTTCCAATACTTGCCCTCAAGTACAACTGTCTGTATGAAATACAATAGGATTAAGTTGGATTAGAGAAAGATCATTTAAAAGTACACATACATAATACTACTAACTTAGTATACATAATTAACTATCTTAACTATGAATAAACGTGTTTTATACTTCCGTAAAGATAAAAACTAGTATTGTTTGCTGGGGATTATCGTGTGGCAATCCACCGCCCATCGGGGGAATACATTTTGGAATACTTTAAGGTCAATAATGCTCAACATTCATACTGTATTTGTAGGAAGTATAAGGCTCTTTCCACCTTATCCTATTTATAATCTCATTAATTGAAATGTCAATTATAGCGAAATGTATTAATAATTTTAACATTGTACCAGTCTGGCCGCACGCAAGCTTTCCCCGCCGACTGCCCAAATTAAAACAAGTTGTAAACCCGATAAGATAATTCCGGAACAGGGAGCAGAGTCGATGCCAGCCCCGAAAATTTCTGATAATGTTTAAGTCTTGATACGTGAGGCGAGTGCGAGATAAAGAAAGGTCTTCAGCCTAGTCAAGGTCCGATATGGAAATTACCTTTAGAGGCAAAACACGAAATGGGCGTGTCAAGAAAAGGCTTGAGATTTTAAAGATATACAAGATAAAGGCCTTATTATTCTTAAAGATTAATCTAAGATATGGATTATTTTAGAGGGAGGTACTGATTAAAACTTATTAGATTAAAGCAAAGCTATAGAACGATTCTATTTAAAGCTTATTATGAATTAATGGGTTCAGCAAAGCTTGAAAACCTTTTTAAAATAACTAAGATATGGCGGCTTGTTTGTATTATTCTGTGGTTTTTTTTTGGGAATTCTTTGTTAATCTTTCTCGATATTACCGATTCGTCATCAAAGAGCAGTGTGGCAGGTACCGAACTAGCTTGTACAATAAATGCATTATAAATTCTTCCGATATCTATGCGAAAAAGTGCAAAAATACTTTTCGCGCCAAAAAAAAACACAAAAAATTGAATGTAATAATATACTTTTTATATTTCTGATGATTCATCGATTGTTAGCTTGAACTCTATTCTTGTATATAAGATTCAAATCTTTTCCAGTTACTAGGCGTTTAAACGTCCTCTTATTTAATTACTTAATACTATACTTGCTAGTATTTGAGGGGAGTACTTACTTGAGGATTACTATGTATGTCAACGTCCAACGGCGAGGCAAATTGACACACCGGAGTTCTGCGCTTTTGAATGACTGCAAAATAGAAAAGGTACGAATTCAGTTTTGTAAGGGAAACACTCTCCACAAAAAAATAACATGATAAGATTTAGCTGAGATAGGTGGAGATAGCGAGTTTCCCCAGAGATGACAAAACCTATCCAGTAACACGTGTGTGAGAACCCCTGGCTGTAGAATCTAGAATCTAGAATCTAAAGCTACTATACTTTATCATTTTTATGCACAACTGTTACGGACAATAACCGATTATTTTTTACACACACTTATCTAACAAATATGCATAAAATAAAGATACAATTGTGTTGCAAAAATAAGTAGAATTTTTTGGGAATTTATCTTTTAAAGAAATGGTCAGAGAATTATCAAAGAATAATTTACAAAATTTGAGGAGTGGAAAAAAAGGGTTATAAATGGAAAGATACTATTTTACTAGATAGATACTACCTCGACTAGTAATTACAGATATATAGACATAGTTATCTGCAAAAATGATTCATTTCTGAAGCCCCTTTCTTGGAAATTCCTGGTAATGTCTACTTGACCATTAAATTGAAAAGTATCTTATAAATAAAGCATCTGATAAGCCCAAAATAGTATCAACTGGGGGAGATATGACATGCATGCATTTATATAATATTTTAAATCAACTGATATTATTCCATATGAGAAGTGTTTTCAATTATGAAGCGCCTGAGGCACGCGTATACCTTGGACTACCCTTAGTATAAACATTACCATTATTTTAGACTAACGTGGAGATTATTTTATTTTAGCCAGCATGATGGTAGAGCATTATTTTTAGACAGACCCTAATAAAAGTCTGAATTTTTCCACGGGCAGTTATAAAGTGATAAAAACTTAGTCTATCTGGGGATCTACTATTCTAGATATTTTGTGTCTGAGATTCGTCTGAGGAGACACACTACGAAATCGGATGGCGAAATTATTTCAAAAATAGCCTCCATTATTGGGTGTCGATGGGCAATTAAGAATCATAGAGGAATATTACAAAATGTCGTATGAGTTGAAAAATTAAAGAAAAATTTCCATTTGCCTTTGTGGGTGGTTGTTGTTGGCCGGCAATCTGGTAGAGCGAAGAGATAATCGCGGACGCCGACGTCGACGACGACGTTTTAGTAGCTTGTAAAGCAGCGCCGAGGGCTTCTCACTCGCACTAATGATGTAACGGACGGAAAATTTTGAAAATTATATCAGTAGCAGTTGCAGACAAGCAGAACCAAACGCAAATCATCGACGACTGTGTTTGCCAACAAGTTTTTTGATTTTTTATAGTTTCGGTTTGTTTTTGGGGTTTTTTTTTTATTTGTTTCCGTCTGCGTTGTGAGGTGCTAATCAATGGGACACTTGGTGCTGGACAACAACAAGATCTGGGCCACACTTCAGGGAGCGGGTGGAGAATACAGTGTTAGGAGGAGCCTGTCTACACGAGCGACCAAGTGTGCACTAAAATGTATTAGCAGCAACTAGTAACCCCGTCCGTCTGGCAATGGCGAAATCTTATGTTCTCAGGCGGTAGCAGGCCCCAAGAACAAAATCCACTGAAATTTAAATGAAATGACAACCGCTTGGGTATTACCGAAGAGAGCCCCAGCCCCAGACTCTGATAAGGGCTGGCGCTGGCGCTGACTCTAGCACTCCCAACCACTACCGACGCGTCCCTGATAAGGGCAAAGAGTAACGACTGAGACGATGGCTGAGCTGACGGAGACGGTATGGCCAGCGGCCCGCCTGGCAACCTAGGCCGCACGTTCCCACATCCCCACCAGTCACCTCCAGTCAGGTTCAATGTCTTAATTCCGTACTCCGCTTGAGAATCGGATGTGAATTGGGGAAGATATAGCCATCACTGTGGGCCCCATAGGGGAAAATCCCATTTTCAAGGGGTCCCATCACGAAAAATGGACAAAAAATCTAAAAAATATTTTGTCTCGGGATTTTGATGCAGAACTGTGGAATATCGATCTAGAAATCTTTTAAGGTACTCCGCTTGAGCATCGGATGAGAATGGGGGAAGATATAGCCATCGCTGTGGGCCCCATAGGGAAAATCCCATTTTCAAGGGGTCCCATCACGAAAAATGGACAAAAAATCTAAAAAATATTTTGTCTCGGGATTTTGATGCAGAACTGTGGGAAATCGATCTAGAAATCGTTTGAGGTACTCCGCTTGAGAATCGGATGAGAATTGGGGAAGATATAGCCATCGCTGTGGGCCCCATAGGGGAAAATCCCATTTTCAAGGGGTCCCATCACGAAAAATGGACAAAAAATTTGAAAAATATTTTGTCTCGGGATTTTGATGCAGAATTGTGGGAAATCGATCTAGAAATCGTTTGAGGTACTCCGCTTGAGAATCGGATGAGAATTGGGGAAGATATAGCTATCGCTGTGGGCCCCATAGGGGAAAATCCCATTTTCAAGGGGTCCCAGAACGAAAAATGGACAAAAAATCTAAAAAATATTTTGTCTCGGGATTTTGATGCAGAATTGTGGGAAATCAATATAGAAATCGTTTAAGGTACTCCGCTTGAAAATCGGATGAGAATTGGGGAAGATATAGCCATCGCTGTGGGCCCCATAGGGAAAAATCCCATTTTCAAGGGGTCCCATCACGAAAAATGGACAAAAAATCTAAAAAAATTTATTGGCACAATTATATGTATCATATATAGGATCATATAAGGAAGCTAAAAATCTAAGAAAAATAAACGATGTTTTAAAGAAATTGTTCTCACAACACTAGAGACCTAAGACATCTTAGCTTCTTGACTAATACTTGCTATTTAATTGTAGCTAAATCATTAGGTATTTTTTTAGTTAAATCTTGATGACTTTCTACTCTCCAAAATCCCCCAGAATCATTTCCTACTTATGAGTAGATAATACTTACACTGCATATGCCAACACCGCCATATGACATTGTTGAGGCGAATCTTGTCCTTCCAACGAAGGCGAACTCCTTTGAAATGATTCCATTTGGGGGATGTTAGTTTTTGGCTAAAAAAAATAAGAATTCAAAAATTTGTATTTGAATGTGAATTGAAGGAAAGAAAAATAAGATCTTATAATAGATGTTTCTTTAGAATCTTCGTAGGGATGTCTCGACGTAAAAATAAGGTGTGTTTTGTTGGGATATTATAGATCTTGATAATAATAATAGATCTTTCACTGGTAAGATTTGATTAACTTATATACAAAGCCTTCATATTGGATTGATTTGTATTTTATAATACAATTTTCTTGTCAGATAAGTTAAGTTAAATAAAATAGAGACTTTGGGTGTAAATATTACAGATTTCGTATCTTATAAAATATCTTTCTTATGTTTGATCAGTGGCATATCTTTTTTTAAAGAACTTGGATCATTTGGAAACTTTTGGTGTAATTGTATCTGTATTATTGTATCAGTACCCCTCAAGAGTAACAAAAATTTATACACAAAACGTCATTCTCTTTATTACACCTACCCTGAGGTCTCTTATCTCTGAATCTATCTCTGTTTTGACATAATAAAGAAAAATCGATTTCACGTAGGTGCAGCCAGATTGCAGTCTAAATATAGAAAAACCCCTAACCCCAACAGAGCCATAATCTCTGGGAAATCAGTCTATATATTAATAGGTATATGGTACTCTCATTTTGCATTACGAACTTTGGAGCTACAGTGGAGTGTATCTACTACAAATATTAACTAATTGAATACCTTAATGGTAATGTTTTTGAATTAAATATGAAAATTTGGAAACTGCTATTGTTTACTGATACATTATCATATCACTTAGCCTTGATAGATTTTCGACGTAACTTTCCATGTTTTCCTGGTAAAATTACTGAATCTATATTCTCAGTATTTGCGCATTATTCCACACGGTTAATATAGAGCCAACAAAACAAAACAACCTGAATGAAATTTGTGTATAAACGCTAGAGCTGATAAGCTCCTATAACATAATACTTCTGGCTGATAAGACACGGCGAGTCCAATAAATTTCGCTGCTCGCAACAAAGGAAATAAAAAACGAAGTCGCCATCGGGTGGGCCAGCCCAGGCCAGGTCAGAGAGTGGCGTTCAGAAATGGAGTTAAAAATAGATCGAAGAAACGCACATGTCGTACGATGTTTGGTGATGACTAAAGCCAGCCATGGTCTACCCTAGATTTGAAAATGGAATAACAATTATTGAATTTATAGGGATTTAGTGTTTAGATTTCAATAAAAGGTTGGTTATAAAGGTAATACCTGATAATATCTTCCAATTAATATCTATCTTTCCTTATAGGGGCTATTGGTTATGGTCTTCAAAGCCGAGAGTAGCCCTAGCCTAATGGTGTTTGCCCATTTTAATAATAGCTTACTAAGAATAGCTTCAAACCTAAACGATTTCGCAGTTCATAGAACAGAATCAGACACTATAATATCACCTGCCTGGATGTACCTGGAGGTAGTACACCTTCAATTTCATTAAAACAATGCCATTATGATACTATTTTCGAAAATTTTCGCTAGCGTCTGCTGAAATGGGAGTAGCCACTAGCCAGTAGAAGGCGGACGAGCGATTATAGCGAAGTTATGGCCAGAGTAGAGTAACCCGAGCAGCCGCCTCGCGTCCCAACATGTGCCGCTGCTGGTGCTGTTGGTGCTGCCGCCACGATTATGCGGTTGGCCAAAGCGGTCCAAGCATTTTTTGGTTGCTGGATTTTCGATTTGTCAGTTTGGCCGTTATCACGCGCCAAGAGCGTGAACAATCGGGCCAGGGAAACTTGGCTTTTCGGCACTCTCGGCTATTGTTGGTGTTTGTGTGTGTTTGGAGCTAGGCAGGCACGTGTAGGTTGCTGATGTTCGCTCACCAGGGGGGGACTCACCTGTACGCCAGATTCATGCACTTGAACAGCTTAGTCAGCGATGTTTCGATCTCCAGGTGCGATGTAATCATGCTCATACTGCTCTCGTCGCACTCCTGATCCATGCGATTGATTTGGCTGACCGTTTGGGGCACGTACAGCTGGACGTCGCGACAGGTGTTGGCCGGCTCGCCGGGCTTGTCCAGTGTGGGATCCTCCGGGTCCAGCATTTTCACCTCCTCATCGTCCTCGAGATCGTCTTGCGCCTCCTCGGCCTCGAAATGCGAGACCATGAACTGGCCGGAGTGTATCGACTCCCGTTCGGCCTTCAACAGGTCCGCTGCCGATTCTGTGGCGCCCGTAGACCCACCTGCCGCGTTCCCGCTCCCATACTGAAGATGAGGGAAGGTGTGGGCGAGGGTCGGATGCTGGTGCTGGTGCTGATGTTGCAGCGGGTGCTGCTGCTGCTGCTGCTGTTCTTGATGGGGAAACATTTGGCTTGCGTGTTGATAGCTTTCGTATTTGTTAAGCATCATTTTCACCAGCTGCGGGGGAGACGTCTATGCTTCCCTATATGCTTCACACTCTGATGTTTCAAATAGTTGATGTAGTTTCGCGGGCTTTTTATCGGTCGTGACGAGGCACATTTAATGCTTTTTTAATGTCTCAGTCTCAGGTATGGCAATAGCAATTAACTCTTGGCGCTGGCCGTGTGTCTGGGAATTTTCCATCACTCTGTAAACGGGTTCGCGGGTCAAATAATTTTTCAAAAAACTATGACTAAAACATATAAATATTGCTACTGTGTGGCTGTCTATTAGCACATTTATTAATACACTAAAATCGCGCTTCTTAAATTAAATCGAATAACTTGTAATTGATTTGTTTACTGTGCCAGTATGGCTGTTTGATTTGCACCTTGATTGGGTTTAGTTTGCTTTAATTAATGTAGCTGCCTGGCTAGCTAGCTGGCTAGCTGGCTTTATCCGTAGGTTCTATGGCGAAACGCTTGTGCCAACGAACGCGTCATCAGCTCAATAATAACAAAATATAGCGCACACACTCACACGCGGAAGGGGTGGGCGGGCTGTGTGGCGCAGACGTCAGACGGAGACGTCAGTTGGCCGCGCTTCCGTACCGCCGCAATTGCCGATAATGAAAACTCAATTGCCGCTGCCGCTGCCACTGCCGCCGATCCAGCCTGTATGTATTTTCATCGAAAAACGCTCAGAAAGACGCGCGCGTCGAGGATCGTGGCAAGTGGATACGACGCATACCAGAGTACGACAGTACGACAAGCAAACGTGGAGGCGAGAGTTCCAAATGAAACTGTTCAAAGAACGAATCTGCGAAGCGAAACCTGTGCCCTCCACACAACCAAAACATTGAACAGCTGACGCGCTCTTTCTGCCTCCGTCCCTCTCTCACTCTTATCAGCATGGGAACGAGGAATGCCTGAAGAGCATGCCTAGCAAGCAGCACCACTACATATGCCCTTGTGGGACGCAATACCAGCGTTATTTTTATTTTCCTCCTAATAAACTGAAAGCCAAAACAAGCTCATCTACTCCATCGCTATCGCATTTGACCTTGCCTCGCGCGAGCTCCGCGTTTACACTTTTGACCTCTGTTTCGGGCACGGGTTCCCCATTTTCTGTGGCGCATACACGCCCACTCGCACCAACACACTCAAAAGTTTGGGGGCATAGCTGCAACTGGCTCTAAATAACACACCGCGAAAACGCACACACGCGCACAACTAGCTGCTACGTAGTTAATTGCAATTTAACACACATTACAAGCGGGGAGCGAGCCCTCGCCCACCCATCAGGGTTGTCAAGGTGTTGAAAAAATCGATAACAGCAGATAATCGACGCAAAGATGAGCCAAAAACGCAAGTGTGAGAATAGACATATTTCCAATAAAAGAGAAAATATATTAAAATAATCTTTTATTATTTTATATTGACACAAATATATTTTAAGAAATGTTTCGGAAAATTTTTTATTCATCGGCTGTATATGGTACCATATATAGCACGCTAAGGCGTGCCATTCGTCACTGCATTCCACAGTGATCATATTAAAAAAAAAAAAAATGTAACAATTAATTGACATAAAAAAAACATGAAAATGTGTAACGTGTAGTGCTTTACAATTTTTTATTAATTTATCAATAACCAAATTTTCTAGAACTTAAGATGATTTTTTGGGACTCCCCCTAATTGTTTCAAGTCTACCTTGCCGATAATATATTCGATAAATCGATAATATATTTAAAAAATGTAAGAAAAGTAACTAATTTTGATTGTAAAATTATATATAAAATATATTATTAGGTTTTCAGAAAGGATGTATTTCTCCCAACACCTCTCAATAAGGAAAACAGGATTTTTTAGTGTATTTTGTGGGCCCTGTGCGAATATCCGATTCGCCCATCTGGTCACTCAATCATTATAAGCCCAAATGAAACGCAAAAAGGTCCAGATTTTTTATCCAAAGTTTTCGGCATTTATATTGACGTAAAGATGGCTCTATAGTTTGCGTATCAGCAACAACAACCGCACTTAGGTGCCCCAAACACACAAAAAATGGAAACGTATACAAAACTCCCGTGAGTATTCGCAATGATTATTAATTTCACAATCGCCTTTTGCACACTGTTGCAGAGCGGTTGCACATTCCCCATTTATTGTAGCTGTGTGTGGCGTTTGTGAATCACCCACCACATGTACAAGTTGTATGGATTCTAGTTTGGCCTCCCCATGTTAACGTGGCAAATTCGCATCAAAGGCAATGTGGCATGCAACCAGGCGAAAAGCAGGTGTAAACATTGGCTGACGCAATCGCTGCCTGGAATTGGATAATCCGTGTTGCAAGTGGCCTACAGTTGCCACCCCGCCAATTTGGGGAAGAACTGCTTTGGAATGCAAGAATGTCATTTCCAAAAGCTTATTCATAACTATAGAATTGAGATTTGGATGCTGGAGATGCAGAAGATGAATCTGTACCATTGATGCACCATTGATATCCTTGTACTTGACCCATAGACCAACATATCCTCCAGATATGTACGGCTGAAGCTAAAGCATTAGCTTGTTTTTACTTACAGCAATTATACTTATATTACTTTATTTAGATAGACCTAAGGGTGCCTGTCTCGCTTATCACCATGACATGGCAATCGATTTGGTTCGATTAGGGTTTCGCTAAATGGGGTTATGACTTATTGAACAGTGGATTCAGCTCAAATAGACTAATATATTATTTTTCCATTTTCGAAATCTCGCAGTGCCATCATGGCATCCTTACAACAACCAGAATCACAACAACAACAACAACCATTCGCATTCTTCGGACCGGATTTCATCTATTCAAGGAACAGCATATCTTCTGTAATTTTTGACATTGATTTTGACTATGGACGCAACATTTCATCAAACCATGGAGAGCTTGGATTTGCCCAAGGAGTATTGGGACCTCAAGCTGGAGCCACAATCGCCCAATTCGACGGTGGTCTCCGATCTGTTTGCGCTCACTGAGGCGCAAGACTCTGAGTGGCTGTATGACGATAACTTTGCAAATGGTATGCACTTGTGCTTAGAAACCTAAACCCTTAATCATAGTCTACTTCTTTTTAGGAATAGCTTTAATTGGTGACGAGGAGTGCATGACGCTGAATGACGCAGCCTCACTGGAGATGCTGAGTGACGAGGAGTTAGTTGTGGAAATCTTTGACTTGAAGGATGAAGGCAAGTATTTGAAGAGGCACTATCGTTTAATTGGCACTATGATCTAAGCTACTTATGTTTAATGATTTAGTAGCTGGGTTTTTAAAATTTTAAGAGAATTCTTGTAATTTATTCTTAGAAGAAATTCTACAAATTTACGATAAGAAGGGTCATACCGTTGTGTTAAATATTTTTCATCAACTAAGAATGTATTTAATAAAACAATAAGGGATTTAGAAAACCCCAGTAGATACGAATAGAAGCCATAAACAAAATAAATTATATTTATCCCCCACCCTTTTTATAAATTTTGTGGTTCAAAGCCCAGTTCAAGGTAATCAGTCGAGGTTCAAAGAATAGAGAAATGAAAAGATTGAAACTAAAGTTCGATTGGCAAAACAAAAAAAATATAGCTTGTTAAGAGTTTCAAGAACTTGAGTTTTCGCTTTAAAGTTCAAGTTTTTAGCTTAAAAAAGGTTTCAGATATCTGAACTGAAAAAAAAGTAACTTGAAACCTAAAATATTGTACACTTGTTTTAAAATATTAAGATTTGTAGTAGAAATATTTTTGTCGCGTACTTCCCTACAAGCCAGACCACAGTGGGACAAGTCCGAAGCGTTCAAACAAGTGAAGTTGATAAACCGGATCCAGATTGGTTTTGTTTTTATTAACGATTTCGCTGCAATATTGAAAGACATATAAACGAATACAGGCCTCTTTTGTGTTCGAGGCGGTCATATCGGGTGGTGGTCAAAAAGCCAATTGTGGGGCAACAACAAACCCTACGAGCGAACAAGAGCCATGTAATCGGAACCAATGTTTGGTTGATCACGCGGCGACCGAGTGATCACTGGGTTTCTCTTAAGCTCCGCTCTTTGCCGGGAATTCAGCTGTTACTTTTACAAATCCAACAGATATCAGCTGTTGTTATGCTTTTTTACAAAATATTTTCCATTTTATGAATAACTTGTATTTATCTTTTGTCTGGAAAGTTACCGAGTCAAAGCTCGTCTTTGGAAAGGCGTTTGTACGTCATATTTGGATATTACTTTTATGATCGTGAAGAATCCTTTATTAAGTCTTTTTTTATCTTTGGGGACGTGCCCCTGTTTTACACTGAATTTTGTTCAGGTTTTACAAGGTGTAGTTCCTATATATAACTTTCGAAGTGCGAATACGTGTATGCAGGAGGGTCTTTTTATAAGGGAAGAGAGACTTGCAGAAGAGAACGACTTGCAGCTCATGAAAAATATTTCAAAACAATTGAGCCTACGATTCTGAATACTCTTTCAGATACTTTATTGAATTGTAGTTAAGTAGATGCAAATATTTTCGTCTAATCATTTGGTTTAACTTTTAAATGACTTTATCTTGATTTTATTATCACGTCAAACTCGATTTGAAACGCCTCTGAGTCAAAGTCCTGTTCTACTCTTATTTGCTTTTGGCATAGTATTCACGGTCTATGGGGGCTTAAGAGTGCTGTTGCTGTTGACCATTTTGAATGGAAATTTTCAGCGACGCTCCACTGTGGCCGAGTTGAATGGCTCGGCTCATATTTGCCCGAGCGGCGATCGCTCACTTTTCGCTTTTGATAGCGACTCGGACTCAAAACAAAGCAGCGAAAAGATTGATCTTATTGCAGGGTTACACTCTCGGCCTCTCGACAGACAGTGTGTGCCTCTCCGGCTGGCTGGCGAGCTGTGGGTTGACCAAAAACGTTGTTGCTTCGCATTCCGAAGTCAGTTGAGATCGTTACTCAGACACGAGCGTTCGGATCCAAGCCAGGCTTTGACTTCGATTTCTACCTCTCCCCTCCCACCCAAGTGCCGCGGTGCCCCCCCTCGTTGATAAACAACACACAACAACACAAAGAAAACTTCCAAAAGCGAAAAAGCGACTAACAAACAAGCAGCAGCAGCAGCAGCAGCAGCAGTACCAACACAACCTCAAGTCTGCGGGCTTTTAAAAAACGCGCAAAAGACAAACAAAGGCAGGCTGTCTCGAAAATTGACTTAAATTAATGTGTATTGAGAAACATATAGATTTTAAATGCCTTTGATAAAGGAAATCTGGCGCGCCAACAAGAATAAATCAAAGCAATTTTTATTCTAATCGATTACCACTCAAAGTGTCAGAAATTGTGTCGCGACGACTCTCGACGAACCTTCTAGGCAAAGGACTTTGTATTGTTAAACTTAAACCGATTCATAACTATATGTAGCCTGGCGATATCCTGGCACATCCCTGAACATTCGAGTGCGACCATTAAGGACTCTGTGAGCATGATAGCGCACTGTGGATACCGTTACATGTGGAACCGTGAAATTGTGATCAATTCGCAAAAGTTGGTGAAACGACGTTAAGATCCTATCAAGTTGACTGAACCGTCCGGCCACGCCTGTTTTTATTTTGCGGCAGCAGTTACATAACACGGACAGTGACAGGACCTGGACAGTCGGAGAAATACAAGAAACTGATAACATCCACCATCACACAAAGTTATCAAAAGTCAAAAGTCCAAAAAAAACTCTATAAATACCTTTTGCCACGTGCCTTAGTTTTTGAGTTTTTTTTTTAAAAGCGTTTTTGTAAATATGATATTTTTTGTCATTTGTTGACAGAGTCAATATAGCACGTTTGCCAGCAATTCGAGTATACCTTCAAAATTTTTACTGTGATTTTTCTACTGAAAACAATTAAAGTACGCATCATATATACGTATATATTTTCATATTTTTATTTACAAAGTCCCCCATTTTGTTCTTTATATAGTTTTAGTTTTAGTTTTTCGATTAGTTTAGTATCTTTTTCTACAAAACTTTTTCTATTTTTTATCTACTGCCTTCTCTAATTGTTTATAAGCTAAGATTCCATTCCATTTACTTACCATACATTTTACTAAAAAAACGACTGACTGCTGCCGCAAACATGAGCACATATATATTTATGCAAGCCTATGGTTAGTATTTTGAAAACAAATCCTATGTTATAATGATTTCACTATTACTCTGACTTAATTAGGCATTGTTTGGATAGATCTATAAAGTCTTTAGATTTATTTAATGTCCATTAATTTAGAGAGAGGCTCTTTAAAGAGAGCCTCTAACAAATATCAGAAAATATCTCATAGATGTTATTTTTCAATAAAGTGCAGGGGTTTATTTAATAAGTTTTGGGTTTATTTATTTGGGATTTACTTCAGTTTCCTAGCTATGCCTGATAATCTTTGTGATTTTCCATAGCATTAGTACGCCAAGGTTGTTGCTAATCATGTTCCCATTAAATATCAATATATACAATTTATATATAGAGCTTCTAATGCTCTGTAAAGATTGCGAATGTCTGTCATTGTGGTGCAGTTGTTGTTGCCCCATTATGATAAGTGCAATATGTAGAAATTTATAATTTTCATTGGTAAAAAAGTCAAGATAACATATTAAATGCAATCTTTGCCCTCTATTTGAAATAAGAAGACAAATGTGAATAAATTCTTTTAGTTTATGATAAATGGAATTCAGATTAATTAGCTTACATATTCAATTATTTTCAAACTTTAAAGAGAATATTTATTGTGAAGGTCTATAATCTAATATATGTACCTGTGACGTACTGTTTCAAGAATTAAAAGGTATTTCTAGGCGTAGCAACAGACCTTACTTTATGAACTTATGTAAATCAATTAATGCAGTTACAGTTTGCTCTGCTTTTAAAATATTCAAGCGCAGCTGGGCGAGGAGAGACTTATTTTTCTTTGAAGAGACAGATTGATTGGAAACGTGTTATGCTAATCGAGTCTAACTTGGGAGAGGTGAATGTGTACTGGCTCCACCTCAAGGTGTCGCTGGGTCACATTATATTTTTCAAACAGGTGCAACAATGTTTTTTTTAGAAAGCTTTTAACCCGCCACTATCAACTCTCTCCGATCTCTCATTGCGATTTTATTAAATTTTTTTTCGATGTCGACGAACTCTGGGCTTAATATTTATTTCCTTGAGTTTTCCAAAAAAGCTACAAAATCTTTAATACAATGTTTGAAAATACTCCAGCAACAGGGCCGGTCAGAGAGAAAATTATATAAATGGAATATGAAAATCAAGTGCAGTTTCAAGCCGAAGCTTGAACTCACCTTGAAACTACTTGAAACAATTATACATATTTATCTATTCCGCCTCATAAACATTGTTGTCAGCTATTATATTAAACATAGACTTTGAGAATTGCTAATAATAATGTGAAACTTCCTTCCGCTTTCCATCAGAATGCCTTCTGGATCAAAAGACTCCTCTTAACTACTATGAGGCCAACAGCTATCAGCCCAACATCGATGTGGTCAGCCAGCCAATAATTCCCGAAACTAAAGTACAATTCCCTGCTGGCACAGCCTCGGCTGTTCCGGTAGAGCCCACTGTTGACTTCCATTGCGATGCCCCATCCCTGATACTGCAGCAGCTAACTCCTCCGCAGTCTCCGCCACAATTCGATGCTATCAAACAACAAGCAGAGCCCCATTCCGTGCTCGTCAAAGCCGAGGAGAAGGTGGTAAGTCAGGGGAGGATGATTTATACGAGATCTTTACCTAATCAACTCATATCTTACAGCAATATTATGCTTCTGATGCTGCAACTCCGGCGGCAGCTTCAACGCCCGCCACCTTCAACTTCAACACATGGGTGGGCGGAAGCGAAATTGCCCGGGAGAACCAGATCATCGATGATATTGTCAACATGCGGGCTCAGGAGTTGGAGCTCCCCACCAACTGGGAGCAGGACGACTGCGAATCACAGTCATCGTCCTCACTGGGCGGCAGCAGTGCCAGCAGAGTGAGTGGCAGCATAGCGGACGTCGATGAGGAGTGGATCCCAGAGTCCATTAGCAGCAGCTCCTCCCCAGCTCACACATCCGTTGAGGAGTTGGCCGTCAGCCCAAAGAAGCGTACTCGCACCTACGGCCGAGGCGTGGAGGACCGCAAGATCCGGAAAAAGGAACAAAACAAGAACGCGGCTACTCGCTACAGGCAAAAGAAGAAAATGGAAATGGAGAACGTCATGGGCGAGGAGCAGGAGCTCACCCAAGAGAATGAAGAGCTTCGACGCCGTCTTGGAGAGCGCCGCAACGAGATGCGCTATCTGCGCCAGTTGATTCGGGAATTTTATCAGGAGCGCAAGCGCTAAACATCATATTGTCTCATTTAATTTTAATTTTTGTTTGCAAAGTTATCGTTATATTTAACCCAAGGCTTCCCCGACCCTCTCACCAATCACATATTCTCCTCTATAACCCCCAAAACAGCAATAACAATCCCCCCAAAAAAGTTACATGCCCCAGTAGCTAAAGTACGCAGTTTGTCGTCGTATTCGCCATTTGGCACATATGAAGGGTCTGTGGACCTCGATTTATTCTTGCCAGCGAATTTCAACGACAAAAATCCGACATCAAGCGACACAGGCCAGTGTGGAGTGTAGATTGCCACCACATATTGTTTTTCTAAAAAAAATATATACATGAAAACCTTTTTAATTTGTATTTGGAACAAGCACCCTGTGTTGCATCTGCTGTACGTTTATGCGATTAATTTTGGGCACTGATTATTCACAGTTCTTGACAATTTTTTTAAATGTCTGTATCAATAAATAAGTTTAAAGTATATTATTAAATCAGCAATAAATCAAAGGGTTTTCAAAAGAAATGTGGCTGAAGTATTGATGGGTGTTATTGTTGGATTTTTACTAAAAGTATACCTTTTGTTTTAACCACTTTAATGATATAACTTTCTATTTGTCTTCCAAGTAGTTGTCAACTCTTTAGTTTGCTATACATATGCAAGCAGACAGCTTAATCAAAGAACATAGTCTATCGAAAAAAACTTTCGTTAATTAATTTGCAATCAACAAGTTTATATAAGCCAACTTTGCTTCAGTGAGGATGCTTCACGTGTGGGATGTCTGTGGAATTTTCACCAACGTACTGGGATGACGTCGAAAGCTCAGCAACACTACATGAGGATGTCGTGGGCATAATCGGATTATTATTATGGGGGCGTTATTAGAGCCAAGTCGCCCATCCAACATACTGGCTGAAGTGCATTGAAATTATATCGCAAAATGCCAATTAATTGAAAAACTGCATGGAAAGAAAGAGGAGTGGACGACGGTATGCAGAAATTGGTATACCTAAATCAGAAAAAACAAAACAATCTCTGTCGACGGAGTCCTGACAATGGTAGGTGGGGTGGCTATGTACGATGGGAGATGGGAGGGGTTGCTGTGGGATTTGCACTCGGGACATTTTGACGGATGAGTCGACGACGTGAGCCACAAGTCTCGTCCTGGGCACAGTGGCTGTGCGTGGCGTATTTCTTTGGCTCGCCATTTTCACTACTAAACTAAATTTTCCACATCGTTAATTTATATTAATATGATTTCTGTGTCAACGGTCGATGCGTTTGCTGTCCAGAGCTCGCTAGCTCACTCGCTTTCCATGCCGTCGTAGTCGTCTTCGTCGTCGTCGTCGTCTCTGCCGTCGTCCTCCTCATCGAGGTCTAATGTCGACTCCCGCCGTGTATGACATGCCAGCCACGGCGCCCATGGAGGTCGCCAGCACAATATTTATCTAAATTGTTATTTTTCACACTCACGCAGTTCAATGAATTCGTGAAAATTACGTTTGGGACTTTGTGTTTGCTTGTCGCCAAAGCCATCGTCGGCGCTGTCGCCAAAGAACTTCGATCCTTTCGCCCGAGCCCACGGCTTGGGCCACGGGACACGGGCGACTCTTTAAGCGTGTGTTTCCCTCTTAAGTATATTGGCATAAAATTCAATTTTCACGCATTGTGTTAATCCTGTTATTAGCTTCCGTTCAGTGGATGGATTTCCAGGCGGGGTATAGAATCTCATGAACTTTTGACTCGGGTCGCCGGGTTTGAGATATTCGATCTATTCATGAGTTTTGTGGTTAGAGAGCTAGAGCTAGGCAGGTCATTGAGAACTTAATCTATTTGATTTATTTGAAGAGGTTTAAATATCGATTGGTCCCAAAGGAGGTTAGGGTTAAAAAGGTTCAGGAATAGTATGAGAACCGCGTAAAGGTTTGTCAAAATTGTCTAGCGAATGTCAAGATTTTCGAATTCCAATAGTGTAAGTATAGTGTCTAAGCCCCACTCCGTATGAATACCACTCCCTAGCTCGTTTGTGGTTAAGAATTGTCACCACCGACTTGAATCTCTAGAGAAATTAACAAACAAGTAGGAAAAGAAATCAATATCATCGTTAAATTTAATTAGGCATCAAATAACGAAAAACCGTCAGGCTAAATCATAAACCAAATGGCCTGAAACTGACCCAAGTGCCGGCTGAATCCTACCCTCTAGCCCCGAGGTGGGTAGCAACACTTTAAAATACAATTAAAAGTCAAAACGTCACTGTAAATGGAAGCCAGTGGGCAACCCTCTAAGGACGTTAGAGTCCCCGCCACTGTGGCGCCAAAAGGGAAAGTGTTGATCCGGGGTGAGGAACATGACACTCGTTTTACATAACATTTAACAAAATTATAATGAGGCATAGAATAAATGGTATTCGGCTGGGAGGACTTGACTCGAGCTTAACCCTCGACGAATGTTAATGAGATAATCATGAAGTAATCATGTATACCATTTCGGAGGGTATTCTATTCTTTTAAATCTCTTGTTTGCAATCCCTGGTATGTATTTTTCATTTCCGATTTTCAATCTGGTTTATAGCAAACATTACTTAATGCTTAAACATTAAAGGACCAAAGTCCTCATACTTATATGGGTCTTGGTAATAGGTTATGGAATGACCACCCTGTGTTGTGTTCAAACGAGAACCACATTAGATATCCATTTGTGCAAATTGAATTACCTCAAAGAACAAAATTACAGGCCAAGATACATACATCCCATATGTAATTATCAAATCAGAGTGTGGACTATATCTCAGCAAAAATCCATTTAGATTCTCCTAATTACTGACCCAGGCAAAGGACACCAAGATGGATAAAGTCTCCTGGCTTCAGACTTTTTATACTATTTAAGGAATTTGATTTCTATGACGTTGGTTTTCCATTCATTTTCCTTTGGCTAACAAGTTTCCATCACTAAGTAATTTTACGAGGCAATCCAATTTTTGGATTTCAGTTCCAGGTTCCTCACCCTGTTCCTGGCTGTGTGCTCTTATCTAATCGCATTAAGTGCGAAAAAGTTATTGTGCCTTCTTATCGCAGCCCGCACACATACGGATGCACAACCATTTTTTACGTACTCCCGAGTACGGCAGTTCACCCCGTACAAGAATAAAAATAAAAAAGTTAAATAATATAAACACGAAGCGAAAAAAGCGGGTTTTTGATGCGGATAACATACGGGCTGGGCCAATTTCATTTCGATTGTAATGCCCGATGGGGTGTTAGTTGTCGAAGGGGTTCTCATTTTCAAGAGTATAAAGGTGCAACTACTTTTTATGGTCAGGTTTTATTTGCTATTTTGAATAAAATCAAGCAAGTGGCAGACCGAAATGGCATCAAAAACAATTGTGTTTAAGAATTAGTTTTGCTTCAATATCGATTTTGAAAATTTCATCAATTTTCTTACCCATATTCCTGTGTCTCCAACAACTTTGTGACAAATAAAATCAAATGCAATTTCACGGCTATTTGAATGGGACAAAACGAAAAGCACTCTCCTCCACACTCCCCCAATAATGAAATAAATGAGCGTCATTTTCAATTTGCCACACAGATGAGCCACCAAAGAATGCAGCGGAGTGGGCAGCAGGGTATCACAGCCAAAGAGGCTGTGTTGCATGCAGAAAGAGAGCAGCGGGGCTTTAAGCCAAGTGCACACAGGCAAGGGGCACGATGGGCTTATGGATGGTATGTACACCATGAAGTATGCACCATCTGCAATTAGCGGTATTTCGAGTCTCCTCAACTCGACATACCATTGAAATTTACACATGGGGAAGTCCTGTCTCCTGTCCCAGTGTACGTGACATTTAGGCAATTGCCTGTTAGCCACTTTCAAGTGGTGACTGTTGGAAAGACAAATTTTTGAGGATGGATGACATTCAAAAGTACACTTTGAAAATAGGAACCATAAATAATATGATAAGAATAATTCAGGTTAGTAAGGTATTGCTCTCTCAATTATATCCTATCAAATAGTCTATTATTTTGTACAAGAAGAAATGTCTGAGAAGGATCAAGAAATATAACTCCGAGTTAAAAATAAATAATTCTATTTGGAATTCGGTAAGATTTTTATCAACTGACTTCGTGACTTTTGGGGGGAAGCTACATAAATGTACATTTAATTAGCCAAAGGCGGACCACTTTCCCACTCCTTCCCGCAATTTGTTTGACAATTGAGCATTTGAAAAGGCTTCAAAAAAACAAAAAAAGATAACGAGAAGAGAAGAACAAAAAACAAATCTGGCAAACATGGTGTGGTGTCCTTTCCCTTCTTGAAGGAGAACCCCTCCTGATGTGTAAACAAAAATCGAATAAAACTCATGTCACATGAATCCTTAGCAAAATCAAAAACAATTAAAGTTTACTCAAGAAAAACAACAACCAGCGAGCGGAGCGGAGAGCTCATCAGCATGCTTCACACACACTTATTTCCTAATGCCGTGTAGGGGTGGCACGGTCATGTGTGTAAACATGATCTATTTCCCCACATTACCCCACATCTGCCCTCGCACACACACACACACACACACACATACGCTCTGGCCACAATGAGAAGATAACGTTGCCTACTTTTGCACGCTATTCGCCAACGCAAACAACTTTCGCATGACGTCGTTTGACGTTTGCTTCTACGTTCTCTGCTCTGGCTTCTCTGCTCCCCTCGAATCCCCCACCAACCCCCCCACCCTCCCCGAACATGTATCCCCTTTCGCACCCGCCCCAACCCCTTTGCTTCCTCTCCACTGCCTCACCGATAAATAAATTTGTACATTTGGTGTAAATGCAAATAGATTGTTCTTCCTTCACCCATAGTTATGCGTGTGTGTGTGCGTATGTGGGCTGGTTGGGTGATTAGAGGGTGGCGATTCGTGTGACAAAGGGGGTGTAGGGGCGGGCTGGGGCCAGAGGCGTTGCTCATTTGCGGCTTGGCCAACGCGGCGCCAGTCCGCCGACCAAGCAATCTGAATCCCTCCCGGCCCCAACACCCCAATGTCGCATTGTCGCAGTACAAAATGTAAAATATTCATAGTCTAGTATTTGTAAGCCCATTGTCCTTGGGGCTCTATCTAAACTATATGAAAATATAATGAAAGAGCTTTGTATGTTCGAAAAGTTATCGGATTACCTTAATTGTGATCTATTTAAAAAGCCAAATCCACGCCTCAGACAAGACAATTCAGTGGGGCTATTAGTGCCAGCTACATTGAAAGACCTTAAAATACTGTCACTGGCCCTAAGGACATCCCATAGTCTCGTAATGCGCCATCAATAACAATTACCTCCCGTGTCATTTTCCAAAAGGTGCAAATCGCGACCCATCAAAGGCAGGCTGCGGACGTCAGTGCTCTTGTAACTTTCCTCCCACTCACTCACCATTCCAGGCGGGGCATTTCAATTAATATCGCTTCATTGAACGTGCTGCTACCGTAATTTAAATGCTAATTTTTCAAATTATTCTTTTTTCTCACCTATTCCTTTGGG